GGGGTTAGGATGCTTGGGGGCAGTGGGGCAGGATCAGACGTTCCTGATCACTGGACTGGGCTCGGAATAAGCTGGAGAAGCAGGGTGGCTCATTCCGAGCCCAGCTGGGGGGCAGCTTGCAGCTCTGTCAAAGAGAGAGAGACAGAAAGAGAGGGAAACTGACAGAGAGCTTAGAGGTTTTGTATGCTCACCTGCACTTAAGGCAGAAATTAAACGTTGCCAGTTCTATTCTAGCCAGGAGTTGTGCAAGGAACTGAAAACCCCATGTCCTCAGGACAAAAAATACAAATGACCATATCTACATAATTTGCGTGTGTTCCAGAGTCTGTTTGTGAGGTGCCCGCCCCCCGTGGACGCTCCTATTTGTAAGAAAAGGAGGCATGGACAGGGAAGAGGGGAGGCACTGGATTTCTGGGGGAAAGACCCCCTCATTGGAAAGCTTGGGGAGCAGCAGGAGGTGCCAAGCCCCTGTGGGCAACAACCCAGCTAGCCCAGGGGAATCCTTGGGGGGGGGGGTGCATTGCAACGAGTGCCCATGGAAGAGCAGGGGCGCCCAAAGCTCTGGCCCCCAGGTGGAAGCATCAGGGCACCAGCGGTGGTGGCCCCCCGAGCCTGTCTTTGAAGAGAAGCGTGGCCCTCGTTACCAGAGAGAGTGAGCAGCACATACCTTGCCGGTCTCATAATCCACGTCCCAGAAAGAGGTGGTGGCCATGGCCGCTCCTGCCGCCGCTACCAAACCCTTTCTTCAAAAGCCCGCCCAGGTTATGTGGCAAGGCAGCTGTGTTGTGTTGCGGCCTGCCCCCTCCCCGCCCGGGCTTCCAAATGTGGAAGAAAGATCACTCTTATTCTGGGGACAGTCCCTGGCAGTCCCCCCCCCCCCCGCATTATGAAACCATCCCAGATGGGGAAGTAAAGCTGATACAGAGGAAGGGCAGACACCTGCTTGCGCACCTCCAGGGGCAGTTGGCCCCTCAGGTATTCTGCAGGGAAGGCCTGCCCGCATCGTCTTCCCTGCGACATCTCTCCCCCCTTGCTGCGGCTTGCAAGACACGGGAGGAGGGCGAAAGAGGTGAGGAAACCCCACTTCCTTTCACAGCAGCCGCCGTTCCACAAAGGAAGCTGTCCCTGCAGCCACGAGCTTCCCGTTGAATTTCGGCCAGCTTCTCTTCAGAAAAACCAGCTCCATTGGCTCTTCCACCCCTTGAGCTGTTTGCCTTCCAGGTGGGCTTGCTCTAAGTCACCTTACCCACCTGCCTGGCCACGGAGGTCATCACAGGTTCTGCACGGACATGCGGCCTAGTTGGACTCCACGCAGAGAAAAGCTGTCAGTGGGGCCATCCCGTTCCTTCCCCCTGGAAGTCGAACCCTTTCTGGTTTTCAGTGCCTCCTGGAAACACTTCTCTTCCAGGAAGGCTTCCTGAGCCAATCAGCCTCTTTTTAAAAGAACAGTTTTATTGATACAGTTGCATGGCTCTCACTCCCTTATTTGTTTTTAATCTGTTATTGCTCATTGCTCTAAATTCTCCATACCCAAATTTGGAGCAGTATATACATTTTGTAAATAAGCAAAGAACTTTAAGAATTAGTACCTGCAGTTCCATTTTCCCTTCTGCCCTCCTCATCCCCCGTTTCTTTTGTGTGGTGTCTCTTTAGATTGTAAGTTTGTGGGCATTTTTTATCGCTGGCATAGGAGAGCAGCTTTGGGGCCCTTTCAGCTTTGGGGAATTGGTGCTTCAAACTAGGCAGTGTCTGAAAAATGGGGACAGGTTAGCGAGGGTGACCCAGCTCCAGGCCCAACTCAGCTCATACACCTTGGGCATAAAGAATTTATATACACATCACCTTTCCCCTTCTGAACAGGTCCGGTCTACAAACAGGTCCAATTTCTTATTCTGCCTTCCTGTCTGTTCCATCATGCAACCACTAGGTGGTGATGTGGTACAGTGGAATTGCACAAACGCACAAGGGTCTCCTGTTTCATTCCACTCTTTCAAAGTAATACCACACTTTCCTTCATCTAAAAGAAGCCACAGAAATGGTCGCAACGCATAACAGACATGCTGGTAGATGCAAGTGTCGTCTAAAGCACTCACAAATTATTGTGAATGAGAAATTTCACAGTGCAATAAAGGATGCGCATAGGGAACCACACAGAGACAAGAGGGAAGACTGGCCAACATTTGTCTGTTGTTGTTGTTGTTGTTTAATCCTTATACCTTGCCAGCCTGCAGTCCAGAACAGATCCCTCCTGAAGGAATTTGACCATCAACCGGGGTGGGGGGGGGGATTTCCCAGCCGTGCCTTGGAGGACATGCACACTTCTAGAGACACATGTGCAAGAAAATCCAAGCTTACATGCACTGTAAGAGCAATGTACAGCCTGCAACATTTCCCAAGCTAGTGAAAACCTACACTCTTTGTGACTTACTAAAATAGAAGGATATTTTACATGTCTTACTGAAGGCATCTGGTTTGAGAAAGATATGCCTTTCTCAACCAAGTCCTATTCACATGAATCGGGTTTTGTGGAGGACATGTTGCTCAGGCACTCAGGATGCAATCCTGTGGCCTCCCAGTGCTGCCCGGTATGCATAGGATTATTCAGGGTGGCAGCTCCGAGCTGGGATTCCGAATGCCCCATCCCTGCCCTACCCTCTCATAGCCAGCAAGGAAGGAACTGGGCAGGCTGCCTCTCCGAGGTCGGAAGCAGGCTTTGGGGAGGAGGGAAAGGGGCCGGTTGGTGGGCGGAGAGGGACTTGGGCCAACAGCTTGCGCTGTACACAAATGGCACAAATGTTGCGGCCATCTTCCTTCTCCCTTTGCGGGGCACAAGTCCATGCAAGGGATGCACATGAGACTCCACGCTTGGCGCTTCTGTGCATCAAGGGCTGGAGACACAGATCAAGGTAAGACCATAAGAAGAATCTTTTTGGACAGAGTGAGGTCCATCTACTCCAGCTTTCTACTGTCAGCAGTGGAGAGCCCGAGTCTCCTGAGCAAGGAATGAAGGCATCAGCTGTGCGCATGTGCGCGCGTGCGCGCGCGCGCGCTCTCTCTCTCTCTCTCTCTCTCTCTCTCTCTCTCTCTCTCTCTCTCACACACACACACACACACACACACACACACACACACAAGCAGGTCTACAGTTCAAAGGTTCCACTTGGTGCTCCAACAGAAGACCAGCTCTGCCCTGCTCCTTAGGGAGCCCGAAGAAGCAGAGATTCAGTTCCGAAAAGAGTTACATTTGAAGTGCTTTGGATGTGACTTTCCAACCAAACAAATCAGAATTCTTCTTCATAGGGTTTGTGATGAGCAAGCTGCAAACCAAGATGCACACACAGGACCCACAGCAGAAACGTTCAAGAAGAGACTGGGCAGCCCTCTGAGCGGGATGGTGTGACTTGGTGTCCTGCAACAGCAGGGGGTGGACCTGCTGGCCTTCATGGCCCCTTCCAACTGTACTCTTCTAGGAGTCTAGGACCTCCTAGACTCCCGTATAGGAGGCTTCTGTGCTTCCAGACCAAGTGGAATCTTTGAGGTAGCCCGATCTCCTGGTGTGCTTCTTCAGGAAACTCTTGCTCACACAGCCTAGCCAGGCAAGCAGCTCAAGGAACCGGCGCTGAAACTTGACACTGACAAAAGCATAGAGCAGTGGGTTGAGGCAGCAGTGAAGGAACCCCAGGGTTGTGGTGACGATGAGCGCGATGTCCACCTCCTCCTCCAGCTTGCAGTCCCGCGTAATGACGTCGCAGTCGATGAGGGTGTTGATCATCTGGGTGAAGTGGTAGGGCGACCAGCAGAGGAAGAAGGTGATCACCACGGCCAGGATGACTCTGAGGGCCTTGTGCTTCTGGAAGCCTTTGGAGAGCAGGAGGGTGAAGATGATGTGGATGTAGCAGTAGGCCATGGTTATCAGGGGCAGCAGAAACACCACCAGCTGGTTCAGGATGCTCAGGGCAATCTTCCAGCCTTGGGCCGAGTGAGGGGGAAAGCTGAGGAAACAGCTGGTGATGTTCTGGCGAGAATCAAACTCCACGGTCAAGAAGTTAAAATCTGGCAGTGTGAGGAGAATGCAGAGGACCCATACGCTCAAGGAGATGCAAAAGATTTGGGAGGTGACGTTCCGGTTGTACATGCGGATGACAAAAACGATGGAGAGGTACCGCTCGATGCTGATGCAGATCAAGAAGATGATGCTGGCGTAGAAGTTGATCTTGAAGATGCTGCCCACCAGCTTGCACAGGAAGCCCCCAAAGATCCAGCCGTGCACCTCCTGAGCAGCCCAGAAGGGGAGAGTCACCACCAGGAGAATGTCTGCGAGGGCCAGGTTGAAAATGAACACATCTGTCCCCGGCAGGGCTTCCTTGGCTCGAAGCAAGACGGCGATCACCATGCCGTTTCCCCACAGGCCTGTGAGAAAGATCAGGATGTAGAACGGAGGCAGGAAATGCCGTGCAAAGTGCTGCATGGGGTTGGAGGTGCAAGGAGGGGCTATGCAGCAGGTGCTACCGTTGTAGTCATAATTACCATCGTAGTCACTGCCATTATAATCGCCACTGGAGAAGTTGAATTCGCTCAGAACAAAGGTGTTCCTGCTATCCTAAAAGGTGTAAAAGAGGGAAGACTGTTAAATGCCTGCCTGCCTTCATCGCTCTCTGTTCTGCAGGAAAATCAGGGTTTGCTCTTTGGACTTTCTTTTCAAAGCAAAACTCTTAAATGCAGCTGTGCACTTGTAGACAAGGGAACCACGGGTTTTGTTTGGTTTTGTTTTGTTTTATTTAAAACTTTTGTAGACCGTCCCATTACCAAAGTCTCGGGACTGTTTAACACTGCAAAATGATAAAAAAATTTAAACACAGCATCCTAAAATTTCGCTAATAATAAAACCCCAATTAAAACAGTCAGGTCTTAAAACATGGGGATAATAAAAAGGGTGTGGCCCGGTGCCAAAAAGAATAAAGTGAAGGTGCCAGGCGAGCCTCTGTGGGGAGCGAATTCCACAACTGAGGCACCCCCGCAGAGTAGGCCCAATACCACAACTGGGATGCCACTGCAGGTTGTGATTGCAACACGGACGCTGCATTGTCTGAACCCAGCCATGCTAACAAACCATGGTGAACAACCCACAGCTTACAACACATCAACAAACCGCGAATTCACTTCACGGCTTGTTCATAATTAACCAGCAGAGTGGCTGGGTTAGCGCAACACAGTAACTTATGCTTCCACAGCAACCCACAATTCAACCACAATCCACACTCCATCCATGAGTCAGTCATCCGACCCGGGATGCTGAGCCCGTGATGCTGAGGCAGCTGGGGAGAGCCAGAGCAGCAAGAAAGGAACTAAAGCCGATCATCCCGTGTTGCTTGATCCTCCTCCTCCCTCATCACCTTTTCACCTGTCTCTGCCTCTGGTTCTTGCTGCTGCCTGCTTATCTTCCCCTCCTCTTTTCTCGCTTTGACATCAGCATCGCCCTGGCCCATCTCTCCTCCCTTCTTCCCCCCACACTTTCTCACTCACCTCCTCTCCTGCCCGGCTCTGTTTCACTTTCACCCCCCCTTTATAGAACTCTTTCCCCCACATGGCTGCACCACTTCCTTCATGATGCGCAGCCGCCGTTGGCACACATGCTTCACCACTGCAAATGTGCGGTAAAACCTGACATACGGAACAAGCAGGACCTCCTTTGGCCCGTCCCGAAGCGCCCATCCCTGAGGTTCTGGGGCCGGCCCTGGCTTCTGGGCTTAGGGGGCCGTTGGGAGAGGGGGCCGAAGTCACGAAGAACCACACATCGGTTATCATGCGGCCCCAGATCACACGAGTGCAAAGCCACCAGGGGGAGAGTTGCTGTGTCAACTGAACCCTCTGTCGGGGGAATTGGTTTAGAAACCGCCACGAGCCGTGGCAACTCTGAGGTGGAGCATTAACGTCCCCGCAGCGCCGCATGTTGCACGAACACGGAGAAGTCGTGTTACAAGCCACGTTCGCGCTGAAGGGCTGAAGAGTCCTTGGAAAAGGAGTAAGCAGCCCCTGGCCAGGAGCCTGTAGCCAAAACCTGCCAGGACGGTGCCCAAGCAGCCCCTGGCGCGGTGGCCACTGGCTCCCCCCGCCATGCTGCTGCGAAGCCAGCAGAGCGAGCTTGAGAAGCGGGTTCCGTCAGGAAAGACCCCTTTCGCCTTGAACCCCAGCAGTGTTACCGCAGGATCACCCAGGCCCCCTGCAGGTACTCCTGACAGCGTGCTGCTGGGTGGTGGCTCTCCTCACCAACTACATGCTTTTAGAACATGCACAGAGTGTTCTATAGATTCTGAGTCGCATGGGCCCAGCAGCTGGGCGGTTGAGGACGAAATAAGGTGAATACAGTCAGAAGAAGGTGAGAGGACTGCACGGGGGCTCGACACAAGGACATTTGCTTGCAGGATATTAACTTAATGTTCCAGGGATTACTGTGAGTCTTGGCATGCAAATCCATATATGCCCAGTCGCCCCCTGAGATCGGCGGGAGAGGCCCTCCTCCGGGAGCCCCCCGTGAGAGAAATTAGGAGGGTGGCTACTCGGAGGAGGGCTTTCTCAGCGGTGGCGCCTAAGTTATGGAATGCGCTCCCCAGAGAGGTCCGCCTGGCGCCGTCGTTATTTGTTTTGCAGCGCCAGGCGAAGACCTTTTTATTTAAGCAGCATTTTAAATGTTAATACCACTGAATTTTATCTGGCCAGGGCGGCTTATTTTATATTGTGTGTTTTAAATTATTATGATTATTTATATGTATATTTTAACTTATTGGTTTTATTTATTGTTGTAAGCCGCCCCGAGGCTTCGGTGAATGGGGCGGCATAAAAATGTTTTAATAAATAAATAAATAAATAAATGAGGGTGCTTGCAATGCAGGCTGACCAGTTCTTGCTGACCAGCCAAACACCGGCCCTGGCAGCTTCTTGGGGAAGCCACCAAGTCCCACTTCTTAAAGCAACAGCAAATGTCAAACAGCAGCTGGCTTGCAAGTTTGGGTGCCTCCTTGAGAAAGAAAGGTGCAGGCAGTTTATAACACAAAGACAAACCAGCATCCTTTTTCGGCCAGGATTTAGCTGAATTGCCCCCAACACATCGGCCGATGTGCGGGGCATGGAGTGGGCAGCGGCTGTGTGGAGAGTCCCCGCCTGGCAGCTCCTCTCAGTGTCCCCGGGATGCCGGCAGAAGGACGGATGGGGGAAGGGGGAGGGAGAGGAAGAGGAGGAGGAGGAGGCAGCCCCCGCCCCCATCCCCAACCGCCTGCCAGACACAGAGGAACCCGCTGCATGTGGTCATGCTTCTAGTGACTCGAAAGTGACACCTGAGCCTTCAGAACTTCCTGCCGCCATCAGCTTTTGTATCTCACAGGTAGAACATCGGCAGTGAATCAGCTCCGACTCAGACCCGAGACAGAAAACTTTCCAGCATGCTCACCAACTCTTCCAGGAACCCTTTTGAGCTTTTCTTCTAAATGAGTTCAGTGTAAGCCAAAGGGTCCCCCTCCTTTTACTCCCCACAATTAATTTGACTTTCCCAGCCGTTCATTTGCATGAATGTACAGCAGAGCCTCCGAGTCCACGGCAGCAATTGATCAAGCCGGTCAAGAATAACGCCACTTGATTCAAGGAGATCTTGTTCTCCCTGCAGTTGCACATATGTGGGATCTAAAGAGACCGAGCGAGTGCTTGTTCTCAGCCAGCTAGGAAGGAGATCGATATCACAGTATCCGGAGTATCAAGGAATCCACATGATCCCTTCTCTGCCACAAAAGCAGGTTCAGTGGGTCAGGGGGCGCTGGCTGCCATCCGGCTTTGCTTGCCCAAAGATCCCTCTGAGCTATTAGGGTGGGGTATAAATGCAGATAATAAATAAAATAATAAATAACGATAGCCAATGCTGAGCACAAGCTGGGAAGAGCCCTCTGGAAAAGCCACTGCTATGCCAGATCAGCCATCAGCCAGCACCGGCGCTGGCTCCAGGGGAGTACAATTAGCAGGCAGAAACTGGTCGGTCTGATAGCTGCCCCTATTCAGGCAGGGAGAGAAAGAGGGACGGCCTTCCAGCTCCCCTACACTGCTCTGAACCGCCGGTGGCAATGATTACCATTTTTTAAGGACCTTACGGGCGGAAGGAGGAAGGAATGGAGCTGCCTGGGCAGCATGGCCCACCTGGGCAGAGACAGGGTGGCCAGCCCAGCTCAGCCTCCCGAGCAGTGCTGTGGCCGAACGGAGACTCCCAGGGATGCTGATGTGCCAGCCCTACAAGTTCCCATTCCCTTTCAGTTTAGCTGTAATCTTCACTACATTTAGGGGAAATTCAGGGAAAGTAGGCGATTCCATTCATGGTCTGCAGAAAACACAAAGAAAGAAGTCCTAGGCCGAGCCTGACACAAGATATCACTCGAAGCTAAGATCACCAAAAAGAGACTGTCACGCTTGGGCCATGTCATGAGAGCTGACTCACTCGAAAAGGCCGTCCCGCTGGGTGTGAGCCCCGGAGAAAGCGGAAGGGGCTGCCCTGGCGCCTATTGGCCAGACGCCAGAAAGAAAGACACCAGCCTGGACACGGCAGCCTCGATGGAAGTGGCGCGAGACAGAGAAGCACGGGGAGCGACGGTCCATGGGGCGGACAAGGGTCGGATACGACTGAAGGGTCGACAACGATGCCGAGGAGGTAACAAAACGCCTGGAGATAAAAACCTCTAGAAATGTTTGCTGGGATGGACGGACTCCCTGGCCTGTGTCGGGCTTCTCCTTCAAAACGTAGGTCTTGCGTGTGATGCATCCCACACGTCAAAGTTGTCGGACTTTACTACTGGCTTTTGCATCAGCTAGTGATGAAAAACAGGGATGAGAATAAAAGCCATACAAAAATGCGCCTTTTGGTCTGCCTTTTGCTGAAATGTAATGTTCTGGATGCGTTTTTCGATGTACACTTCCCCCAGCAGTTTACAATGCAGCATGATGTCTTGCTTTTTGCACACAATCTCCATTTTGTGCACATTTTCCCCAATGTGTACATTTTGTCCGAGTGCTGCCCCCTCCCCTGCCAACGCAAGCTGGAAAGTTCACAAAAATGCGAAGCTTGGAACGCAGTTCTGTCTCTGCTCCCCAAAGACAGAGGTGAGTGTTTGGCAAACCTGTTTTCAAAATGGCATATCAGATTTCTGGCCGACTTGTCACCAGGGATTTGTGGTTTCTCTCCGCAGCCCAACTGCTGAGGTTCCATGCACAGAGACCACTTTTGGGGAAGTGCAATTGCGAAGGGGCAGCAGCCGAGGATGTTTCAATTCCCTCCCACACACAGCCTGTCCCCGCAGAAGAGCGATCCAAAGAATGCCACCTTTCTCGGATCCAGGCCACCTTCCCTCATCCAAAGCTGAGCACGGCTTTATGCACCGACTATCCATGTCCAGTTTCCGTGCCACTTCTCCCCATCAGCAGCAGTACTCATCAAAACGAGGAGATTAAACGGGCTGAAAGGGGGAACTGTAATTTGCAATTTGCTGATTGGAATGCAAGATATTTTTCTTGCAAACTTCTGGAGTTGGTTTGTCCCGTCTTCAGAGGAAGTGTCATGTAAATAACACTGAATCAAAATTGCTGCACTGAAAGTCCCGTTGATTTTGATGAGATGATTCCGCTCCTGTGCCTCTTTACACTCGATCTGATTAAGACTTCATCCATATTAAGTATATATGGGATTGCAGCCTTAACCATATGTCACTTTCTCCCTGAGGGTGCCCAAGAATGCAACGTCTGTTGCATCTTTTACCGCAATTTTTTTAAAGTGAGAGAACTTCCCGATGGAGCACTCCTAGTACTAGAAATTGTAAAAATTGTGTACTGATCCCCTCCTTTCCTTCTTAACGATTTATTATTTTACGAGGAAAAATATGGGAGTAGCAGGAAAACACAGGAATGTCACGTGTGGAAGATAAAGACATTCAAACCCATTGCGAAATTTCATGAGTGAGACAGAACCGTTGCACAAGAAAAGCATTCTTGTCTCATGATTCCCATCTATTATCATCGTTTGCGTTTTCAAAATCCAGTAAGCCAAGTCTGCAAAAGAGGCGAAAAGCTATTTCTCCAAAATAGTAATCCATTATTATTAATACAAGTCCCCACATATTACTTGATTCATTTAAGAGTACCCCTGAAATTGGCCATCCGTTGAACTTCCATCCATGAATTTTGTCCTAAAATCAAGTTCTCTTCCTCAGGGCTCTCCAAGCATCTATAGGGTTACCCCATTTTTGTTTTTTTAAAAAGTCTGCTAAAAAGTCACCCTGTATCTTTTGTTACCTTGAGAGTTTCAAAACAAGCAAAACAACTCATTTTACAAAACTAAGGCAGAAAGCCTGTGCAAATTTACTCAGAAGTAACCCTCATCGCATTTAAAAGGACTTGTAGCCAGTCATTCATATGCAGGACCAGACTCCAAAGCAATCTCAGAACCACCTGATCGAACCTGGACATGATCCCATTGGCAAAGCCGCTTTTCACTCCAAAAGCTGTTCAGATCCAGTTCTCATTGCTCAAAAGCACTTATTAAAATCACAATAATTAAACCCAGTCTTTAATGTACCCTGATCTTCATTCCACTCAAAGAAGGCAGCAATCCATGGAGAACTGTTAACCCCCCAACCCTTTCTGGAAAATCACACTTTCTTCAATTAGTATTCGGGCACTTTTCAAAGTCCTCAGGATCATTTGGACATCGTCTCCAGGGGAGCAACATTAAAGGCAAGGCTCTTTGCTCTAATTAACATAAGCAACCTACAAAATAGCACTGTGACAAAATTCACATCTCCAAATTTGCAAGGGCAAACCAGGTTGACAGTGGCATGATCAATAGGTTAGGGGCTCCCCCCCCATCACAGGATTTTAAGCTTCCGTCATGGATCTGACCTGAGTGGGACTCACCATGCCTGGAGCGGAGCACAGAGGCTGCAAAGTGACGCTGTCCGTGGCGTAAACCCTGATCAGGGCTCAGTGCTCAGCGCTTCTCCCATTATGTAGCTGCCTGCTGAACAGGAAGTCTGTGCCTGGGTCAGAGCTGAAATACTAAGAAAAGGGAAACTGAAGCAGCAAGTGCCCTGAGTACTCCAGCTGAGGTTGCTCACCTTCCAGAAAAGGTGCGGAAGGGAGACAGGATAGAGGCAGAGGAAATCATGTGTGGCCTGGGATTTCTCTCTCTCCCTGGTACTTCCAGAACCCAGAGGGAGCATCCCACAAAGCCGATGGATGAGCGATTCAGGACACATTGCTGGAAGGATGCTTTTGCACCGCAGAGTTAAACTACGGAATTCACTCCCGGCAAGCCACAGGGATAGCTGAAAGGGGACTGGACACACCCATGGAGCAGAAGCCTATCCGTGGCTGCTAGTCCTCATGGTGACTCCCTACTTCCAGCATCGGGGCAGGGTGTCTAGGCACACCAGTGGCTGGGGTGGGGAACATGGGTAGGAGGGTGCAGTTACACTCATGCACTGCTCGAAGGTTTATTGGGGCAGCTGACAGGCCCAAATGCTGGGATGGAGGGACCCCCAGTCCAATCCAGCAGGGCAGTTTCTAGCTTCTTGTTTATTTATTTTTAATACTTACAGACCACCTCATAGCCCAGAGGGCTCTCTCAATGGTCTACAATAAAATACAGTAAGATCAACAGTAGCTATAATAATTCAGTCATTATTCTTCTGCCCCAGTTCTCAAGGAGTGCTTTTAAAATTCCCTTGGTATACTTTATCATATGTTGTGTATTTTCTGTTATGAGAAATATGGCTATACCATGGCTCATAAACTGGATGGATAAATCATTCAATCAATGAACAACTAGGCAAGGATGTCTTTTCTGCCAAAACCCAGCCTTGCAATATAAGAAGGATTTTTAAAAACCCTGGGGCCTCTGACCATGTGCAGAATGCATCTCCACCCCCATTTTGGCAATGTTTTACCACACTCAGTGTGTGGCTCAAGGACGTCCTGATAGAGGAGGTCTACTTCCTGGTGGGCTTTATCAACTGACACCTCATTTTGAAATCCAGCATTGCCTGAAATGTGTGTTCTTTACATGGCACCAATTTTATATATTTATTATTTATTATGTGATTTCTAAGCCCACCCCATCAGTCACACAGCTCCTTCTATTAAAAGGAAAACCTGCACAAACAAGCTTAATTTGCATGCAGGATGCCAGGAGTTGACAAACTCCTTCATTATAACGAGACTTCATAATTTAGAATCACCAGCATTTTTCAACGACTCCGCTCCCTGTCTGTTCACAGGAGGTGACCAGATGCGACATCACTCCCATGAAAATGAACAGAAGAAGCTGCTTGGTCTGAAGCCCAGTGTTAGCATGGCAAGATAAAACAACACGGAAAAAGACTGTGTTTTTAAAACAACGTTTGCTTTTTTATTTCTTTTTCGGGGATCTTCATCAGGGTGTTTTGTAAAGGCATATTTTGGGACATCCACTGGGGTATTTTATCAGGGAATTTTATAATGCTAAGTCACCCTAAAAGACTTAGCATCACCGTAAGGAATGATATTCTCACTGGGAAAATTGTACCTCCCCTAGCGTGAGGGAGAGGGCAATTTGGAGCAGAATATCCAGCCCAAGCCCCGACTCCACCACAGCACCGGAGCATCCCGGAGCTCCAGGGTCCCAACGTTGTGGCCCCGGGAGCACATTTGGAATTTGGAGAAACTGTGGTGGGCGCCATCGCAAAGACCAGACCTGCCCACACCTGCCCAAAAGCCTGGGGACAAAGCAGAGCTGAGATGGGCTGAGCCTCGAAACACAAAACCACCACCGAGTTGTTTCTGAGCTGCTTTCAGAACTACTCCTGGTTAACCAGGGTCCAGGAGGAGGAGGAAGGCAGAGCAAACCAGAACAGAGCTGCTGACCGGTGCCAAAAGGGACGGGCTGCCCACGTGCGGCAGCCTTTGAAAGGCTTTTTAAACCAGAAAGTGCAGATCAGCGTAATCAGTGTGGTGTGACGGGTCCCTGGCAAGAGGAAACGAGGTGGCATATAACTGTCTGTATAACTGCAATGCAAGGAGAGCAGGCCACCTTCTCATCATGCAGATGAAGCTGCCGGTCAGAGCCCAGGGGCCGTGGCTGGCAAGACAGCCAGCAGCAGCCTGCTGGGGATGTGCTGAGCTCAGCCCCAAAGGGGGAGCACTTTGATCCAGAACTGACCTGGTGCAGCATTGACTGCAGCAGAACCCGAAATGCTACCAACGTGTTTCATGATTTGATACTCCTCCAACATACGTGGACAGATAAGGAGGTTTAGGTGGATCTCTTGGGGTCTACAGTGGCTTGACTGAATGATGCTTGTACAATAATTCATAAACACCAGGGCAATGGGGAAAACGAGAGGCAAAAAGCCCCCCTACAAATGCAAGCAAATGCAGCCTAAAATTCCAATATACAAAAGTGGCAAGAATTAGAACAACAATCAGAACAACTAAAAGCTATTCCAGTAAGAACTGGACCTGTGAAAGATTGTTGGATTGGGACCCAAGAGATCGGGGTTCTAGTCCCCATTCAGCCACGATGGTCACTGAGTGAACACGGTGGGCACAACATGAGCGGAGCCGGCTGGAGCTGGGGGGCAGACTAGATGGCCCAGGAGGACCCTTCCGACTCACTCTGTTTCTTCGTGGCTTCACTCTCAGGCTAACGTGCCTCACAAAGTGGTTCTTGTGAGGAGCAAATGGAATGAAGGATGATTGTGCAAGCCATCTTTGCAGGAGAAAAAGCAGGATATAAGTGTAATGTAAAACTGTAATAAAAATATGCCGCTTGATGCCTGGGAAGAGACGGCAGTCTTAACCTGGGGCTGAAAAGATAAGATGGATCCAAATGAAGTGAATACCTTTTGCACCTGGCTCTAGTTGGTAGATCCTGGGATTCTAAAAAAAGCACCCCAAAAAACAAAGTCTATTCTTTGCTGGATTCTGCTGCATTTCCATAACTTCACATAACTACTGCTTGTTTCTCTGCATGCTTACTTGAAACATAGAGTAATGCTGGACCCAAAGGGCCACACTAGCTCTATGTAGCAATGTCTGGGGTGAAAGGGCCAGGTGGAAGAGAAATGAAACTCCTATTTTGAAGAAGTGCACCAGTTTCTTCTCCCCTCGCAGATGATCAAGAGACATAACAGATGACTCAGCTGGCAAGCGAGTGATTTGAATTGCAAACTGTTGACAATTGGGACAAAGTGCCCCATGATCTCCAGAGGAGCAGACTAGCTAAAAGTAGGGCTAGAGGGACCAACCATCAGGTGAAACACAGATGCTTGCAGAATTGAACTCAAAGAGTGCTCATCAATGGCACCTTCTCAACCCCACATCCCCCCATTCTCAACCCCCACCCAAGACACACCTTCCCGTATAGAAGGCACTCGGACACTGTCAAGTGTGGTTGAAGTGGACTTCACTTGCCTTCCCTACACAATGAGGCAAGGATGTTTTTCTAACAACCTCGATGTGGGTTAACATGAAAATTATCCCTGTTCCTCTGTGGAAAAACATGTGAGTAATTGGCAGTTGCAGGAGAGGCAGAAACAACGGTGGAAGAGAAAAGAATGCTTGCGCGTCATTTCCGAAAGTCCACTGCAGTTGTTTCCTCCGTGGCTTGGCCAGGAAGATGAAGTGAGGCCGTGGACTTCAGGCTGCAGGACAGAGGAAGGGAAACCAAAAGGGTTTCTCTTTCTCAGATTTGATCTGAGCCAAGGCCTTCCAAAGTTCCCCTCTTCTTATCTAACCCTGCCTCAAGAGAATTGAGAGGCAATTCTCTAATTTCCAGAGTGAAAACTGTATGTTCAGTCAACTTTCTTTACACATCCTTCACACCAGTTATTCCTTCAGATCATTTTTCTGTCGACAACCTTTGCCCCCAAGATCCTAAACAGAGGATATTTGAACCAGAACATTTCAATCAGCTCACCAAAATTTTCTGAACTCCACTTTTCTGCTTGTCTGAACAGGAAAATTGTACATTTCATTCAGGACGAATACACATTTTGGTTTGCATTTTCCCATGAATTAAAGAGCGAGCATTTTCTCAAAAGAACACAATGCAAAAAAAAAAAGTGGTTCATTTTTCACATGCAATAGGAAGTTCAGAGATGCGTGGATATTTCCCAAAACAAATGCAGTCATGCCGGCATTTAGGTTTGTAAATAGGGCACCTTTCAATAAATCAAAATGCAATTCCCTTCCATCTCTGTTCGTGACCACACTCAAGATGTGCGTGTGCACACACATGCACGCACACAGAGAAAGCAAGCACGCAGATCAGTATCTTCACCCCAAACCAAAGCTAGCCCTCAGAATGTGCAGAGCTCACGACTGACTTCACGGAAAGAGCTCACAACCTGCTGAGCAACACACGAAGCTCAGTGAATCATGAGGAAATGGTGCACGGCGGGGGCCAGGAGGGGCCTCCTCCACTGGCAGATCCTGGGGAGACGAGTGCTGTAGATTTCTTCACTACCAAGCCAGGTGAGTTTTCTCCCCACAGGAGGAAGCCGCTTGACTACGACCAGGAGCCTTTGCTGGAGCTCTAAAGGTTCCATCATCCTGGCTTCCCACAGAACAAACTTTTTGCCACCCTGCCCTGGGCTCGGCTTCACACATGTAGGTCATCACCCAGCAGCATCCTTGAGCACCTGATGCCCAAGTCTGGAGCGTGGGACCAGGTACTTGCTTGTCCTTCATTCCAACTTCTCTGGGAGCCCCATCGAAATGATGTAAGAGTGCTCAGAGGGCAAAAATGGACAGGGGCGCACGCACGCACGCACGCACACACACACAGATGTAAGGTTTGCTGGATCAGCCAGAGCAGCACATGCTGGTTGTCATGATTCCTCCATCAGTGCAAGGGCACAGTTTGGTACATGTGTCCAGATCTGGTACTTGTCCAAATCTGGTACATGGGCACATTCTGTCAAAAAATGCACAGGGCCTGTGTCTTCAGATTGCATTAATCAGGAGGTGCCCTGAAGCTTGATGGAGCAGGCCGTCCCCTGACTGAACAGGGGTTGGACTGCTTGGGCCTTCGGACTGACCCGACAGGACTCTTCTTGCATCCTGCATGCAGGTCGGTAGTAAACACACCTGCCTTGGCATGTGATGTGCAGCCGAGCCTTTATCACACCATCTCAGCACTTGCCCAGGGCCTTCTTGGCTCAGCTCGGCTTCTTCCCGAGCTGTAGCGGCACTGCACAGTTCAACAGGAAGACAACAGGAGCTCTCACATGGAGGTTTCGTTTTCTCACCTTCAGCGCCACTGACAATGTTGGCAGATTTCTGGTTCCATCTGCACTGCCTCACCCCCCACTTGTGGTTTCAGAGTTTGCACTTTGTATTATGTTTTCTGAGCAAGCAGGTAAAAATGCGTCAGAAAGCAAGTCCGCGAAGAGAGAAGGAGATGATGTGGCTAAATTCTCCGCAAAGGCTCCTCTTTGCTTTGTGTGGCATAATCAAAGAGATATGAGATCCCTTTCTGAAACTGCTCTAGTTTCAGGGGAGGAACAATCCTTCCATCGCTGTAAACCTGCTTTGGTTCTCACTTGCAGTTACTTAACCCGCCCAAGATTCTACTTGGGGCAATTTCTCATAAATTTTGCTGCAATTTGAGCAGAGAGAGACCTTTTTTTATTGACCCCTCACTGCGATCTTCCAAGGCCTCCTTCAAAGGCGCCCTTCCCATTTCTTCTCATGGTACCCCCAAGGCCTTAATTCTAAAACCTAGAATTGCTCCGTGTCCGTGCTGCTGCTCCCAGCCCCCAAACGTGCCAAGCAGGGATGGTGCTGGTGGAGAGCGCCTGCTCCGAGCGCGAGCAAAGCCTTCCTGGCCAGCCCCGCTTCACCCTTCTCATGGCCGTGGCCACCTGCTCCTTTGGCTCCTCGCCGTCTTCCCTTGGGTGCGACGGCTCCCCCTTGCTTGCGCACCATGTGCAAAGCACAGGCAGAGGCTTGGAGGAGTGGGGCAGCTCTTGCCCTGAGCTGAAAATTAAGATCCTGATTAATCACCTGCCAGCCACCCCGCCCCCAATTAAAAAATAGCAGAACAGCAACAAACACTAAAGTCCTGGAGCCGGCCTTCAGGTTTAGCAGCATTTCAGTAGGGAGAGCTGCCAGGATTATAAAAAATGGGGAACCGCGGCAGTTCTTGAGTGGTTAAAACCTGAACTTCCACCCACAGATAAGAAGAATGCAGAAATGAAGGCAGGCGCCCAGCTAAAAGATGGTTGGAAGGCCAAGAAGAGGGGCAGGTTCTCTAGGGCAGGAGTATTTGGATGTTCAGGCTGGTTAACTTTGGGACTGCCTAAAATGTGAACGGCCAGGAAAGAGATGAACATCAGGGGAAACCTATCCATGACCGAAGATGTAAACAGGCAACGTTCTGCTGCAGCTGCCCATTTAGGCCAGCTCAGCTCAGCTCAGCTCAGCTCAGCTCAGCTCAGCTCAGCTCAGCTCAGCGAGATGGCCCTTGGTCAGGATTAGGGAGAAGCTTCTGGGCCTGAAGAGGAAAAGCCCCGGCTTGGGAACTTTTGCCCTCCACTCCAGAAAGGGCACCAGCTGGTCTTTTTGTGCTGCTTCTTTCCGCGTTTAGCCATCAGGTGCCTCGACAGGAAGGGGTAGCGAAAAGCAGGCAGTGCTTCAACTATGGGCGAAAGCAACGAGAGCCCCTTCCGCTCACAGGGGAGCCTGGAGATGGTGCTGATGCAAACCAGCTTTGCCATATTTGGGGCACAGGCTGATGAATACTGTACCACGTCCACTGTGTCAGACGTGTTGGGAAAATTTGGATAAATCCTGCCAGAAAAACACTGCTTCTGTGTGCCTTTGCATTGTGGGATCAATCCTGTACTCCTTCTCAAACCAAGCTAAGTCACTGCTTAAAATGGCCTTCCTCCCCCGCTCCTTTCTCTCACCTTTAGCTGTAAGCTACAGTAGACAGGCCATTTAGTCCAAATATACATTGTATACCTTCACAATGATTAAATAATAATCATTTGTTGGAATTCACAGTTTACCAGGAAGTATCTTTTGCTAGCCCAGAGGGCTTCCTGAACGAGCGCTTACGTCCGTATATGCCCGACCGCCCCTTGAGATCTGCAGGAGAGTCCCTTCTCCGGGAACCCTCCATGAAAGAAATTAGGAGAGTAAGTACTCGGAGGAGGGCTTTCTCTGCGGTGGCACCCAACCTATGGAATTCACTCCCCAAAGAGGTCCGCCTGGCACCGTCGTTACTGGTTTTTCGGCGCCAGGTAAAGACCTTTTTATTTAAACATCATTTTAATTGTTAAAATATATGATCTGGCCAGGGCAACTTCTTCTTCCTTCTCTTTTCTCCTCCTATATTCTTTATTTACTTATTTTATACTGTTAATCTTAATTTTATATTATTATGTTTGTATCTCAGTGTATTTTTTGTATTTTTGTATTTAGTGGTAATTATGTTCTATTGTAGTTCAATGTATTTTATTGTGTTGTAAGCCGCCCCGAGGCTTCGGCAAGGGGCGGCACAGAAATGTTATAATAATAATAATGTTATAATAATGTGCCCTGGCCATTCAGAAGGGTGCGGATGCATTACTTAGGGTCTGAGTCTGGATGAGCTTATGAGTTCATGAATAGTTTCTCAGTAGCTTGAATTTACATGTCTAAGCGGACCTGGAGATGGGTTCAAGTTACTCAACTAAAGTGTCAATACAGGCAATTAGAAATATTGTAATCTCATTGTCACTGTATGATTGGCTGATCTTCCTTTATCTGTTCTGTATGTGATGACCTCAGAATCTTATTGTAATGTCTGCATTCTGTCATCAATTGCTCTGTACCTGTGTACGTGACCAGGAGGGTATAAAATACCCTGTAGTTGTATTGAAGCTTTGCAGAGAGTTTACCTCTGCCTGCACGGTAATGCATTATCGTGAGTCTACCGCGGGAACCTGGGCTAAACAATAAAGCCACAGATGGTTTGAACACTTGCTCTTTCCCACGAACCCGTTTTATTTCCACCTCGTGAATTGAAATTCCGGGATTATCTGACACATGCGATCTTGAGTCACGCCCAAATGCTACTGTGGGAGTAGGGGCTGGAAAGGGGATGGGTGTGGAGAAATTAGTGTGCCTTGATGTGTGAGCTGTGTGCAAGTCCAAGCAAGCAGGAGCTTTTTAAAAGGGGCGGGAAGGCAGCACCTTCTTCCCCTTCTCAAGAAAGTCTCGTAAAGGAGGAAAAGATGGAGGCCACCACCCGCCCTCTCTCATTGGATGACGCCAGCACACCTGCACCCCCAAATCTCTCTACCCCAAAGCAAGCAATGCACCCCCTCTCCTGCACTTTCCCCTCCACATATGAGCTCTGCCGAAAACAGCGCAATGGACTTCAGGAAGCAATGTGAGTCGCTACGCAGCTTAGCTGGGTGCTCCTCAAGGCAAGAGGAGAAGGGAGACAAGCAGGGAGGCTTGGGAAGGTTTCGCAAACCTGACTTTTTCAAAGGACGAGGGATGGGGGCGGGTGGAACAGGGCATCTATTCTCCAGCTCACTGGACAAATCAAGGGTGGGGGGAGTGGTGTGGAAGCCCCCGAAGCCTGATTAGCATTTCCACTGGCCCACCCCAGCCCACCAAAGCTGCTCCTCTCCCCTTGCAGAAAAGCATCACAAGTTTAGCACACGTAAAAGGCATCCTGTGGGGGGAAGTGCAGCTTACGCAAAGTCATGCTATAAGCCATCAGAAGAAACCTGGGCTATAATGCCAGAATTGATGTGTGGAAGATGGATTGGCCATGCAAGCCACACAACACTGAATAATACCTGCATTTTCAGTATTATTATAACACTGCATTTATATCCCACCTTTTTTCCTTTCATGAGGGTCCCAAGCGGCTTACACAGCTCCATTTTATCCTCACAACAACAACCCTGTGAGGTAGGTTAGGCTAGGTGTCTGGCCCGAAGTCATCTAGTGAGGACTAGAACCTGGATCCCCTGGGTCCCCACTCCAATGCTCAAAGCACTATACAACACTGGCAGTCAAAAATTAGCAACCTTTTAAAGGCCCTTAGTATTTTAAACAGTAAGGAATTATCCAATACAGCCATTAAAATGATCCATTAATGTACATCAAGTTATCGTAACCTGTTTTCAGAAGTCCTGTTTTTCACCCGCAAGAGAAGTTTCTGCAGTATCTGCAAGGGGCAAGGTTTTCTTGCACCTTTCCAGTTTCTTCAATGCATGCAGTAGTGATGTGAATTCATCAGTTGTAAACTGGAACTTCTCTGGAAGCAGCCATCTGTAAAGCAAGAACTGAATAAAAACAAAACAGGAAAAACATTTTTTAAGTTGAAGCGCTGGCAACAGGACTTCCCACACCTGTTTAGGAAGAACTGAACTTTCAGTGTCAGTCTATACCACGGACTGAAACTAGTTTCAAATATCGCCTTTCTTTTCAGGTAGCCTTGCAATTGTTCTGGAAGGAGGGCAACTGTCTGGTGAGTTCCAGGTTCTGACTAAAGAATTCTGAGCCATTCTCAAGGATCCTTTGAAGAGAATCACGATGCATTAAATATCTGAATGTCAGCAGATGTCTGGGGCAAATATGCCCTTTGGCCTTCTGGACAGGTAAGTCCAGAATGTTTGTTTTGCTTGCATGTCGGGGTAGGAAGCAGCTATTTTCCTTTCGCACCATTTCTGGACTTGGTGCCAATGAGAAAAAGCAGAAGGGGATCTATAAAGGCAGGTTCCAAACAGGCAAAAAAAAATTATATTCCTTCTGCTGGAACTTTGTGGGAAATAATCCATCTCAGCCATCACACAATAGGAAAAAATGTATAGTAAAGGAAATGGGCCCCAGATCATCCCAGGTCAGAGTTTTTTCCAGAAGCTAAAGTAACCAAACTGAGGCTGTCCAACTTTGAGCACATCGTGAGAAGGCAGGACTCCCTGGATAAGACCATCCTGCTGGGGAAAATCGAGGGCAGACAAGGAAGAACAAGAATGAGATGGGTCACCTCCATCCAGGAATCACAGCCTTTTATTTACAAGAGCTGAGCTGGGCTGTCCTGGATAGGACTTTTTGGAGGTCTTCCGTTCACAGGTTCACCATGAGCTGAAGATGACTTGATGGAGCATAACACCATCATTATGATGGGCTTCATAATCATGACTTATTAGGTAAGTTAACAAAAATGTTAACTACAAACTACTCTACAACCTACGATTTTTGGAAACCAAAGTGTCCTTAAACTTCCCCATAAGAGCCTGTACATTCCAGGTAGCTTTGATCGACCTTTACTGTCTGAGAAAGAACATGTATATTCAAAATCTTTCTAGGCTATCTGAAGACAAATTGTATTTGTTTGTACAATTCCTGACAGCCCAGGGTTGTTTCCCGTGCCTTCTCAATGTCAGGAATAAACTACTTTTGCAGCTCATCGGTCTGGGAAAGCGTGTTCAGAACAAGCAGCTTGAACGTTTTCGTAAGGCCTGGCTGATTATGCTTTTTGGTGGGCAGGGCAGGGAGAACCCTGTACAAAGACGCTTACAGTAATTAAAGGGGAGATTAGCTGCCAGTCTTCCTCCTCCCCTTAAAGCTCCTGGCCCCAAGGGTGTGGCGAGGCCTTCCCAGGGATTGGAGAGGCACATGGCCCCATGCTCTCCCTCTTATCCTCCACTGGGATAGTTTTGTCACTGGAAGGACAAGCCCTGGCAGGTAGCAGGTGAAGGGCAAGCCCTGCCCGAGACAGGAGAGGTGCTGAACTGAGCAGAAAAACATTCCGACACCGTCTAAGAAACCTCTCTGGCATGCAAGGGCCAGGCACGCTGCTTAACTGGCGGGGGGGCGGGGAGTGTAATAAACACGTTGGTGCTTCACGCTCCTTCCAACATGGGACACACAAACAAGGCCCGGCGTGCAGCGATCCATGAGCCCCCCCCCCCCCCCCCCCCCCCCCCCCCCCCGGGCCGCCGCGGGGGGGGCCGGGGGGGGTCCCCCCCCCCCCCCCCCCCCCCCCCCCCGCAGGGCCTACCTGGATGCTGTGGCTGAGGCAGCCGGCGGTTTTCTTCGCAAGCCCCACCGTGTTCAAGGCCTCGCGGGCATACGCCTCCGCCGGCTTCATGAAGAACTTGGTGTACTTGGACTTGTACCAGCCGGTCATGTTCGTGTCCACAAGCATAGGCCTCACACACTGCAGAGGGCAAACGGGGTCCATTTCACACACGGCATCACCACAGTCCACCGGGGTGCCAAGCTGCAGGGGGTCGCCTTGCCGGACCAGCTCCGGACAGCCCAGGGCTTGCTTGAATGGTTGCTGCGCCTGCAGTGGGCTAGCCTGCTGTCCAAACCCCACCCTGGGTTTTGGGGAACAGCTAGGGAAACACTTGGGGAGAGCGGGGGAACCCCTTGCTGCGTCGCCCTGCTCTTTCAGGCCAACGCCCCACAGATGCCCATGCAGAGCCTTGGGGCGACCAGTTCCACCTCTGTGCCCCTCACTGCACCCACGAGCCCTTTTGTGCTCGCCCCAGAGTTTCTGTCCCTTTGGCCCGTTTTTCTTCCTTTTTCCGGAGACGACGAAAAGTGATCTCCAATCTGGGAGCTCGCTACAGCTCCTTCAAAGTGCCCGAGTGGCACCTTTTCCGCCCCTCAGATCTGCTCTTTGCTCTTCTTGCAATTACTGGACTTGCTCAAGCGGGTCCAAAATGGCAACAGCCAGGGCACCCCCTGCTGTGTGAGTGCAGGTGCAGAGACACTTCCCAGAGCTTTAGTTCTAACTCCGGTTTGTCTTGACAGCTGTGAAACGGTGATCTGTCGAGAGACACCAAACTGCACCAGATCTCTGATCCTTGCTCGTGAACGAGCAGCAAGCAGGCTGCGGCCACTGCAGCAAGATCCTCAAGCGCTCCTTGCTCCTCCGTGGGTACTTTCACTTAGCTACCTTTCCCCAGCATTCTAGGTGCTCAGGAAGGTGGAAAAGTGCAAGCCAGCGGCTTCTTTACAGGAGCCAGCTGGCTGTCAAAATTCCGGCTCCTTTGAAAAGTTTATTTTGACAGACTCTCCATGGGGTTTTGACAGGGGCACATCCATGCAAAAAGCAGGGGAAAGCCATGGCAAGCCAGAAAGGGCTTGTAGTCATGGTAGTGGGAGGAAAGCCGTTTTAGCTGCTGAGTCCCTGGAGGACAGAGGGAGAAAGAGAGAGGCAAATCTTGTGGCGAGCACAATTGCCTGAATGCTGATCCGTTTGTTTGTCTGTTGAAGATATTTGTATGCCGTCCTTTGCAAGAGCCTCAGGACGGCTTACACAAATAAAATACAAATACCTAAGAAAACAAAAATAAATTGATGTTATTTACAGGTTCTTCGCAGGATGGGTGGAGTGTATGCAGAGACTGCCCACTGTTGCAGCCCCACATCACACGCCCCGATCCCTCTGGGGCATGAAGACCTAACCACAGCATGGCCACGGTCCCGCTTCAGTCTAGAACCCAGTCTTAGTCACAGACCTTGACTGGAAAAAGACACTGCATCAGCAGTTCTACATCAACAGGAAAATTATGCCTGCCCCACTCAATTTATTTTAGGTTCACGACAATTAACCTCATAAAATACAACATGGCACAATATGAAAGTTCCAAAGTTTAAACCCACTGCTAAAATAAAATGAAAAACCAAAGCAAAACCTGACCGGAATGCAAAGATTTGGAATACTGATTTAAAGCATGGGGTTACCCTTCCTTGGAATGAGGTCCATGCACAGTACCTGCACGATGATGCCTTTGGAACCATATTCCATGTCCAAAGCTCGCGAGAAGAAATCAATAGCTACCTGAAATGGAAGCATGAAAACAGTGTCAGAAGATTTACACCTCTGAGATCAGGCCCCAAGCCATCCCCGCCCCCTTAATTTCTGCAGCTATGGCTGTAAGTGTGGATCATTCTTGGACTTGTATGGCCCTACATGGGATTTTCAATATATGCCACTGAAATTCGCTGGACAGCCTGAAGGAAAGTGGGCGCCCCTATTGATTTAATCATGTGTTGGAAACTGGAACACACCCAAGTTCAGAAGATCAGTCTAAGCCAGGGGTCTCAAACTCGCGGCCCGCGGGCCAATTGCCGGGACGGGCAGGGCACGGGGCAGGGGCCCTGCGGCCTTCAAAGCGCCGGCGGCGCCCAGGCCGGCCTCCGGGACCGACGCAGGATGAGCGGCCCACCACCACCGCACGAGTGGAATACTTGATGTGGCCCAGCCTCACCCAGACTCTTCTTCCAGCGGCCCCCAGGTAAGTTGAGTTTGAGACCCCTGGTCTAAGCTGTATAGACTTCAACTGTGTGGGTCAGAAGCCGCTCTGGATGGTCCTGAAAGCAACAGAACTCAATTGTCCTGACGCGTAACTTGTATTGTGGACAAGAAGCTACTGATATGGAGAAACAGAGTGGCTCCCAAAAAGCAAAGGCACCAAAGGTGTATTTTGTCTCTCTGTCTGCACACAGGGAGAGGTGAGATTAATCATGCATAGTCCCTCTTCTGGTTCATCAGATTTTTTTGGTGTGTTTTTTGACTACTCGTTAGGTTTGGTGGTGCTGTTGCTGTTGGCTACTCCAAAAATCTCCCTTCTCCACAAGAGGGCCAACCCGGTATCTATCACCAAAACCTGGCAGAAAGAGCTGGCGAGCGGTTGGTCTCTCCCAGGCACTCGGTCCAGCATCCACACAGACTTGAGGATTCAAGGGGAGGCCTGCCTGGGGTCTACCGGAATCCCATCTCCTTCTGTGGGCTCCTGCCCATTTGTGTATCGGTCTTGCATGTTTATAGCTGGCCCTGGGGATACCGATTTACGGGAGGTGGCACTTCACCACAGACCAAGTGAAATTTCACAGTGAGATGTTGGGGTCCCCATTATAGGTATTTTCAGATGGGAGGGTTTCGGATTGAAGGGCCACCACCAGGGCTAATATTACACTCATCCTAAGACAAGCAGAGACCTTTAACTGCTGAAGAAGGCTGAAGCTGATGAAGCTGAGAGAGAAGGAAGAAAAATCCACAGCTTTCTGCGTTTGCTTTTGCCTCCCAAATTATCCTTCTTCTGGGGACAAATCTTCCCTAGCAGTTGGGAATGGATGGGGCAGGGGAGTTTGCCCAAGGCTTGGCCACCCCCAAGCCCAAACTCGATCTTGCTCGTCCAGGGGGTGCCTCCCAAGATCAAGGGGGCAGCTCCGGGCTGCTTTTCATCCAGCGAGAGCACCCGATGCCCTGCCCCTCCTGACTTAAGCTTGCACTTCGACTCACCTTGGTCCCGCAGTACATCGTGATCGGTGGAAAGGGGCGCCTGGCAGAGGTCGAAGACATGTTGATGATGATCCCCTTCCGCCTAACAGAAAGCCATCAGAGTGACTTAGGACAGCAGCTGCTTTCTCTGAGGAAGACTCTGAACAGGGTGGCTCAGGCTGCACTAGAGCCAGAGCAGGGGGTGCCTGGGGTAGCGGCTTCACTATAAGCTCACCCCGTACCTCGTTCACGCGCTTTCTCAGGAATTAAAGGGGAAGGAGAGCGACAGCACATTGCTTCCAAGTGCATGTGAGGCACTAGAGGAGCGGTGGTCCCCTTGAGAAGAGGAAAGAAGGGCTGGCGTTCGCCTTCTTTTTAATGTTTGCGGTGTGTGTTCCATTTCAGAGCCAACTGAGCAGCAGAAACAGGCAGAGAACGTGGGAAAGGGAAGGCACGGGGGGCCTGCCTTCTATGCCCACAGAATACAGCATGACGGAAAGCAGAGCAGCAGGGACACAGCCGGGGACCCAGTCCAGGCTTGGCCAAGGAAGCCAGTTCAGGTCTGTACTGAAGACGCACTTGCCCATCGCTTTGGTTGTCTGGTCCACTCCTCCCAAATTGGACTAAGGGGCTTAGCCTCCTTTTTCTGTCAAAGGAAGTCAGCACAGAAATAAAAGCCACCTAGGGCACTTTTGAAGCAAAGGCCATTGTACACCCGATTTGTCAGGCCACGGGCTGCAACACAGATCTTCACAGCCATGAATGTGCATACGCACCTTTTCGCATGGCATTTTAATCCTTACGCAACGTGAAGCACCGTCATGCGCCAGGCTCACGTCTTGCGGTGTGATTTACACACGAGTGGCCGCACAACGGAGTACGATTTCTGCAGCACTGCCGGCTGCATGCAGCAAACCCATCGCCAAGCGCCCATCTAACTCTCCCCCTCCCATAAGCCGATCAGATCGGCGCCACAGGCCTGCGCCGGACTCTCTGGCAAAGTCTCACACCTCCCTGCTGGCCTGCAGTGACCCTCCACTACCTCCTGGGAAAGCCTGATCCCACAGCTCTCGGACTGCAACGCCGAGGCGCTGCAAGCAGCACTGGACATACCCTGTGGCATGAAATAAAATATATTTTAGAATTCCACAGAAGTGAAAGTTCGGGTCTTGCGCCAAGGCCTGCCTGTGGAGCTCCGCTGGCCAGTTCCCAGGAGGCTGCTGGAGAACCACCTCACAAAACTGAGCAATGGATTCTTTGGCCTCGCCCTCGCTTTCCTAGCAAGCTCCTCTGTGAGGCAGGACATCCCACCCTGCCCCTTACCTGGCAAGCATCTGAGGAAGGATGAGCTCAGTCATCTATGAAGACAAAAGCGGGAGAGCATCTCGTCGCCTGCTTCAGGGTCTGCAAAGCATGCCCTGCTCCGCTCAACCCCAGAGAGCCACTCTGCAGGTCCAAAAGAGGGGATAACTGGATGCGCACGCGGGCTCTCTCTCTCTCTCTCCAGGGGATTGTTTCCAGAATGGGCTGCCTACACTCGCAGTTGTAGGCAGCTAACAGCCTATCCAGTCCCACATCTGGCACAACCTTCAGCCCTCCAAACACAACCCCTCCCATGCTTTCTTTATAATGAATAAATTTTATTTAAATTAAAATAAATAAATGCTCGCTCGTCCATCTCAGCCACTCCCCTGCTTCCAGGAACACTTCTGCCTTTGGGATTATGTCCTGGAATGTCTCCCTGTAACTGCCTTTCTTTTCTGCTTTTGCCTCAAACCTAACCCTTTGCAGCAAGCTTTTCACGCCACCTCCTCATTCGAATATTTAATGCAAAATACATGTCCCCTTTCCTCCAGTTCCTTAGTACCTCTGTTTGGACCATAAGCACCCTGGAGTCGGGTCCTGTCCAAACGATTCTTTCCAAAGTGTTTGTTCGCTGATGAGACTTTTTAAACAAACAATGCACCTCTTTCCTCACAGATTCAGAAAAATGCCCATGAGGGACATCTGCACACCCCACATCTGTGCATGAACATGCACACACCTTCCCCAAAAGGGAACAGGATAATGAATCCATTTCGCCCACCTTCACTGTTGAGAGTAAGTTGCAATTCACGATGTCATTTATATGCTAAAGAGGGAGAAGAAAGAAAACAGGTCAGCTATTTTGAAAGGGCTTCTTATCAGGGTTTTGGGAAGCTTGGCTGTTGCTGAGAAAGAAAATGGGAGTCATGAACCTGGAATGGGATGGGCTGGAGCTCTCTTCCCTTCCTCTGGAAAGTCACAGGAAACAGCAAGTGAAAGGGGAGAGACAGACCGGATGGTGCTTTCACCTGGCTTAAAAGAACACTTAGGATTCTCAGGTATTGAGAGCCAGTGCACTGCAGTGATTAAGAGTGCAGGACTGGAACTCAGATGATCTGGGTTCGAGTTCCTGCTCATCCATGAAGTCAACTGGGTGATTTTGTGCCAGTCACAGACTCTCCGTCCAACCTCACAGGGCTGTTGTTTTGAGGATAAGACTGAGAGGAGGAGGAGGAGAATTATATAAACCACCTCAAGTTCTTTAAAAGGAAAAAGGTGAGATATAAATAAAACGGGTTTGATTTTGATGTATTCATCACCTTCTGCTCTCCAGATTGTAACCTAGGAGACCTCTGGACTGCGGAATCCTGGATTTTGGCCCACAGATCTGGCCCTAGTGGCCCCAGTGGGGGGTGAAGGACAAGCTTTGCTTTAACCCAGTGCCTGCTAAGTCTGCAAAGATGCACCCTGCCTTATTTTATGCCTGTGAATGGACTCACCTTGCCAACATCAGGGATATTCAAGAAACCGTCAAATTTCTCCTGGATCATACCAACATTGTTTACTGTGGAAAGACCAAAAACATAGAGAATACGAGCAGAGAATGTAAGCGAGTCCTAGCATGAATTAGCAACCTCTCTTCCACCGCCAAGGAACAAAAGCACCGTCTAATGCAAATTTAGGCAGGAAAAAAGGCCTTTTCTGTCCAAGTTTGCACATGGATTATATGCTAAGGGATTTCCATTGAGCTAAGTTTCAATGAAAAGGGAGCAGGTTTAGTTCACCAGGGAGGGGTTCCACTGTTCAACAGGTAGAGCGTGCACTGTTCTCTGATGACTTTCTCTTGCATAGAGGCAACTGCTGAGAGTTCCTTTTTGGACACGACACTGTTTTCAGTTTAAAAGACAGTTTTCCTGCAAAAACTCAGGTAGTGTGTCCAGAATAAAGAATGCAAATATGAAACAGGCAAGCCTGCACTTATATTTCCATAATCCACACATAGTAAGCTGCACATACTCTTGTTCAGAATACTTATTAACTGGAAAAGTATACTCCATCTTTTAAACATGGAAAAAATGGGCCACGTCAGAAGAATGGCCGTTGTTCTTGCATGTGGGAGTATTACGTTGCCCTGCGAGGTTCATTGGCGCAGAGGCAGGGTCGGAGAGTACAGAGTTGCGGCTGGAGCCAGGGGTCAGACTAGATGGCCCGGGAGGCCCCTTCTGACTCGCGCTCTTTCTATGCTTCTAGAATTCAGCACATCCACTTAACCACAGGCTCCAGGTCATGTCCAATCCCTTCCAATGATGCTGTCAATGTTAAGACTTACCCAGAAGGCCAATCTCCAGGCCCTGCAGAGCAGCCTGAATGGGCGCATAGATTTCTGAGCCCTCTGTGAAGTCTGTCTGGATCACCTTAGTGCTCCGGCCATGCTTTTGCTCTAGGAAGCAAAGGCGGAGAAAGAGAGAGGGAGGGAGACTCAACTAAGACATTAAATCAGGAATTGAGAAGACAACAACCCTGTGAGGTAGGCTAGACTGAGAGTAAGTGACTGGCCCAAAGTCACCCAGGGAGGTTCACAGCTGAGTGAGGAGTAGAAGCCATATCTCTTGCGCCCCATCCAACACTCTAATCTCTGAGCCAGCTGTAAGTATTAAAATCATTCTTTAAAATTCACAATTGAAAACTCTTTCAGGAACAGGATGGTGGAGCAGCACATGAAGAACCATCTCAGTGGAGCGGGACAGTTTAACTGGGTCTCCTGCAACAGCAGGCAGTTGAACCCAAAGCCCTCCTGGCCCCGGCCAACCCTTCTATTCCACGATTCTAACTGCAGTTGCTTTTCCTCCGGAGAGAGCCTGGATACACATGCCTTTTTCCAGGGTGTGTGCCCCGACGGTGTCAAAAGCAACCGCTGAAGACTCTGCAGAGTTGCTCCCAGCTCAGTCATCCTGCCCAACCCACATTTCACCATCCACCCAGCCAAGTTCTGCATCCTGACACCAAATCCCACTGCATCTGCAACCCTGTCATTAAAAAAGAGACGCTGTGGCTGCTGTCTCTGTCCAAGAGGATTTCTTCCTGCTAGAAGCTCCTCTCCAGAACAACCACCTCACTTGGTCTAAGCGATATTCAGCCCTCAGGCTGCACTGATTTCAGTGCCTCCCCAACACCCCCCAACAGCCTTTCCCAATAATCCCCTGCTCTGTTCCTTCCTCCACCCCATCACCACTTTTAAAGGCTTAGACCTTCTTTCGGAGAGCCGGGCTCAGCATCCCCCTGGGACCACCAGATGCCACTTACCGATTTCCGCAGCAACCTGCCTCAGTCGTTCCAGAGAACGGCTGATGAGAACCACGTTGAGGCCTCTCCTGGCGAGCTGGCGAAAAGGAGCGTTACAGGAAAAATGCCAGGTTAGACGCAAAAGATCAGAACACAGGCACAAAGCTTGCGCAAACTTTGCAGCGTCTTCTAGTTTTTGCTAATGCAATTAGGTGAGGTTGCTTATCTATGAATGCGAAACTGGTTATGGCAGGTTGTTTAGAACAGATGTCCATCTTTCCAAATTGTGTGTGAAAGTTCTTGTCCCTTCCAAAGCATTGTGAAACTTTTGCTCTCCGACAGAGGAAAACTTGTGCTGAACGTGACTAAACATGGCCAAGAGCTCATTTCTGAGCCTATTACGGGGCAACAAGGGAGGCAACGATGCAGTTTCTTCTTTCCCACTGCCATGGCATCACCTCAAAGTCATCCAGCAGAGCTTTTCCACGTGGTTCACAGTCTGCTGTGATGAGTCAATATGCCGCATTTTGAAGATGAAGATGCACTGGACACCGGAATTAATGCACCTCCAGAAGAAGAGCTATCCAGAGCACCATCTGGTCCCATTTAATGGGATGGATTTCAATTTCAGACTGAGGAGGTGCTTGGCCGTGTCAGGTAACCCACCTTGGTGGCTTGCTGCTTCTAAGAAGGAGGGGCTGTCAGGCTGAGGCCAGGATAGCCTGGCTACGCTTCCGGGCACCTGCTCAGCCCTGTGACCTGCTCTGGGGGCTTTTGGGGGACAGGTGGGAAGAGCAGGTCCCTACTCATCTTCAGTCCCAGAGGGCAGGCAGGAAGGGGTTCACCCTGATGAGCACTTCACCTTCCAAGGCACCTGGTCTTTGAGAAATCATGCCCCCAGCGGCAGTGGCAGCGGAAACCTGTGAATCACTCACAAACGGCTTCTTTCTCCATTTCTTTGAGCACACGGGCTGCCTCAGCCAAGAAAATGCCTATAATCACACACACACACACACACACACTCCGCCCCCAGTTTACTAACCTCATGGGCATAGGCTTTTCCAATGCCGGACGTGGCTCCAGTCACCACTGCAAAGACAACGGAAGGCACATGAGAGGAGGAAGAGGAATTCTGCACCAATTTGTTTCGTGGGAAGCCTATGGAGTCCTGGAAATGAGTTCCTCTTAGGGGACTTTATACACTGCAATGGATCCAACATGAAGCACGAGTCAGCGCTTGCTAGGCACACGATGAGCTAAGCCGAAGGGGTTTATTTTGCCACAAATGTGAAAATGGGCTTGGCAGCTGCTACATGAATGCGCACAGGGTCCACTGCTAAACATTAGGAAATATGCTGGAAAGAACTCGGGTTAAGCGGTTGCTGGACAGTCGTGTTCTCAAACCTGGAAATAAGCAATTTTGCATCTGGTGCGGGACAGAGAGGTGTGGGGGTAAAATGGGGAATGCTATGCGTGAAGTATGAAACAGGAACAAAAGAACACCAATCTCACAAAGGAAACTGGGAAGCACGAGAAGGGACAGGGCAGGAGTTCTGTCCTGAACGGCTTCAGGAAGATCTGCCCCTCTTCAGCTGCTTGTCGATTGAATCTTGGGGTATTTCCACACCACAGGCTTAATTTGGTTTAACAATGGCCCGTCTTCCTGCAAAACTCTCTGAGAACACTAAGAAGGAGAGGTGTGATCTTAACGCCTACAACCAAGCTACAATTCCAGGTATTAATGCATGCATCTTTACAGAAAGAATCACAAGAGTTTTTTAGTTGCTGTCCAATTAACCACAATACATTTTCATCCATTAAGGGGGAGACCCGATGCACGTTCAGACAGATCAAGTCCTACACAGGCTGGCAGCAGCGGCGCTCATTTCGATCTAAACATGCATTGGATTGTGTCTTTAAAACTTTAGTTTGAACAGTGATGGAACGGACCTGTGGACCTTAGACAGCCTTTGTGGGGCTGTAGGATAGCTCAGGTTTGCAGCTCTGGGGTCATAAACAGGCTCCGGCTGCAGAGCTGGGAACTGGCACCCTGACCCATGGCAAGCAATGCAGAAAGAACCATGTTGCTTGCTTTCCAAGGTTGGGAAAACAACCTCGGGGAGGGCTCAAAGGGAGGGGAGGGGGCTGGGAAGGTGAGGATTCGAGGGATCCTGTAGCGTACAAAGGAGGAAAACAGGTACGCACACAGCACTCACCTGCCCAGGGTCCATAGTGCGACAGGTGTGCCCCTTTCCACACCACGGACAGTATGTACACCCTCACTCTGTACAGCAAGCCCAGGCCAGCATACACAACTAGGCAGAGCAGGACTAGGCCTCCAACAACAGAGAGAGCCTGGTCCAGGATGGAAGGGATGTGGGAAGTCATCCTTTCCCTTCTCCCGCTTTCCATGGAATGAGCAGCAAGAGAGCTGCACAACCCAGATAACTGACAGGGGAAAATGTCTGAAGCAAAGCCAGGCTCGTCTATTGCACAATGTGCATTGCAGAGCAAACACCCACCTCTTGGAAACACCTCCTGTTTTGAATCAAGACATGCTGAGTAGCTTCTGAGCCAATTTGGATCCCACCTGTTGGCACTTAGCACAAAAAAGGACAGCTTTTATAGTTGAAAACATTGAATCAGCCTTAGACAAGGAAGGAGAAAATATTTGCACACCCCTTCACGCCCAGAAGAAACTTCAGAATAGATCCCAGCTCACCTGCCTAAAATATCTGAGCATTTAAATGCTCAAGGATTGGCAACAGCACGTTACGTATAAATCAATCTTAACAAAATGAAAAGCATGGGCTAAGAGGAGGCTAGCCATCTGGGCAAGCTTTCCTTCCTGAGAATGGTGATTTTGCAAAGCATCTTTTCCTTTCTCCCATTCTGTCTCCAAATGCCAGGATCTGGGCCACTGCAGGGTTCCATTTGCTGCCCAGAATGGGAACTGGCACTGTGGTGCAGGATCAGTCCCAAATCCTGCAGGTACACCCAGGTGCGCATGCACTCGCACGCACGCACGCACACAGCCACCTAAAGAGCACCAGCTGGAAGCCCTGGGGGACAAGCTACATCAAAGGAAGCCCAATCCACCAGAAGCTGTTTCAGGCAATACTGGTCTTTGCTAGCAGCTCTGAGGTCCAGTGCCTGCATTTTGCCTGACCCAGTTCTGGCCTGGCTTGGCCTCCTCTGCTTCTGAATCCTTTTTATTTCCCAGCATTTTAAAAGTTAGCATTGTTTTAATGTTGATTTTATATATTACTGTGCTGTCGTGCCTTATTTATGTTATTGCTGCCCTGAAACACTGTAAAGGGCGGGATACAAAAATTTTAAATAAGTAAATAATAAATCCCACTCACTTTTCCTGCCTCAAGTACCTGTCCCCACTTCTCATGTCTCCAAACCAGAGCGTCTGGTCCATGGCCAGAGCGTATTGAACTGCTGCTGCTTGGTAGTTTGCCTCCCTTTGGTCATTGCTTGGATTTCATTCCTTACATGACCAATCCAAAGTCACCCAGGAAGCTCCATGACTGAGTGGAGACTAAAAAACCCTCAGCTCTTAACCACAATACCACACTGGCTCCTGCTATTAGCCACCATTTTCAACATAAATCCTTTTAAAAGGATTATGTCATAAGCAGTCATTAATACACTCCTCAAACACACACACACGTCCAAATGTGGCTAATGGGCTTAAACCTTACAGTAAGCACGACTTGCTGGGTGACTTCGGACCAGTCACTAACTCTCAGCCTACCTCAGAGGGCTGTTGTGAAGATAAAAATGGAGGGAGGGCATGCCTCGAGTTCCTGGGCAGAAACAAAGGGTAAATAACAGGCATTCATGTTTCTGGAGCCGAAACACAAGCTACCCTCCGCTTCCTTTCCTCCGCCCATCACTGGCACCTGTGCGTGCGGCTGCAGGAGGCTCTTCGCACCTTCCCAGGGAGAACCGAAAGAAAACGCCCTCTGCACAGGCTCAGGGGCACGCCCAGCCAGGCTTGCAGTAGCCTTGCGAAGCCCTGTGCGAGGGAGCCTGGTTCGGGCATTGACCTGAGGCTGCTGGCGCGGGGGGGGGGGCGCGCGCGGACCGAGCCCCCCAAGAACCTCGCTCGACGCGCCCCTACTCCGGCAGCAGTGCGCATGCGCCGCCGAAGCCGCGGGCGAAGCCTCTTCCCTCTGGGGAGGGGCCGGCGGCGCGCCACGTGATCAGGCCGCGTCACGTGACCCGCCAAGGTGGCGGCGCTCTTCCGTGGGCAGCGGAGTGGCGGGTACGTTCCCGAGAGGGGCGGGCGGCGCGCGCGGGGGGCCGTAGAAGGAAAATTGACAGTGATTATGACTCGCATGGCTCAACCATGTGATGCTGATCTGTGCGCACCGGCTCCACTGCAGCCCGCGGCGCTTCCGGCCAGCCGGGTGGGTCAGGCCGGCCGAGAGGGACGCGGGCAGGGGGTCCGCGCTGGGGCGAGGGTGGCCGCCGGGGCCGCCCGGGAGAGCGGCGGCAGGCTGGTGCCTTGCGTGCGGAGGAGGCGGGGCGGTCCTGCCTGGCCTGCTGCCCTCCGGAAGGCTTGGACTCCCAAGTCCCGTTAGTCGCAGCCAGCCTGGCCGGGGTCCGGGGCGGTGAGGGAGACCGTGTACAGCCGCGAAGGGTGTGGACTGGATGAGGCAGAAGGCGCGGTGGAGAGAGGTGTCCCTTCGCTGGTGTGTTCTCGTGGGCACTCGTCAGATGTGCACCGTCGTTGAACGGGAGCGGGGGGCTCACGGGGGGCTGCTTTCCCCCAATTCGTTTTGACAGTCTGCCCTCTCGAGATATCCCTGCGGCGCTTGGGGGAAGATGCTGATCCTGGACATGCAGCCTGCCCAGAGGAAGCAGTTCCTACGTTTGGCTCATTTGAGCTGATTCTGGCCTCTTCTCTTCCAAGTTCTTTACCCTAAACTGTCTTCCCTTTCCCTCTTAAGGTAATGGGATCATGACTGCTCCAAGGCACAGGACTGTAGTCCAGGGCGAAGCTTCGGAGACAGATTCAGAGGAAGAGGTGTATCTGACCTCTGTGCCGGGTGGTTCCTTGCCGCCTGTTTATGGGGTGAAAGTCCCTGGGGAGGCTTCTGAAACAGACGAGGAGGAAGATGCAGGACCCCTTGGCCCAAAAGCAAAGCCTAAGTTAATCAGCACAGAGTTGCCCCCGCTGGTCGTGTTCCGGAATGAAGAGCTGGGCTCTCCTACAGCCGTCGAGGAGAAGCCCGCCCTGCGTATCCAGCACCACGGGCGCTACAGCACCCTGCTGCAGCAGAAGCTGATAGAGAGTAACACCCGCCTGTACTACGATGTCAACAGCACCATCAAGCAGGTGTACCAGACGGCCGTCAGAGAGATCGGGGCCATTACTGGGCAGCTCAGTAACTCTCAAAACGGCATCATCAGTGCCTCGCATAACATCCGGCTTGTCCTGGAGGACTTACGTGCTGTTGCAGACAAGATAGACATCATTACCAGCTGCAATCTGTTGCCCGATATCCAGATAGAGCCGCCCCCATTACACACCTAGCTGCATCAGCAACAGGTGTTTCTTGCTCACAGCAGCTCCAGGCATGCTGGTGCCCGGACTCTAAGGTGCAGCAAGACACTGAAGCAGTGTGGACTTTTGCTGCCTGGGGTTTAAATCACAGCACTTGTATAAGCCCATAATGATCAAGTGTGACTCTTCTGACAGAGCAAAATCAAACAAAATAAAGTTGCTCTTGATATGTTTTGTCCCACTCCAAGGTGCACTGGGTTCCCAAAGCGAATGCTTACCACATTATGCTCACACTGCAACGTATGTATAGGTGCTTGCATTTCAGTAACTGTGAGAAGATTCTAGTTCACCAGCCCACACATAATTTTCTTGTTCATTGGTGAGGCATAAAGAGAGGAAAAGAAACCATTTCCTTCAGTCTGGAAGTACTTCCCTGCCTGGTTATCTGCAGGGATCTCTTATTCTCTGGAAGAAGCCAAGCAAATGGTTATATTTGTCATATTTAATGTAGGTGGAAGAAAGCTGGTTTCAAATTAGCAGTGTCTTTCTGAATACACAATCATCTGAAAGTAGAGGCCTGAATATTTGTGGGTTGTATTGGTAGATACCTGCAGTACTTTGTAACTTAGATGCATCCCTTTAGCACGGTTTTTATGCACTTCTAAGGCTGACTGTGAAGAGCATTCTGACTGAAATTATGCAATACAGAGTACATTGAAGACTACAGTTTTCCAGCTGTCTTTTCATCATCAGTTTGATAAGAATGTACTATATTTCTCACCAAGGAGAAAAATATTTATTATATGCCACGCTATAGCCCAAAGGGCTCTCTGGGCAGCTTAGGACCAAATTTATGTAGTTGTATAAATTATCATTTAAAAAAGAGTATGGGAAGGAAGTAATCAAATATGGTTTAAGTGAGATGTGATTATCCAGTCTCAGTTTACTAAAGTTTCCATTTCAAATTTATGTATACTCCAAATTTAAATGAACTGAACACATTTAAAAATCATAGTTTCCACATCCCTCCCAGCTGTCCTAACACGATTTTTCTAAAAATGATCCTTAGTCCCCTATAATTACCAGGGGAAGCCACAATAAATGAGTTAGTTACGCGCGATAGATGCTTCGAAGCAGCACTGATCTGGTGGAGGAAAAGCAACTATTGACATGCCCTGGCTGTTCTCTCTCCACAACAGGCTTGAATAAAAATGGTGTGTAAGAAGAACGGAGCCTTGTCAGTATTGGACACAAGAAAGTGTCACATCTCCAGCAATTTCCAATTGGTCCACCTGTCCTGGAGGGATTCGATGGATGTACTCAAATACTACTATTCCATTCACAGTCACTTCATAGGTATTCCTCTGGCAGGCAATCTCCATCTAGTGGTAGAAAACAGGAGAGTTTTTATTATCCATACTGATTCAGCGATGGGTCGGGCATGACTTCGCGAATAACATTGATTCAGGTACTGCAGAAGATACAAAAACTTAGATTCTCCAAGTTATTTCCATTTTGTATGAGTTTAACTCTCAAGATCTCCAAAATATTCCTAGAAACCAGTTCGGTGAAAGTGCAGAAAAGTATTGGCTACCTAGTTCTGAGCTTTCGGGAAGGAGCGAGAGCTAAATCATACACTTCGGTATCTGGTACAGAGATACTCCTAGAACAGTCCAGTTCTTTAACTCCTTATCAGGCCCTGGGTGGCCAGGTGCTGGGTTTCCTCAGCTCCCTAACAGCCTCTGCTTGAGATGATGCTTAAATAGATGGGCTGAAATGTAGCCAGTAAGAGGATTGTGAGAACTTAAGGGTTTGCTCTTTGGGATAGGACCAAAGTCCTACTTGGTCCCTCTGCCAGCAGTTCTCAGCAGCTGCTGAAGACCCCCAAGAAAGCAGCCAATGTTAGAAGCAGCAGAAAACGGCTGGGAGCAGTTTTCGCATTCGCCGCTGCCATAAGGGCTCGGGGCAAGGAAAGGGCCCACCAGAAGCAGATGTTGGAACGGATAGTGCTTCCAGGCCGTCGGCACCTGTGTGTACACACTCTCCTCCCAAGGGTGCTGCTTGAGCCAGGGCAACCTGAGCTGGTGAATTCATACCACGATGTAAAGCCCTCCAACCCAGTCCCTCTTACATGGAAGGCCTGACCAGGGAAGAACGGCATGGCGGACATGTGCCGCTCCTCGGATCCCCACATGCTGTTGGTGCACGTGTTCCGGACCAGCACTCCCTCCTTCAGCCGGGGATTGATTTGTAGGGCGATGTTGCCAGTCATGGTGTTTCTCAGGTTCACATGGAATCTGGGCAGAAGGAAGGAACAGTCCTTACACCAGTGCAGCCCAAAGCCTTTTCCTAAGCTGTGATCCTCAGCAGGTGTGCAGAGGGGAAGCTGTACCACTGCATCAGCCCCGAATACCTGCCTTATTCCATCTCCCTTCCCACCCCTGTTTCCTTGAGTGTCTTGTCTTCAGATTAGAAGCCCTTTTGGACTGTAAGGGTCTGTCGTAGCGTATTGATGGCATATGAGCTGCTCGCAGAGCCTTTTTGGGTCAGGAATGGGATGAAAGCATTTTAAACCAATTAAACACGGATGTTTTGTGTTAAACGACTTCTTTCTCAGCCTTGAAAATAAGTCAACAGAAGTTAATTGCCCACAAAACTTGGTCACCAGGCTGATTGTCCCTGCCATAAAGTCTTAGCTGGCAATCCTTTGTGTGTTTATTGTAAAGAAGTACCACTTAACGCAAGAGGGCTGATTTCTGAGTAAATCTGAATGGGACTGTTCTGTACAGTTTCCTGCCTGGTTGCCCGGGGGATTCTCCCACTTGCCAGAGGTGGCAGGGCCATTGCGCCAGAAGTTTTGGCCCCCAACTCCACTAGCCCTGGCCAGCAGGGCCAAAGATGGGGGATCCTGATACCAAACACTGAGGGCTGCACTAAAGCAGGCATTCCATGATCATGCAAGCCAAAGCTAGGAAGATAATGCAGAAGGGTGAGTGGGATCTTATTTTCTCTACAAACACACCTGTTGGAATGAAAAGGCACATTCCCCACAATTACGATCTTCCGAAATGGGCCAAAGTTTCCTGGGATAGCAACCTGGAATGGGACAGCCTGGGAATGGAATACAGAAGGAACTTGGTTCATCAGGTTCGGGCAATGCAGCACCCGTGGGTGCCAGTGCCCCCCAGTCACCTTTCATGGCACCGATGGGGTACCCCACCCCATTGTTTTCCTTTTTTAAAATAAAGTTTCTTACTAGCAGGATCATTTCAAGGCACCCAGAGGTCCTCACGATCATCTGCGAAGGTCCTTCTCCAACAGCCCTCCTTGAATGAGGTTGGGGGAGGCTGTTACAAGAAGGGCCTCTTTCGCTATAGCACCCCAATTATATAACTTGCTTCCCCAAAAAGTGTGCCTGGCACTGACACTTTACTCATTCTGGGTTTTCAATGGTTAGATTGCATTTTTACCATGTTAATATCACCCACCAGCACTTTGGCATTTTTAATGATTCTGTTATTTCTAACTGACACAAAAATAGAACAGCAAAATACTCACAGGATTGGACAAGGTCACTCCGCGGAGGCCCTGGGAAGACAGGAAAAAACAGAGAGGGTCCTTGTTACAATATTTTAGATCTTAGAACTGAGCACCTCAAAGCACTCCACACCTTGCCAAGTCACACTTAACTAGCTTAAATGGGGCTACAATATTAATTTTAGCACATACCTGGTAATTCTTCTTCTTCTGCAAAGGAAGCATGAAAAGAACAATAATTTAGAAAGAACTATAGCTTGTATTATTCAAAGAGCAGTTGTTGGTGCTCAGGAGGGCAATAAAGAAGAGTTAAACAATGGCTTTGGACTGGTAGTGCCAGAAGCCCTCTAGAAGCATCCCATAAAGAGTACATTTTGTTTAAGTATTTTTTCCTTTTTTAAGAATAACACAAGCTTACAATCGACAGGGATAACCTAGCTTTCAATAATCTTGCTCTGCAGAGTAAAACAGGTTCAGTCCACAGCTTCTACGGAAGGGAACCTTGACAAACCCTGCGGAGGGGCTGCCAGTTGGTGTAGGAAGCACTGGACTGGGTGGATCCATGCTCTGAATTCAACATCCTGTGTTTTAAACAGAGGCAGGCAACCTGCTCTTCTCCAGATGCTCTGGACTCCAACCTCCCTCAGCCCCAAACGGCACGGCCAGTGGTCAGAGGTAATGGAAGCTGTGGTCCAAAATGGGCATGCGCTGGTTCGCCGGCCCCCGTTTCCATGTGGTTCAGCTCTCCTTCCACTGATCTTCCGGTATCCCACACTGCTGCACTGGTGACCAGAGCAAGCCAACACTGTGGCTGCACTTTAAACTTGCCGTCATTTAATCCCGCATTTAATCCCAAGACGTTTCCACAAAGCTAGGGACATACTCACAGACGCGTTGCGCGCTCCGTGGCCCGGCTGAGCAAACATCATGCAGGCCTGCCAAAGAAGCAGGAGGAGTCATTAAGCAGCCACGGACATTTGCGATGCTATACGAATTACTCGGCGTTTTGACCCTGGAAGCCCTGGGACATAATTCAGCGCTGCTTCCGAAGGCCACGCTGGGGCCGAGAAGCGGCAGGCTGCGAGACAGGATCCGCATTAGGCAGTTTCGAAGCTCACAGCTGTGGGTAAATCTGAACCCGTATCTTTCCGGATCACAGTCTTAATCAGTACAGAGTTCATGTGATCTGAGGCTGTGATTTCCAAATCATGAGAAGCAAGTTCCGCTTTATTCTGCATTAGTCCAACTGGGCCCAGTTAGCTACAATTTACGTTATATTTTATATTGTAAACCGTCCTCAGGCTTTTTTGCAAATAGGATGGCATATAAATATTTTAAATAAATAAATAAATAAATAAATAAATAAATAAATAAATAAATAAATAAGAACAGTATAGAAGAGGACAAAGATGATGAATCAGGGACCAGGAGAGCGGGAAATGTGACAAGGGGCAAAACCTGCTCATGGCAACCAATTGGTTGCTTTTTGCTGTGTGGGGTCCTTTAGTAGCCTGTATTCCTGATTCTAAAAAAGAAAAACCCATATGGAAATGCTCAAAAACCCAGGAGAGGCCCCGGTGGGGGAGGAGGAGGTTGTGTGAAGAGCCAACAGATTTCTGTGGGTTGGGAATCGCACGAGCACACCAAATGCTTCATGCAGAGATGCCCATGGCAGCTGGCCTCCCGGAAGTCGATTATTTCTCAGTAGCCTAGCCGAAAAGTGCGACTGAGCTTAGGGGTCCCGCGAAAGTGACACGCATGCAGGCAAGCCCTTGAGTCATGGAAGGTGCCACCCTCTAGCGCCCTGACATCGTTTTTTGGGGAGAGGGGCACGGGAATTTTTGGAGTTAGGATGTACACAAGCCTTCAAGTCCAGAACTGGAACGCATCGAGCCCACGGTGTCTGGCATCGCACCCTAAAACCGCTCCACGAATCTGCTAGTATTCCTCACCACTCCAGACCCTAGTTGGTTGGACAAATAAAAGCGAGGCAAGCAAGCAAGCAAGCAAAAGAGGTTGTTCTACTCACATTGGTGGCTGCGACGGCATCAAACACAGGAGGAAAATTCATGGGGGGAGTATAAGGCGGTGGTGCCTGAAACAGAAGGGAAATGTATCTGGAAATGGAAATTCACTTTCAAAAAAAGTTGCTTCCAAAAAAACAACTACCATGTACTGGGGGAAGAGGAGAAAGTTCCTGGGAAGACAGTGAGCAGGCATGTATTTTTTTAAAAACTCAAATACAGAATCAATATGGGGAGATGGTTTTCTGTAAAGAATCGACTGTGGTTAAGTTGTTTGCAGAAATGTAAGTTCTCGTTTTCCTGCTACCTTGACACCTAAGCCAACTCGTGAATCAACTCTTCCAGAGCTGCACTGAATGGTCGTCACTGATGCTTTAAATTGGCTGGGGCAGGCAAGAGATTCGTGGAGTCCCAGCATCCAGGTCACCCCGGGAGGGAGGAAGGCGGCAAGCACAGGTGTGGTGCAGGTGAGACTGGAGCCATTTAGCACGGCCGTTTCCTGTTGGTGCTGCAGCTTCTGCACTTCCCCCTCCATAGCACTATCTAGAAGATCAAATATGCTCACCTAGATAAAATACTTGGTACAAGGCACCAAGATCATTGCTGCTGTGACTCATTCCATGCAGAGGCACTGGCATCAGAGGCACTGGCATCAGAATTGTTATTATTTGATTTTATGCTGTCCTTTAACCAAAGCTCTTAGGGTAGCTTAAAAGATGCAGTGAGCCCCCCCCCCCCCACATAGGGGGGCACCCTTGACAAGCGGGTCTCTCTCCATTCACATGGTGAACAGGCTTCACAGGGTGAACAACCCCCACAAGTGCCAAGATAAAAATGGGCAGCCTCGCTTTAAAATGGGTTTGCCTGAAGAAACAAAAAAAACCTTTCCCTTGATTTGCAACAACTTGGTTTTTGCACTGAAAGCTACAAAATTTAGGATGTTAAGTTTCAATAAATAGCATGGAAAGGAAGAGGAAAATTATGTAAACCACATTGCTGGGCGGGGAGGGGAGGCAGGATATAAATGGAATGAAGGAATGAAAGGATTGAGAGTTGGAGGGATGAAAAGGTGTAACTTACACAAGTCCCTGAAAAGCTGATGCAACTCACGGAGATTTCCCCACCGACGTGCAAAGTCTGGACAAGATGGAAGGGGAGGCGGTGTTTATATTCCAGAAAGTGGTTGCCGTTAACAGATACCTAGAGAAATAATGGAACCAGGTGAAGGAAACTCTTCGGTGAACAAGAAGCAGAATTAGATTTGGGGTCCCCAGAAAACAGGGTCGCAGCCACACGGTGGCAGCTATCATAGAAAAAAAAATGTGGAATGTTTTCACTAAGGGATGAAATGAAGGGATTCCCTGTAATGACTGGGGGATGCTGGGAACAGCAGGGCTCTTTTCTGCCTAAAGATCCATAGGGTGGCACCTTCAGAGTCCACCAGAGAAGGAGGGTTTCTCTACTTTCGGGAGCTGAAACAGAAAAAGTTTTGATCTCAGAGCCAAACAAAATGTGCGGAGTTTTATCCAGCCCACTGCTCTGTCCACACACAAAGCAAAGACAGGGCAAGCCAGTTCTTTCCATGAAAAGGTGCTGGGGAGGAAGGAAATGAGACCTACTTCACTGTCACTTTTTTTTAACCTCTCCGTATTTTGCTGCTTTAAGTTGGAGTAGACAGAAGCTGTTTCGCACATCAGCAAGAGTTTCGCACTTCCTGCGTTGCCACAGGAGCAGTTAAAAACAATTCCCCTCCTCTGTGCCAGCAGCTTGTCTTTCAGCCACAGTGTTCCTCCTTGTAAATGATCCATCTGAATTGCTGGAGCCACCGGGCCTTTATCTGCACAGATCTGCTAGCTCAGACCTCGTTTTGGTAGTACCCAGGATGTCCTGCAGATCACCCCAGTGTAAGTCTCACGGGAGGCAGGATGCTACTGGTGCCAACCCTGAGCCTCCTCTTCATATCTGGCTCTTCCCACCCCCACCGAGTGCAAACTGGTGGCTCCAACTTTACTGGGGCTGTGTATCCACTCTGGGGTTTAGCCTGAACTGCAAAGGAGTCCTGTGCTCCTGTTGATGATGATGATGATGATGATGATGTTTTTACACTGCCCATCAGATCACAGGTACCCTGGGTGGTGCACATGATCAAAATGCAATAAAAATATAAAACAATCATTGTAAAAGCACCATAAAAATACAACAGTACAAATCACAGCCACTGCTGTGAAGAGCAAAACACCATCTTTCCCCTTTGGCTGCCTGACCCGCAAAGCCATCTTGCTCCACAATGGCAAGGCGATGCCTCTCGCGCCGCCCCAGGGAGGGCTCCGTGAGGCTCCCCCACCTGATAGCAGTGGCCGACAACGTTGATGATCAGCTCGAAGTAGACACCGGGCTGGAAGGGCATGCTCCTGCTGCGCTCCTCTGACCCCCATTGGCCTCTCTGGTGCGTGTTGCAGACAACCACCCGGCCTTCATCGAACCGCGGGTTGAAGTGGAAGGCAATATCTCCGTTCGCACACACCAGATTAACGGTGAACCTGAAAAGGGAGATCGAGGTGGGGCCGAAACCCATCAGGCTGGAGACGGGGTGGGGACTGGATTGCCCACGGGGAGGCCTGCTGAGCTGAGATGTAGGAAAAGTGGGGGAAAGGGGTCTCCTGGGGACAGCAGGAGCCTGGTTCCACTAAGAAGCCATGGCTTGTTAACCAGGAACAACCCATGAAGATACCTATGGTTTGTGGTCGGGTTGTGAACCGTGGGTTGTTCACCATGGCTTGTTAGCATGACTGGGTTCAGACAATGCAATAAACCACATTTCAAGAGCCACCCATGATTCAATGACAACCCACACTCAACCCTTGTGGATTATTTGCATGCAGTCAGAAATCTTGTCCAGAGGGATCGCAGCTTGAAAGCACGATGAGAGAGCGCTACTATTTCTAGAGAACCTATTTCATGAATTGGGACATGGCATGAAAAGATAACAACACCACTGAGTGTTTAGCGGCTGGTCGCTTAAAGATGTGATCAGCAAGGCTGTGCGCAGGATGAATTCAGGAAAGGGCACGATGTAACTCACCTGTAGCTTGGGGAAAGGGCAGATAAAGCTCAGAAAACTTGCCTTTCTATGCATAATTGGACAGAAGGAAGTTGGGAAGGAAGTTGTAGGGCTGTATTTCAGTGTAAGCATGTGCACAACTACACCATAAGAAACACGCAAGTACTAGACATCACAGACGAATAATTTCACACATAGTCTGAGCTGTTGCAGTTTTAACAACTGTGAAGCCAAGTCTGATTTTTCATTCAGCACTGCGGAAAACAACATTTGCTTTGATGAACTCTGCTCATATTAGCATGCAATCGTTGAATTTCCGCAATTCAGGTTAACCATTTTAAAATAACCGTTCACGCTGGGGTTCAAAGCCGCTTTCGGCATAGCAGCTTCAGGCTGTGTAATGTGCTGTTTTTAATTATTCCTGAGCAGCAGATTCTCTACCATCCTGGTTTGCCACGCTGTAGCATAAGCTGTCCCGAGACTTTTGTAGGGGAGGGGATAGAAAAGCTTTTAATTGATTAATAAATGAATAAATGAGCCAATTTTCCAAGTCCTTCCCTTTCAAAAGTGTCTTGTTCTCTAGAAGCAAGACAGGCAAAGTTCCAAGTCCACCCTAGTTGCTTGTTCCTCTGAACACAGGTACCAAAGTTAACACCATAAAACCATAAAACCCAGAATAACCCTTTCATTTAAATTAAGCCTCACAGAAGCACTGCCAGTTAGTAGAGCGGGAAACTGTCTGAAATCGCCAGCAGCTGGCCAGCCTCCTTAAGCCAACACCTAGCCTGCAAACAAACAGAAGCGATGCCGCTTTAAGCCCCCTTTAATCCTCGAAGGCCAAACATGTTCAGGACAATCCTTGTTAGCCAGTCACAGGCTGGCTGGCACCATGTTTCCGTTTATTTATTTCTCTTATTTATTTATTAGGATATTTTTATTCCGTCCAATACGGGTCGGCTTTGGACGGCTTACAATATAATAAATACCACCAGTGCTTCATTTCACACAGTATATCCATGCTTCCCCCCCCCCCCCCCACGTACTCCTGTGAGTATGTAGAGAGGTTAAGCCACCAAAATGGCCGCTCTCCATGCAGCAGGCCTCAGCCGCACCTCCGATTTCCCCAAAAGATCCAGGGCGATGCGAAATCGGGGGGATTGTGGGAAGTCAAAAGGCAGCCTAGAGCTGGAAGCTTTACACTGCTCTGTGTGTTGGGACAGAAAAAGAGTATTGTTAAACTGTCCCGAGACTTCAGTAAGGAATGGTCTAGAAAAGTTTTAAATAAAATAAATAATAGTATAATAAATATTATTATTATATAAACCTAAATCTTAATAATAGTGTAATAAATAGTATTATATTATAATAGTAAAATAAATATTTATTAATATAAATATTACTAGTAGTATAATACTGTTATTATACCAAAATAGTATAATAAATAAAATTAACTTTTATTTATGTGTTTATTTAAATAACAACATAAATACAAGTTTTAAATAATAAAATAAAGGGTTAGGGGCGGTCAGCTTCTGCAGGGGGGCCTGTGGCCATCACACTTGCCCACGGAGGCCAGAAGGATCTGCTGCCCCAAAGAAAGCCTTCCCAGACCCACCGAGACCCAAGCCAGCTCTACACCTCTGGCTCCAACTGAATGGGTGCAAAGCCCTCTGCGCTGGGGTGAAACAGAAGTCAGCAGGTTAGTGCAGGTTTAGGGGCAGAATCTGGTGCTGCAGCGAGCAGAGGCATGCAGTGCAATAAAAACCAGTCTGGAGGTGGAAGGGCTGCGACCATCGCGCTTCTAGCAACTGGTCCACGCAGCATCTTTTTGGGTCCATTAACCACAAGAGTGGTGTCTACTTTGGGGAGGCAGGGGAAAGTCACAGGACCAAAGCAATGAAGAAAGACTTTCTGCCACAGGAGGATCAGGTATGCCAGATCAGGTATCAGATTGGCCAGGTGGGACATCATTGAATGGGAGCCAAACAAGCTGGAGGACAAACCTTTTGACGGAAGGGTGAACTTGGCCTTGGATTTGAATCTTCTTCCCCTCATTCAGTCCCCCCAAAATGGGGCCCGTAAATGGGACAAACTGGGGGAGAAAAAGTAAAGGTCATTGCTGGCCCCACACCTTGAACGCCAAGCATGATTTCCCATCATCCGCATCTTTGAATTTCGTTTGCATTTTAAGTTTCGGTTTGAAAAATCAACATCCTGCTTTTCAAATGTCCAGTCGTGGCTTCGAGGCGACTTGGAGGAGAGCAAGAATCGGGGAAGTTCAGACCAAACGTTGGCCCTGAGATGGCCTCACATGGAAGAAGGCAAATCAGTTCACCAGCTCTGCTTTCCTCTGCTCTGCCTTGAATAGCCGGCCGACCAGGAAATTAAGGAGACGAGCTTTTCCCATCACTTACCTCCACGAGATGAAAAGCTTTTGCCAGCTTTTGTGCATTTCTGTACAACATTTGAATGATTCTTGCAACACGAACCCCACACACCCTCCACTACGTACCCTGCACCCTCCACTACGGAAGTTCACAAAAGCCAAATCCCCCCGCTTGATTTACCACCAACATCACCACGGAACGCTGCTGTAGCTTGGCCACTAAATTCGGCCTGAATTTGGCCACTGTGGCGTTCTGCACAGGCCGGCCTCTGAGCCTCGGTGGCAAAGTTTACGGCCACCAAATTCTGCGGCATGCCGGGGTGGAGGTGCAGCCCAGGGAATGGGGAGGGTGGAAAGGAAGTCTTCTGAGGACGCCTGCCCTTGTAGCTGCAGGGCCCCCCCACTCGAACCGCTGGCCGTGAGCGAAAGAGCAGAGGGGCTCCAGGCCTCCCTCTCAGCAACGGCCTGGCCCCCTGGGCTCAGGCTCGTATTGCCAAGGGTGCCTTCAAATGGAGGCCGTGGGAAAGTAGCCGTCGGAAGGCAGTGCCCAGAGAACACATCTTCTCTTAACGACTGTCCATGGTGACAGAGAAGAAGGAAGGTGAGGGAGGAAAACTCGGAAGGACCACGAGTGGAAGGCATCGCCCTGTGGATATGGAGAGAAGTGCAGCAGGCAGGGCAGGGTGGCCCAGAGGCTGGTGGCCAGTGGCCAGTCTCCAGCTCCACAGCTGCTGTGCAAACGGCACCCCACTGGAAAGAGCGCTCCAGGCTTCCCGGCCCCCACCCGAAAAGGTTTCCCAGGAGGGTCTGTCCCTCACAGCGCTGCAGAGTCGAAAGTCCCAGCATCTCCAGGTCAGGCTAGGAGAGGGTCTTGCCCCGAGCCCTGGAGAGCTCCCGCCAGTCAGCGCCAGCAGCCCTGGGCTCCATCCTTCTTGGGCAGCCCCCTGGGCTCCCCCTTTCCTCTCCACACTCACCGGGTTCAAAATAGGCTGCTGCAAGGCCATCGGGAAGCTTGCTGAAGCCAAGGACGTGGACCTGCTCTCCCTGACACTCACTCTATCAGATGCTTTGGTGCTGCAAGTTTCGTTTCCTGAAAAAGTGGGCGGGGAGTTCCTCGCTTTGTTCGACAAGCAGCCCGGGAGGCAAGCCCCGAGGGACGAGCCCAGGCCGAGCAGTCCTGCTTGCCTCCCATTTTTAGGCAGGACTCCGCTTTTTCCCAGCCTGCAGAGGTGGCCAAGGTGGGAGACCAGATGAGGGAGAATCACACTGAATGTCTGCTTGCCGTGAAGAAAGACGACCTCATCCGCCGGAATAAACAAAAGCTTTCCCCTTTCCCAGCTGGGGACTCCTCGGGATTCTCAGAAGATGCTTGGAAATTCTGTGAATGGGGAAAACAGCAGGAACCTGCTAAAATTCTCCTTGCCACCCCTTGGTCCTCGCTGGAAAGTTCCCAGGGAATATAAGCCCTTGGTGTCCGAGTGTCCACGTGTCCTTTCTCTCTGGAAGCCAGGGCTCCGTGTGAAGGGCTGCCAGAGGATCGTTCTCTAGTGGGAGACACCCTTTGGCTGAAGAACTGCCCAGGCCCAACTCAAAGGACCCTCAGACTTCATTGCCTGGCTGGTGTGTCCCAGGACAGCCGGCCTGAACATGTAGGCCCTGTACTAATCTTTCACACTAGGTAAAGATGTATTTACGCTCACACTGCAGTATACATGCAAGCTATACATACAAATTAGTGTATGTACCCTTTTTGCAAAGGCATTGTCTCTTGTCCGCTTTTTTGCTGATGCGTAACCGGCTGGTGTACTTGGTATGGGAATGCCAGATAAATCTCATATTTTCTGCAAGCCAAAACTCACCAGCCAACTCGTTTAAAAAGTGTGAGACAATTTTTCCTTTCAAATTCACCTTCCACGCTTCTTAAATAAACACATGAGAACACTTGTGTATATATGTATATCCATTATTTGTAGTTAGGAAATAGTTGTGTGCCAAAGTCCCACGCTAAAGATTTAATTCTTCCCCAGAGGGCAACTCCAAGCTGAAAGACAAATTTATGCCAGCATAAACTTGCATAAAGATTAAACATACAGTTTCTATTAAACTATATCCATTAAGTAGAATGCACCTACTTCCTCAGAGTAACTCTTAGGCAACAAGAGTTTATAAACAGGCAAACTATTTAAACCATGCCTATTTAACAATGCAGTACTAATTATCCTGCAATGTTACAAATAAATCATGATGCAGGAAAGCCACATTCCCTATTTAAACGCACCTGTTTAACCACAGGGTATCTATTCACCATGAAGGGCAGGTGTATGCAAAATCTGTAACTCACAGCGGTACATGTGTTATATACATCCATTTCTTCCCCGTTTTGAACCCACGGTCAAGCGCCAGAGTGTCTGTGACACTCCAAAATGGAGCCAGCGCCGTGGCAGGAAAGCCGGGATGTGAAACCTCTTGCAAGCCACGGGCTGATCTTGGAGGAGCTCCCGGGGGCTGCGTTACAATGGTGGGGCGGGGGGGCAAACACAAAAGGAATGAGGCCACATAAAAATCCTGGCTTATTTCGGGTTAAAGCCTTGGGTTATTTTTTTTCACTCTTCAGAATTCATGAACCCCGAGAAAGCACCCCTTGACTGGTGGTCAGAGGAAAGGTACAGGGCCTTCTGGAAGTCCCTGGGGTGGCCCCCAGACCTGCAGCTCTGTGCCCCTCGGCAGGTAACCAGTAGTGGTCCTGACATCATCCGGAGTGGTGCTTCACCCCCCATGGCTGCTGTTGCCATAGAACAGAAAGGGGGCAGATAGGAGTCAGCAGAGGAACAAGTCAGAAGGACACCTGGACTGCCCCTGCTCAGCATCCCTGGCAACAGACCGAAGCTCAGCAGAAAAACACGTGGTCCCCGGGGCATCACCCAGTTTTTAAAAGATGCAGGTAGCAGGTGGTGGCAGGTGATGGCACCCCAGAGAACTGCTGTATCAGGTTGTGCATGGAACAGGAAAAGCATACTGCTTCAACTTTCTTTCGCTCCTCTTATCAAATCCAGGTTCCTCCCAAGCTCCATGACACACACACCAAGTTTCTTCCGTCATGGGCAAGTGCAGGAAAGCAAATTCCCCAATTCCAAGCAGGAAAGTAAAGGTGCTCTCACAACCACTTGCTATAAATCAGGAAGGTCCCAGCCTGCAATGTCCCAAGCGAGGGCAAGAGACACCCCATTCCCCAACAAGTGGAAACAAATTGCGAGATGAACAGGATTATCATGCTGGAAAAACAGACCAAACACAACCCAGAAGCCACCCTAGTCTTTACCCATCACACTGACGTAAATTCAAACCATGTGCTACAGACTGATTCTTCTTAGCTTAGGGACACACAAACAAGCGCCAACTCCAGAACCTGCTGGGTTCCTAGCAAGAAACCTTCTAACTTGGAATAGGTTGCAACCTGGATTCACTCCCGAGCTGCCCTTGGCCCAGTTTTCCTTCTTAGAACAGGAGTGGGGAACTGAGGCCCTCCAGATGTTGAGCAACAACACCCATCAGCCCAGGCACTGTGCCACATAGCAGTTATAATCCAACCATGTTTGGAGGGCTGTCGACTTCCTGTCCATACGCCGTAAGTAAATATCCCTGCTACCACAAACAGATGTAGGACACCGTGCTATGGATGTATAGAAGAAAAGTCCTACAATTACCAGCATTTCCGGCACATGCCTTGGATCCCACTCTTATCCCATAAATTAGCTTATGATTACAAAATGATATGCCCCAGTAAATAAATTGGTCCTCAAAGTACCAGAAGATTGTTGTTTATACAAGGGTAATTTCCTCTCCAGTTATCCAACCCACTAACATTCCAGTAGTGTTTTGCCTTCCGTTTGGATTCCCAAACAACTAAGGCTTGTTTTTATTCTACATGAGAAAAACCGTCTTGATCATGATGATGCTGAGCTGAGACGAAGAGCATGACTGTATCGGTTGGACCAGGACAACCTGCGGCCGGCCAGATCACAAGGCTCTTCCACTTGAGTGCAGTGATTCTCAAACTATTTGAGGGGTGTCCAGTCTAAGTCTAGTTTAAAGACTTTATCTTTAGTTTAAAGATAAAGATCTGTCTGAAAGGGGGGGCCAGGTGTGATCATAGAATCACAGAATAGGAGAGTTGGAAGGGACCATGAAGGCCATCCAGTCCAGCCCCCTGCTGTTGCAGGACACCACTCAGAGGGCTGCCCAGTTTCCCCTTGAATGTCCCCAGTGTGGGAGAGCCCCCCACTCTCTAAACAGCTGGTCCCACTGTCCCATTGCTCTGACAGTGAGGAAGCTCTTCCTGATGTCCAGCCTGAACCTGGGTAGTCGCAACTTGAACTGATTATTCCATGCCCTACACTCTGGAATGAGCGAGAAGAGATCTTGACCTTCCCCTTTGTGACAGCCTTTGAGGTCCTTACAGAGGGGTACCATGTCCCCCTCAGCCTTCTCTTCTCAAGGCTGAACATGCCCAGTTCCCTCAGTCTCTCCTCATAGGGCAATGTTTCCAAACCCTCCAAGATGTATCTCTTTTATTTCTAAACTTGCATCTAGACATGTACACTGGCCCAGGCAGGTTCTATTTAACTCGCTGTCCTCTTTTCTGGCTATGTGCTGTGCTTGTGTGCAGGCAAGTTGTCTCCGACTCGGGCGAACCTATGGAGAGCCCTGCAGAAGGTTCTCTCCAGGAACATTCAAGACCGGGGCTTCCGTCCTAGGGCCGATCCTGGTCTGATTTGGTCCTTCTCCTGCCTAGGCAGCGGCACAGCTGTTTATCCCTCAATCTCCCCATGTGTGGTATGGAGTGATAGGGTTGTGTTAGATCCGTGGGGCAAAAGAAAGGAAAGGCACTGGTCGAGCTTCACGTTGCCAGCAAGGCTGAGACGTTTGTCACCTCGCGGTGACTCACACCAAACGCGGCCCCGGGCAGTGTCTTGGCATCACACCTCTGCACGTTCATCCGGTCGCTGCACCAGCTTGTTTTCATCTGGCAGCTCATTCCGGGAGGCTCTTCCACATGGGCTGCAATGACTCCGCGGGACTTTACCTGTTGGGCGAACAGTTGCCTGGATCTCTTTAGATCAGGCTTGGGCAGCTTGTGAGGAACCCCAGGGGGTTTTGGCCTGCAACTCCCATCACCCCCGCCACAGACTACACTGCTGGGGCTGATGGAAGTTGTAGGCCAAAGCACGCCGAGGTCCGCAGGTCGGCCATCCTTGGCTCAGATCACACGGTCCTTGAGCTCAGCAGCTGCACAAGCTCCCAGGACTGGCTTTGTCAAGCTGTCGTTCTCTGGGCATGGGGAACTGGAACTCACGCCTCCCACCAGAACAGCCACGCGGACTGGGATGGTCGGAGTCGTGGCCCAACTCTGCAAGACAACGACGTGGAGGCTGCAGGAACAGAGATGCAGTGCAGGATGGAGCGGAGATGCCCGGGCACTTAAAACCTCCCAGCCCGCTTGGCTGTAAGAGGCAGCCATCTGCTTCTGGACCTCAACAGCCCAGCTTTGACCTGGTTCTGCCAGTCCCTTCTCTAACAGTTTGATCCACTGCCAGGACCACGTCCCCCAGGTCTCCGAGGGGAAGAAGCACACCTCCTCGGGGAGAGCGTTCCTCCAGCAGGGAGCAACCCTGGCTGTGCCGGCCTTCTCCGGCTCGGCCCACTCCAGATGTTGTGGACTGTAACTCCCATCAGTCCTGACCTGGGCCAGCAACAGGACTTGCAGTCCAAACAGCTGGAGAGCATCAGGTCAAGGTGCACTTGGGCCCTTCCGTTCTAGATTAGCATCAGTTAGTAGCGCTCAGAGGTCAGCTTGCTTTTGCTGTCTGGATCCCAGGCAGAAGGACCACCTTCTCTGATCCAGGTGCTAACAGGAACCCACCCGGAGGCAGTGCTGGGAGTTAACCCGTGAGGCCTCCACCTCACTGCCCAGCCTCCTGACTTATCGGATGCCTGGGAAAGGCATTCTTGCAACTGGACAAACTGGTGTTCCGACCGCTACAATTTTCCAGTCGAGGAGGAAATATCTAATCAAGTCCCTCCTTGCCAAAGTACACAATAATACAACGATTGTCACATGCTCTGCGCATCCCAGTGAGTGAGATGGGCCAGGCAGCATCAGCCAGGTGTGCTGTCCCTTGGAGGACTGGAGACTGAAAGGAGCTTGGTGAGGTTTGCTTTATTAGCCACAGCCGGCGAAGGTTGGATTTTTAGTCTGGTTTCATTCCAGTTTACACTTTTTGAAGCTTGGCTGGGGCATGCTGGGAATTTTAGCCCTTTTTGCTCTCAAAGGCTATATATGAGTGCACCTTAAGGCTGTCACAGAGTCCATATCGGCATCTCTGCTCCTTCGCTGCTGTTGATACCTGTCCATAGGCAGATCCCGAGCCTTCTGCTGCGAGGCAAGAGCACCATTCTCCAAGACAGACTATAAGCCTTCGATGACACAAATGGAGTGGTTTGAACAGAGGAATGTAGGGCCCCGTGAGGGGTATAGTGACACAAGGTTTTAGCTGGATGGAGGCTGGAAATTCTTTGGGGCACAGATTAGCTGTCTCTCCCCATGGATTTGAGATCTGTATGCATACGTGGATGGCGATCACCTCCATCCTGTTTTGTAAATAAAGCAAAGGCTGCAAGAACAGGATCTTTTCCAAGGCTGTTGGCTACACCAAAGAAAACCAAGCCCAAAAACACACTGCACTGACCCCTGGAAATTCTCGCTATGCCAGAATGTACAAACTCAGAGCCCTGCAGAAAAAGCAATTCACTTAAAAACATTGAGTGTTGATCAGTCCTTCTCAATCCAAATAGCATGATCCTATTTGCTTGCCCAGTCATTTTAATTGAAGGATATATCAGATGGGTGTGTATAATTTTTGAATGCCTAATTTGTTTTTAAAAGAGCAATTATTTAATTTCCTTCAGGACTAGTCTATATGGATTATGTGATGCTGGGGTTTTTTTTTTTTAAACAAACTGGCTTAATTAATCTTTATGAGTTAAGAGGGGCCCACATTTCTAGATTACAAAGCCATGGAATGCTACTGGTTTTCAATTTTAAAAACAAATTGTACATGCATTGCTGTGAATGTATATTGTGCTTTTCAGACCTCTGCCCTGTGGAGGAAATGGAGCTTCCTTCTATGTTTAGGGTTATTCAGGTAAGCTAGTTTAACAAAGCAGTGACATCAGCGGTTATGGGAGAGAAAGTTGAAACTCACAGCAACAAGTGTCTTTACCCTCAGAGAAAATTTCCTTGCTTATATAGCATTCTTGGTTATATAGGTAGAAATGGAAACCTATCCAATTACTATGTATGTAAAGTACATACAGATGAGAGACTGAATAACATACATTCAATCAGAGATGCACCAATTAACCAACATTTGCCTTCCCGACACATACATATTCGTATCCTTGTTTCCCATCAGGCCTAGTTGACCAGCAAAATATGCAAGGCCGAAAGATTTTCTCCTTCTACAGTCTGACGGTGTGAGTGTGGAGAGAGGATGGAAGGATGGGAGGGGGATTCTGGGTAATAAGAAATGAATGAGAGCAGATGCACTAATAAGCGTGGCAGACTAAGCTGTGCAGTTCGGGTTGTCCACATTCCTCCGACTCACCTCTCCATGCTTCGGAGAATCTTGTACGCAATAAGACTTCTGGAGGAGACCTGGTTTCTGGGAAGAAGACGGCGACAGACTCACTGCAAACCAGGTTCATAATCTTCCACATCTCCCCTGGAACTTTCCCCCAGACTGGCACATTTCTAGGAGTAGCGGGAACATGGTCAGGGTTCCACACCCCATGTCTGCGTCTTATCTAACTTGGCTTCTATGAACTTTGTGCAGTGGGCTACACCCAATGCACCGGCATAGACACTGCAGGCAGAAGGACCTCCATCCAGTAGAGAGAAACAGTGTGGGCTTCTCTCCTAGGAGAAGGATCAAAACGGTTAGGATTCTGCTTCCACAACACAAAGAAAGCTGAACTTCATTAACTTAACATCCAAGGCAACTTGAAGACTGGAACAGCCAAGAAACGGGACACGTTGTACACCTGGCAATGGAAACACACAATCGGTTGTGTGCACCCAACAAGGGCAAACGCCCACCCCAGCAAGGGTGAGCCAAGACTCACTGCCCTTGGGAAGATTTGAGCCCATCTCAAGACCGGGAGACGTGCCCACCTCTGCAACTCTTTTTCTTTACTTATTTAATTTCAGTTACCAGTCAATCACTGAAGCTCTTTTACACTCGGAACATCGCTCCAGAACTGCTCCATCAGCCTCCCCACACTCAGCCTGGGGTTCCCCACATAAGTGGGGACTATGGCTCCCAGATTCTAGAGGGCACCAGTGGAGGAAGGCTGACCTAAACAGTGTTACCTCTCACTCTCTTTTGAGAATTCTTCCTCATAGGCCGCCTTCTCTTGGGCGAGGGAGTTGTTAAACTGAGCAGCTGGATCCCTCCTTTGTAAGTCAACAGGTTCAACCACACAGTTAAACAAACCACCAGCATTATCCCACATTGTGCAGTCAACCGATGGCTGCAAACAGGAACAGGATATTGGGCAGCTGTGCATCTTATGCCCTGTTTAATCCAGCAATAGCTCTTTTCTGGCAACACACAAGCAAGTGTTCAGACCCAAGACCACTTTGTCGCCTGGCTTCTTCCTTGCTTCGGCTTTAGGTTGCACACCCTCCAACCCAGCCCTTCTGCACGAACCCGATGCTCTCTCTCCATCACGCAAAACTCTTGCATTCCCAAGTTCTCCAGTCCTCGAACACATACAGACAGGAAGAATGTGTCAGAGGGCACCAGCAACACAGGAGGATTATGGGCAGCTAATTACACATAATAGCATTAGGGACGAAATTTTGAGCTGATTAATTTCTTAATGACACCCCAGCCTGCCTTTGGAATCATCCCATTGTCTTCCACCGCCAGGCTTCGGTGCCCCACAGTATCGGCGAGACAAAAAAGCGTCACTGGATTTGGTCCAATCACAAGCCTGACGCGGGTTCGAGGCACAGCCTTGGTCAAGTCACTGCTTTCTGTCTAACATTCCTGTTTCTGGGCAAACGGGAGCAGGAGATCTAATCCAGGTGTGTGGCCGATGGCGCTCAGGCTCAGTTCCTTAGCGCTATTTATCTGAACTGTTACATCCATGTCAAATTTGGCACAAACTGCACTGAGAATTGTTATTACATTGCATTTAAATCCTGCTTTTTTCCTCGTGTGAGGAGCCCAAAGCAGCTGATAAGTTTCTCCTCCTTTCCATTTTTATCCTTGGAACAACAACCTGTGAGGCAGAGGTTAGGCTGAGAGGGAGTGACTGCCTTTCCTGCCCCCCGATTATAGCCTCCAACATCTGTTTTAAGAGGAAAAGTCAAGGGGTAGTTATGCAGAATTCTGTGTAATGTGTACTTCGGCCTCAAGGCAGCTTCATGTGTTCAAACGTCCAAGTCCCGGCTTGCATCAAAGTCCAGAGCTCGCCTGGCACACGGGTCCAGAAATGCTCCTCACCTGCCAAAACAAACAAAATGCTGTTCACCTGTTCACCACCTGCTCTGTAGATGAAACCTTGCCAGCCTGAAGGGGAAAAGGAGACCAATCTGCAAATACTTCCTATCCTAAGTCACCTAGAGGTGGCTCTTGAGGGCAACAGGTGAGGCTTCTTCGAAGCCTGAATTGGAGCCATTCATCCATCTTCTGTTCTCATCCAATTAATTGCACAATAAGTCCTTCATGGAAATCTAGAGAGACAAAATGTCCCTAGGCAGCCAGTGGAAATCTGCTTCCTTGGAAGAAAGTCCCACTGAAATCAACAGGAGTTGCATCTCAGGAAACACACACGGCCTGCTAGTCACAACACTCTGCAGGTGATTGTCTCCCCACATATTTTAATGTGCCAGGTATAAAATGCAGCTTCTACCACATCCACCTCCCACGTGTGGGCATGTTTCTGGTTAACCGATGAGTCAAATCTGCCTCTTCCCTTACTTTGACAACTCCTTTAAGCAAGCAAAAGCAGGGAAGCTAGAGAAGACCTCAGTCCGGAAGTGGTGCTACCCCAGCAAGCAACTGCAGAAGGGGAGGGCTGGGAGCCCCGGAGGTTTCCACAAAGCACCAGCTGCAACGCGGGAGCCGAAGATTCCTCCACGGGACACGTGGCACCCCCGCCAGCCCTGACAGGGTCCCTTTCATCTGCAAAGCATCACACAGTCCTAAACCAGAGGCTCTTCTTAGAGTCTGCAGCTTCAAAGGCTTCAGGAAAAAAACATGCTGGGCAGAACCACATTGCTTTAAATCTCCCACGCCACGGGCTGTCCTGGTGTCTCAGCCAGCCTCTTTCTCGTCTTGGGACCACTTGCTGGACAGGCAGAATGCCGGGGAGCAAGCGGCCACAGCTCCACCTGCTCCAGTTTCTTTCACCCGCTTTTAGCTGGGCCAGAGTGACCGAGAGAGGAGCAAGCAAGCTGCACCATGATGAAGATGGGCTGGTCCTGGGGACTCTGCTGGAGGGGGCCCACGGCAGGTGCCCCACCAGGCTGATGCCTGGCACTGGCCCGGGGCCGAAACAAAAGCTTGTCGATCAGCAGAAAGGACTTGCCTCAGACTGAGCAACTCATCGCAATGCATGGGAAGTCGGTGGGACCCAGCCAGATTCAGAACCACAAGAGCTGTGAATATTTTTCCAGAGGTGCTCCAAACTATTTAGCAGCAGCCTCACTTGCAAAAATTTAACAGGCAACTTTTTTCTTGGCAAGAAAGGAGGGGAAAACGTCACCTGTTAAATTTCGGCACACCAGACTACTTTTTAAGCACACCAGCAAGCTAGGAATAAAGGCAACCACCTTACCTAGCGTGCCCTCCAGCGCATGGAATACCCCCCACATTCCTACTCATAGGGGCCAATAAGCCGTTCCAAGGTTCATGCCCATGTGTCTTGCACATTTCGGGGGGGGGGCCTTGCCGACGTAGCAAACAAAAATGTGATGCTATTTAGCTCTGGTCTCTGAATCAGCCCACGGAGTGTCTTCTTCCTGACTCACTCCCTAAAGAAGGAAGATGTGTGTGCTTTTCCCCTGCTCTTCTAGCATCCAACGCTATCCCTTGCATAGCTCGAATTTCTACTTGGTGCGAAGTCGTAATTATTTTGATTGGAGAAGGTTACACTTTTCATGCAGCAGGGAGTGTTCCTCACAGAGTTCCTCCCCTCTACACTCAAGGAAAAAACTGGAGGCTTGTGCGGGATTAAAAGAAAGGTGCTAGGTAAGTGCCAGGGCACATGTGCCTGGCGAGAGAGGAGGACGAAGAAGAGCTGGGACGGGGGGCCCTCCATGAGGACAGGAGGAGGACACTGAGAGCAAGGAGAGCACCCCTGCGAAGCGGCCCAGATGCATCCCGAAGAAAACCTCGTGGAGGGAAGCACAAAGGTAGGGCGTCGTGGCTTTTGCAGATGGGAGGGACTTGCCAATTTCGTAGCACGGCTACCGATGTCTTGCAGAAGGGGCGGAAGGGTGGCTTGAGGCCCGATGCAAGCATATTGAATTCCCGCACCGCTGCGAATTCCCCAAGCTTGCTGCTTCCCAGATGTGTTGTATTACAACTCTCATCATCCATGGAAAGCTTGGACATAGGATGGGGAATGTTGCACCTGCCCCTCAGGTCAGAGACATCCTTATCCAGAGCGCACTTATGAAATGCGCTCCCCAGAGAGGTCCGCCTGGCGCCGTCGTTATCTGTTTTTCGGCGCCAGGCCAAGACCTTTTTATTTAAATGTTATTTTAATTAATTGTTAATTTATTTATTGTTTTAACTTATTGCCTGGATGTTTCTAGTTTTTATATATTTGTATTGTTATTTATTTGTTGGAAGCCGCCCCGAGGCTTATGCGAATGGGGCGGCATATAAGATTCCCAAATAAATAAATAATTAAATCCTATAGAGCAAAGACTCCCAACAGGGTGCCAGTTGGTTGCCAGATTTTCATTTTATTTGTTCTGGGTTTTTTAAAGAATCATGGGTGTGTATGAAGCGTATAGACCTTTCTAGCAGCAGTATATATAAGCATCAACATAAGTGGTCCAAATATCCAAATAAATATCCATTTGTATTCCAAATACTAAAAGTGTTGTAACATGCTCGGTCCATTGTATTTAAGAAAGTGAGTGCTTCTCTTCCTATTTTTGTAATATCAATCTGGTATCTGTCAAAAGGATGGATGAATTCCTTTCCCCTTCCATTTCTTAATTTCAATGAAGCAAGTGAAGAATCTACAAGAACATTTACATCAATGACTATTAGGAGGCAAAGTACCCGGAGGAAGGCCTTCTCTGCGGTGGCGCCCCACCTATGGAATGCGCTCCCCAGAGAGGTCCGCCTGGCGCCATCGTTATTTGTTTTTCGGCGCCAGGCTAAGACCTTTTTATTTCAATGATATTTTAATAACTTTTAATATCAGTTTATAGGTTTTAATATGCAGTCAGGGTGGATCTGGATTTTATCTGTATTATGTTTTATTTATTTATTTATTTATTATTTATTTAAAACATTTCTATGCCGCCCCATCGCAACAAAACCTCGGGGCAGCTCACAAAAAATACATAAAAACATACATAAATAATAATAATATAATAATTTAAAAGAAAAAAAATTAAAAATCCACGGTGCATTCTCAGCTAATTTTAAAATCCTAATTAATTCAATAATTTAGCAATTAAAATAAGTTTTAACTAAAAAGGTCTTAGCCTGGCGCCGAAAAACAAATAACGATGGCGCCAGGCAGACCTCTCTGGGGAGCGCGTTCCATAGGTGGGGCGCCACCGCAGAGAAAGCCCTCCTCCGGGTACTCACCCTCCTGATGTCTTTCACAGAGGGTTCCCGGAGAAGGGCATCCGTTGCTGATCTCAAGGGGCGGGAGGGCATATATGGGCGCAAGCGTTATGTAAGCCATCCCGAGGCTATGCTCTAAACAAACAAATAAATAAATATTAAGGACTGTTAAGAATAAGATGCAGCCTAACATCTGGGGAGATGCTAAAAGGGTGACCTGCAGCAGCTTCTCAAATTCCCAGATGGGCTGCTAGAGCCAAAGAGGTGGAGGACGCCTGCTAGAGCGCATGCCCGCCAACATATGGGTAGAGATACGATCCTGGGGAAGGAAGCGCCAGATTTCTCCTGCTTTTACCGAGTGGGGCAAAGCAAGCCACAGAAATCTGGAAACTGCCCCGGGATCCATGGCAACGGCGGTCCATGCTTTGGTAATGTCCTGTTTGGACTACTGTAACTTGCTCTACGTGGGGCTGCCCTTGAAAAGGGCCCGGATACTTCAGTCGGTATGGAAAAGAGCTGCTAGGCTACCTGCTAGAACTGGCGAACAAGATCACATAAAGCCAGTCCTGTATCATCTTCACTGGTTGCTGATTGAAGTCCAGGGCCAACTGAAGGCGCTAATGTTGACATATAAATGGTTTAGGGCCCTGGTTATCTGAAGGAGTGTCTCCTTCCATATACTCCTGCCTGAGCTTGGTTTTTGTCCTTTTCTAAGCTGTTTAGGAAGCCTGTTTGGGTATAAGACAGGGTAAAAATGTTACAAACTCATACATGGAAAGGAGGAAAGGTGCTTGGCCAGGGGAAGGGGGTGTGCCCCTCTGAGGATCCCTGGAGGGTCAAACTGGGGGTTCAGCACCTCAGCCTGATGTTCCCCACCCTGAGTTAACATCTCAACACAATCCAACTGCACCCGAGTCCCACACAGGAAACAGGGACCCCACGGGAGCAACCTCTCCACACTAGCATGAAGCAGCACGGGCAGCCAGCTCTCTCGTGATGCTCCCAGCCACCAGTTTCCACACTCCGTATTTTAACACACCTGCAGGCCAATCTCTCATGGCTCTTCTTCCTTCAGCTGCAGCCTCTCCCAAAGCCACTTCCCCTTCCAGACTCCATGTTTTCACACCAATCTACCGTTGAGGTGAACTTTTCCAGGGATTGCTGTTTCCATGCACTACTAAGTCACATGCCTTCTGATCTAGCGGTACTGTCACAGGTGGGAGCAGCTCTGAAAGGTACAGAACCTGTTTGCATACCTGCAGACTTGGGTTCCCCATTCCACATCTTCCTCCTCCTCCCTCTCCCTGATCATTCCGCACACAGAATCGGATTGCATTTGGGTTTAGGTTTTTAGAAGCCTCTTTTTCACCACACGACCACAGAGCTGTGCAGTTGTGAATAACCAGAGGCGAGGAGAGGAGAGGTGAGGAGAGGAGACCGCCTGCATCTCCTACCTGCCCCCTTTTAGCTCATCTTTCCTTGCACAGATTTTGACAGGATTTGTGAACAGGAAAGCCACAATTTATAGAATTATGCAAGGTGTGGAAAAAGTGGAGAAAACTTTTTCCTCCCTCTCCCAGAATACTAGAACCCAAAGGGGGTCATCCCATGAAGCAGAGGGGTAGGAGGTGCCTGACAGATGAAAGGAAAGGCTTCTCCACCTGAGGCAGAGTCAAACTCTGGGCTATTAGGGTGGTATATAAATGCAAATAATAAACAAACTGCAGAATTCGCTTTTGCAAGTTTTAGTGCCAGCTACCCATTTAGACACCTTTAAAATGTTAGCTTGAAGCTTCCACTGCTGCTCAGTAAGCCTTCAGAGAGGCATTTTCGACTGGGAACAAAAATGCACAAAATTTGGAAAGCCCCCAACAAGCAGGGTTTAGGGGAAAGGATGGCCTGGGGGATTGGATGTAGCTGTCTGGGGAACCTCAGAGGGCTGGATTTGGCCACTGGGATGGAGCCCCCCCCCCCCCCACCGCACAGCTATGCATCAATCACCACAAAGGACTTTTAAACACAAGTTCCTGTAAAAGTGCAAAGTCACACACCAGCGTTTAAAAAAAACAGCCGCCTAAAATAGACGCGAGTCCTTCCCTTCTGCAGTTGCAGCGCTCAGCTGGCTCTTGTGACACACACAAGTGCTCTGAGCACAAACAACAACACACCTGGCCTTTCACACTCCTCCTCTTCCTCCCACAAGTGGCCACCCTACGCACTGGGGCATGGCAATGGATCGAGTCATGCAGACAGCAGAAACCACACGGGTTTCCTTGACATGTGCCCCAGAGCAAATTGTGCATTTTGAAATCAGAATCGCAGCCTCGCCATCGATCCCAGCTCCAGCGAACGTGAGAGAGTTTCTCAGTCAGCCGTGAGGTGAAATGGGCAGAAAAGGCTGCGCTGAGCGGAGGGTTTGGGGGAGGCTGCCGTTCTGTCCCCTGGCCCTCTGGCATCCTGGCACGCGAATGAACCTCCGACTCCTGCCTGGCACAGGCAGCGCCCGCCTCCACATTCCCCACACCTGACAAACCCAGCCCACGAAAACAGGTCAGGGGAGGTTTGAGGGAGCTGCCGCAGTGAGGGGTGGGGTGCTGAAGCAGGAATGCTCCCCAGCTGCCTGCCTCCTTCACAAGAACAAGGAAGGATCCCGAGGGGAACAAACACTCCGATTCCCTCCCAGCACCATAAATACGGAGATCTGGGCTTGCCTGATGCTCTGAGGAGTATAGTGGCAGTGGGTAGATGAGGAGGGCTTGAGAAATCGCGCTCCAGGTCTCTTCAGAAGGGCCACCTATGTGATCCAGGTGAGTCTGCTTACCTTTCCAGACTTATAAGGTGGAGCTCTGGTAGGAGCGAAGTGAGGGATTCAAGGGCTCAGCTCCACTGGGGAGAAGGTCTGGGGGCTGCGTTCTACTGCTCGGGGACAAGAGTTCCGGGGTCCAAGCCCCCAAATACCAGCCTGTTTGTGGGTAGTTTTTTTGCGAGCCAGTATGGTGTAGTGGGACTCAGGGGATCTGGGTTCGAGTCTCTGCTTGGGGCCAGACACTGACTCTCAGCCTGGCCTACCTCACAGGGTTGTTTTGAGGGAAACATGGAGAAGAAGAGCATCTTGTAAGTCACCGGGGGCTCTTTGCAAGAGGAATAGCCATAATTAATTAATAATTAGCCCATATTATTATTATTATTATTATTATTAAGCTTGAAGATTTTACTGCCAGTGACTAAGTCTCTGGAAGGCATTTCATTCTTTTTAGAATAAAGGCAAATCTATGCAAAAGCCAAGAAACCACCAAAAATTGGTGGTTCGGAGATGGGAGAGAAACCTTCTGGGGAGCCCTGGTGGGACAGACTGGGATGCCAGGAGCCATTTGTGGGGGGGATTTGGCCTCCTGGGCCCCCTTCCCCTGTGGCGGGACCCCAGACAGACCCGTTCCACATGCGCTTACCTGTTTCCAAGGCATGACTTATCTCAGTGTAGCTAGAAGCAGGCCTGGGCCAGGCCGGTCCTTGGGTAATGTCCACTGGCCCACCTCAGCTTCAGAGCATCATTCAAGGGCAGAAAAAAACCCAGTTATTCCATCTGTGATATTTTTACTGCCAAGGATCAAGAGAATGTTAGACCTGGCCCCAAAATGGCCATCTTTGTGTAAGCTGGTCATCTGAGCAGCACACGCATATTCCCCATCAGCTTCTTCCTCGTTAAAAGCAGCCCTGCTGGACCAAATGAAGTCTCCGTCTGGCGCAGCAACCGGTCCTCACAGTGGGCCACCGGAACGAAGCGGCCACAGCCCACCTGGCACTCGAGTCTTTTCCCCCTTTTGCTCTTGCACCTAATTTATCACACAGCATACAGAATATTTCGTGAATGGCACTCACCACATTCCGGATGGGCAGTTTCCGGGCGTTTCCAGGTGAATGGCTCCTTTCTCACGAAGGGTTTTCGTGATAAAATAAAATGCAAGAGAAGCAGTGGGGAAAACACAGGAAAATGATGAACGGAAGAGGTCATCTGGGTCCCTGCAAAGTTATTTGATTCCACAACACAAAGCTTGTCTGGAAGTGCTCTTAAACACAACCCTGAGAAAGTTCACCCAGCTAGTTGCACTGCAGCAAAAAACAGGGGTTTGCAACCAAACAATGGTACTGTAGCAGCAGCAAGAAAAAAACCCCAGTTTGTCTTTAAAACAAATCACACAAGGAGTAAGTGCCTTGTTTTGAACTAAAAGCCCAAAGCCTAATGGGAAGGGAGAAATTTAGTGACTTTCCCCAACATTAAGATGCTGTGATGGGGTGCTTCACCAGTTGCATTTCTGCCTGTCAAGCAGTTGTTTAAAAGCACAGTTGTTTAAACGTATTATCCAGGAGGCCTGCCGGAATAACGGGAAAATCTAACCGCTCCCCATTCCTGTAGTACCAGGTACTCATTTTTTATGTATGCATTCATAAAATTTTAAAATTGCTTTTCAGCCATTCTGATAGGATAGGAATGTAATAGCAGGAAATTCTTCCTTGATCAATAACCATAATAGCTGATAATGATTCTCTTCATGTTGCTGACTGGCCTGTAAAACAAAGTTTCCCCTTCCTCAGCCTTAGTCACACTCCAAGCTTCAAGCCTGGATGATTTCCGAGCATCGTTCTGCCAGATCGGAGCACTTCCAGCCAGAATTAATTATGCCTTTGCATCCATTTGCATCCTAAGAAGCTGCTGGGACTCGCCCAGTATACTTGCATTCCCTGCAGCTTCCTTCTTGGTACATCGTACGAGAAGAAGCTTGCTGGCTCCATCCAACCCGGCATCCTGTTTCCAACAGCAACAAGTCAAAGGCACAAGATAAAAATCCCATCAGTTAGAATCATACTAAATTTAAACTGAACATTGTTGAATGGAAGGGATTGTAACCTTGTGTCCCATTTCTTAATGGAGTAATAAGATTTAAATACACAATGAATTGCAGAGTGGCCAATCTGACACTCTTGTGTTTTTGAGGTTGCATTAAAAAACAAAGTTTTGAACATGGCAGGAAGCAGAGGGACTTGTGTGTGCTCTTGTATCTGTAGGATCACTGGGGATCCTGACCTAGGTAACCCGATGCAGGGGGAACTTGGAGAAAGACCACGGTTGCTCAAATGCCTTGCATTTAATTCCTGGGTATCCCTCATGAAATATTCAAGTTCCTTCACCTGCGCTTAGCTCCTCAGAAGACAATCTGAAAACATATGACTTGAACACAGGTTTCCTGGTGGGTGATTCCTCCCCAGGCTTTTCTCAGCTTAACAGGGAGGGCTGAGTCATGTGGGTGTCTAAAATTGCGGTTTGGTGCAAGTTGCGACAGAAAAAAGGCCTACAATTCCCAGCATGCTCCAGCAAACCCTATGAGGGAGACTGGGCTGAGAGCAAGAGGAAGAGAATGATGTAAGCTGCTTTGAGTCCTTTAAAAAAGGTGGGGTATAAATCTAATAAATAATAAAGCGGTATATAAACTTTATGTCACAACCAGTGAAAAAAGGAGGCTCATGGCCCTGGGAATGTTCTCTGAATGTTCCCTATATGCTTTCTGTAGGCATCCCAATTTAAGGAGCAGAAGGAGGAGAGTGGTTTGAATTGTATCTGTCTTAAAGCATACTCCTGTGTTTCCCCTGACCGTGAACGCTTTTCTTTTTCAAGATGGTACCTGCCATGTATGGTATTAACAATTAAATAATAACAATCCACTGCCAGATAAGTAGGGTATGCCTTTTCCATTGATTAAAAGTTTAAAAATGGAATTAATCTAGCCATTTAATCCTGTTTGGATTGCAGCTTGAATGATAAGCAACACCGCTTGCCATGGGTAGGCACGGATGCTGTTCGCTGATCAGCCCTCGTTTTCTTCTAGCAGGACCAAGGTGGGGCCGGGGGGATTGGGACTGTCTATTTGGGTCTGAAAAGCCAAATGCCCCCAGTTGCTACCCATGGCCCTCCAGCAGGGTTGTCAACTGATCCAAGGAAAAAGGCCCTCCTGCGCCGTCTTGACCTCAGAAACACCTGAGCCATTTTCCCCAGCAGAAATTCAATGAAACACCATCATCAGTTGTTGCAGCTTATTAACAATCACTTTGCTCACCTTTCAAAACTCGGACGTATAAACAAATTGCTAAGGCCGCAGGTGTGCCGAGAGGATGCCTGCTTTAGAAGCCCTTAGTCAGCGTGTGTTTGTACAAATGAGGGGACCTCCCTGGCTTACCCAGAGAACACGCCAAGGGCAGAAGTTCACAGGCCGGGAGCCAGTCAGCCCTGGGATCGCGCCCACCTTCCACAATCCCGGTCAACACCCATCCAGGACTGGGCAGAGTCATCGTCTTCCCCCGGTGACTGAGACGCTTGTTGAGTTAGTTAGTTTTGCTGGCACGCAAGCAGCAGCTGTGGGGCTGGCCTCAATTGGCCGCACCTTCTGAATCGGTGCTTGCGTCCTTCACTCACTGCAAAATGAGTCGAGCCATCTTCTGGGTTCCCGGGGCTGAAACTGCCAGAGTAGCAGCAAGACTCGGCCTCTGACTGGGGTTTTCTCAGAGGAAGAAAACTGGAAGGAAAGCGGCGGCACCGGCTGGGATGCCCACGTACCGCGTGACATCGGAGGAAGCCTAGTGGGCGAGGCCAAACAGTGAGCGCTGTGCTCCTCTTTCGTAGGGTGCCCTCCGCCCGGGAACGCTGGTAGGCATCCCACCTGCTCCGATGCCAATGAGTTGCTGCAGTGAAGAAATCACAAGGCTCCATCACTGCGAGGAGCCCCCCGAGGCGGGCTGCCTGTGCTCGGGCGACTGCGCGAGTGGCGGCCCCGCGGGATACCGGACAAGCGCAGGTAGGTCAGCTCCCGGCTGCATGGCCGCTGCCTCTGGGTGGATGGAAGGCCGCCAGGTTAAGGCTTTGCCTCATGTCTTCCTTCAAGAGCAAGGCGCTTGGGGGGCCTTGACTGCAAATGGTTCACAGAAGATGCTCATGTAATTAATTGGGTTGAAGGCAGAAGGAGAAGGGGGCGGCAGAGGCTGAGGTGGCTGGATGGGGTCACTGGAAAGGTGGGTGTGGGCTTGGGTGGACTCCAGGGGATGGTGGAGGACAGGAAGGCCTGGAGGAATGTCGTCCATGGGGTTGCAAAGAGTCGGGCACAGCTTTGCAACTGAACAACAACAGCAGTGCCAGTGTGGTGTCGTGGTTAAGAGCATGGGACTGGGACTCGGATGATCTGGGTTTGAGTCCCCGCTCAGCCGTGGAGCCAACGGGGTGCCTTTGGGCCAGTCACAGACTCTCAGCCCAACCTACCTCACAGGGTTGTTGTGGTGGGGATAAGGTGGAGGAGGAGAATGACATAAGCTGCCTTGAGCCCTTTGTAGGAAAAAGGCAGGATATAAATCAAAAATAAACAAACAACAAACACAAAAAAAGGAAAATCAGAGAACAATCCCAGATTTTCAGGTTAAAGGGAATATCTGAGATCAAAGTTAGGGTTCTTGTCAAATTTATCTTCCTTGTTAAAGTTAAACATCAGTAGCATTTCTGTTTTCACCATTTTGGAGCCAACGGTGCATTTTCTGGTTACAACTTTTTCTGGTTGTGCTTCCAGATGGAGAGGTGTAAGTGCTAGAGGTAGATACATTATGCCAAAATTTTGGCTCTTTTTCTCTTTAAATTTATTTCTGAACCTCTCTGATGTTGACATTGCTGAAATGCATTATTAAAAGACCATAATAAAACACTTCTAAAAATAAAAAATGAATGAAATAGTGGGATGCATGGTTAACTTGTATGAATAAGATGGAGAGAGAAAGGCTGCATCTTCAACCCCAGCACTCTAAAATGAAGACTGGGAAAAGAGCCAGGAATGTTACAATGGAAAAATAGTCATATTTGCGGTGGGTTTTGCAGTTCCTGTAAGCAGGAAGTTAATTCAAGTTTCATTTAAATACAATCATTTTATGTATTAGCATAAAGCACCAACCTACTGCATCTTTTGTTTGCTGGCTTCCGTTTTGGTTTTGCTTTTCCACTTCCTTTGCTACAACCATTCTAGCTACAGTTAATAAGTTATAAACTAAATTCCTATGCTTTGTTTCCTGGAAACACTTGGCCCAGACAGGATTGTTTACAACCCCTTATTCATGCTATCTGTATAACCATTTAACAGCTCTCTGTGCAGAATGTCTGGATTGCGTTATAGAGCACTTAAATGACTTTTCTGGTGTCTTCAGGGATATGAAGTTGGGCATGAAAAAAATAATTTACCTGGGAAAGCTTTATTTTCACAGTGAAGCAGCTTATTTTTAAATATAATGCCACAGATAAGTGTGGATTCTTAATCCTCATCTTCCTGGGACGACTCCATTGCACCAAGAATCTTAAAGAACTAACAATGTACTGCCCCTTCAGGATAGCCCAAACCTCTGCCTCAGTTTGCCCAATGGCTGAGAGACAGGCTAGGAAGGAGGCTCTGCTAACCACATCTTGGATTACATGCTTCCTCCAAAGCCTCTGGGACCCCTTTTCCCGCTGCAGAGAGGAAACCTCAGCCGTGCCAGTGCCAGTCCAAACATTTCTCCTTGCGGCTAGGCGAGTGCGCATCTAAATGGGCCGCCCACTTGATGTGCCCTGTGCCCCCATGGCAGCCTACAGCACCTGTGAGTTTCGAGGCCAGGTACCCCCTCGTGCTCCCATGTTCCCTCTCATGATGATTTTCCTAAAAACCAGTGTAACAGTTGCTCTGCACTGAGCTTCGTACCAAGACTTGGGCAGGGGGGTGTGCAACATCTGGAACAAATTAATCCCCTGATCCTTTTGCTTTCCTCTTTGCCTGTTAATTGTGCCACCTGGTACGGAGGCCAGGTAAAGCAGGTGGCACACTCGCTCTGGCTTAGCTGTAACGGTTTAATTTTTAAATTAAAAATTTAAATTAAATTAAAAATTTAATTTTTAATTGTTAATATTATTTGATTTTATCTGGCCAGGGCGACTTATTTTATATTGTTATTTTTTGTATTTTAACTTAATGTTATGTTAATGTTTTAACTTAATGTTTGTATTTTATCTTAATGTTGTGAGCCGCCCCGAGGCTTTGGCGAATGGGGCGGCATAGAAATGTTTTAATTAATTAATTAATAAATAAATAAATAAATAAATAAATAAATAAATAAATAACGGTCCCAACCCCATTTAGCCAGAAGACACACGTTTGGCTAAATGAGGCACATACGCCGCCGCCATAAGAATAGCCTCAACAGAACTCCCCGGGGCCCCACGCCCGGGCTAAGCTTCCTATTATTAACCCGAGACACAAACATGAAACAGGATATAAAACACAAAGTAGGATATACTTTAAAGGAAGGACACCACACACACCACTTTGGAAACCTGGGAAGCGTGGAGTGGATTTCTTTCAGGGGTTATCTGTTCAGGGCATAATTTTATCCCTGTTTAGACAGAAAAGAAACCCTACAAGCCCTGGCTGGGACCTGTGGGGCTTTTTTGCCTTCTAAAATGCTTTTCAGATGATATAGAAATCAGTGGATCCATCACTGACGGTCCCTTCATCACCAGGTAAATAAGCAGGTGAGCTTTGCAAGAGCAGGGATGCCAGATCAGACCTTGGGCAAATGACTGCCTTGGAATGGGGCAAGTTTTACCCCCAGCCTTCTCCAGACCTGGGGCTTGGCCTGTGTCTGTCCCCGCTGCCCTGCAGTTACGGCCCATCCATCTGAAATTATTTATAGGCAGCCTTTAAGGATGGCTCTGGCACAAGGCAGCGTGCCAGGTAAAAAGCACACCACGTGTCCAAAGTAAAAAAATAGCATGAACGCCATCCAATAACATCCCCATCCTGAGTCAGTGCTAATGCTATTCAAGGTTAAAACACTCAGCAATCCAAGCACACACGCCCCTCTGCGGCAAGTAGCTTGGCCCCGTTTGTGGACGCCGTGCTCTTTCTCCCTCAGATATCCTGACGGAGGACGACATTTACTGCTGCTGCCTTTCCAAGACCCTGTGTCACACGTCCACACCGGTCACGGTGGGCTTCTACTCACCCTGCGGGACCCGCCTGCACTCGCTGCTGGACCAGGTCGCAGGTCAGTCGCTGGCAAGAGGAACTCGTGGGCAGCGGGCAGAGGGAAGCAGAACTGTTGCAGGCGGCACTGTGGGAGGGATCGGGGGCCCCATTCCAGCACCTGGGTGCAAGACCTGGTCCCCGGATCCGGAAAGCTGTCCCTTTGCGTGTGCTCTGGATTCACAGGTGCTGCAGCTGGAATGTTTGCCGGACTTCGACATGGAGTCCGGGAGATGCGGGCCAAACTCCAAATTCCCCTTTCCCTCAATGGTTTGTTGCTGCCCAACCCTATAGGAACTCCCCCAGAACTTGGCAACCGGGGGTGGGGAACAGACAGCCAAGCCCCTCAGGTGACTGAAAATTTATTTGTTTAAAGTTTTTATATGCCATCCCAATACTAAAAGTCTCTGGACGGCTTACAAAAAACAAAATATGTTTCCAGCTAACCCACCTCCAGGTTTTATTATTTATCTAATTCTATTTTGATTCCGCCTTTCTCCCATGGTGGAGCTCAAGGTGGCATCATGTGGTTTCCAGGTGGTCTCCCCTCCAAGCTCAGGCCAGTCTCAGACCTGCTTAGCTTCCACCTGATGTGCCTTCAGGCCATCCTTAGGTCTGTGCATATGATATCATTTCATTTAGAAAACTTACCTACTAGGATCTAATTGTGGAAGATACATTACAAAAAGCAAAATACGAAATAGTGCTGAGTGAAGTTGTGGAGAGACACTTCAGGATGGAGGGGAAAGGGTCCCATATCTGTGCTGTTTTCATTTTGAGAAGTCAGCAGGCAGGCAGCTGATGCTCTGTTTAACCTGCCCTTTCAGTCTGCATGCACAAAGAATCCGTCCGGAGGGAAGAAAGCGAGTTCCAGAGGTCCCACCAAAGGCCTCGCCGACCAGAAGGTTGGAACTACCTCACCCTCTTGTGGTACCTGGTTTTCTACCAGCCGGTCATCACCGAGGTCCATCTCAGGAGAAAGAACATTGACTTCATCTTCATCAGATTCAGCGCCTGGCAATATGCCGGCAGCGACAAGCTCTGGGCCGGGCTGGTCACCACCCTGTGCGAGCACATCCGCCACTACTTCGGGCCGCTGCCTCTGAGCTTCTACCATGTCGTGGGGAGCCGGCCTAAATTCGCGTCCGGCTTCAGCCAGAGGGAGTGGCGAGTCAAGAAGAAGGCCTGCTTCACGGCGGGGGGTCTCGGGTTCGCCCTGCTAGCGGGCACCGGTCTGGCCACGACCGCGCTGCTCGTGCCGGAGATCAGGGACGGCAGCGTGCTGAAGATCCTCGGGAGCAGCATCGCCGCCGTCTCTGGCTCGGGTGTCCTCCTGGGCTTGGCACCAGTGATTAAGCACCTCATCATCAGCCAGAAGAAGAAGATCGAAAACATGACCAGCGATGAGAAGTTTACCAGCCACCTCGGCTTCATGTGCGCGGTGAAGCGGGAGATCGAAATCCTCACCAGCTTCGTGTATTACATGGAGATCTTTGAGAGGCGGAGGCTGAGGATTGTCTTTGAGGTCACCAGCTTGGACATGTGCTACCCAGAAAGGGTGGTTGGGGTCCTGAATGCCATCAACACCTTGCTGTCGGACACCAATGCCCCCTTCATCTTCATCCTCGTGGTGGACCCCTGCGTCATCGTCTCATGCTTGGAGCAAGCCGGGTGCATGAAGGGCATGGCCGACAATGGCTATGTCTACCTCAACCGCACGGTGACGCTGCCCTTCTCCATCCCGGAAATAGGCGTCCGGTCAAAGATGCGCTTCCTGCACGAGGCCTTCCAGTCTCGGGAAGACCTGATGTACCAGATCATCACGAAAAACATGGAGCACAGCGCCCAGAAGGGCAAGCAGCTCAAAACCGCACAGCCAGAGATGGAAACGTCCGTGGAGGTGGACCAGCACCAGATCGATGCTCAGGCCGTGCAGTACATCCACGAAGCTTTCCACTGCTTGCACAACGAGTACGACTGCCTCTACAAATACATCCCGGACAGCATCGTGCAGATGCGGAGGATCGTCAACACCATCCCGATCACCATCCGGCTGATGACCCAGCAGCACCTCCTGCGCTACGCCGTCTGTCCCCGGTCGGTGGCGGGGTGGGTGGTCTTGGCCAACCAGTGGCCCTGCCGCCTGAGCTGGATCCTGCAGTGCATGGAGGACCGGCTGCAGAGCCGCCCGACGTGTGGCTACGAGAAGGAGTCTCTGTGGCACGTCTTCGTGGAAAACTGCAAGGACCTCTTCGCCAAGAAGAAGGAGCTCCAGAACATCCTGGCCTTGGACGGGGACCCGGAACTCTTTGCGAAGTTCTTGTCCTGCGACTTCCCGTTCACGGTGCAGGACGGGGGGAACTTGCTGAAGTACACCGTCAATCTGGACCACTCCATCAGGCATAGGATGGGGCAGTTGCGGTCGCTGGCTTCCCTGGAGAAGGACTACAGCAAGGATGAGGCTCATTCAGGCAGGATGGTGTAAGAACATGGGTTTCTAGCTGTATTCCAGGGAAGTTTGATGCTGGTCGGAAACCTGTCCCTAGTAATATGAAATGCTCAAGGTAGGCCAGTGGGTCTGCAAGGCCCATGATCCCCTTCGGCGTGGAGCTGCAGGGGATTGTGGGTATAATCAAGGGCATGTTCTCAGTTCAGCAGAGGGAAAGCCCAAAAGGCATAGCCAGTGCCCCTGTGAACTCCAGAACACTTCCCAGAATCCTCTGGAAAATGCAGAGGTTTTGATGCAGACAGGGAAACCCAGGAAGAGTTTCCTGGAGCTTGGAAAAAGTGTGAGGGTCACACGGGAATTTGCTCCAAAAACAGGGAGCAGAAAATACTTTGGCCGTTCTCATGTGTGCTGCTAAAGAGCACATTTGTCCCTCTTTTGTTACGTTCTGTGAAATGTATGAATGCTGTGAATATGGGGGAGAATTTGGAAGGGAGCTCAGAGGCACAGTGGCTTTGGGTTAGGAGGGAAGATCCTTTATTTGGGAGGAAAGCAAGAAAAAAGCTTGGGGTGCAGTAAAGGGAGTGTGAATGAGCGACCACATATCATCCACAAATGAAGAAAAAGCATGGAATGTGAAACTAGTTACAGAAAATGTTTTCAAAGCAAGGTTTCTAGTCCTCATGGCTGCTAAGCTATGTTTAAAAGTGTGGCCATTATGTATTGCAATGTCAGAAACCAGAGGGCTGTCCAGGTAAGATCTTCAGCGATTGGAGACTGGGACTTCGGAATCCTTTGCCTCCTCCCTGTGGCTAAACACTGTTTATGGAGAGAGAAATCAGTCTATTCCTGGCCCATGGTCACTCTTGCTTTTGTTATTTACCCATACATCTAGTGTGCATTTTTTAAAAATCTGCAATTAATCTGTAATTTTTTTAAAAAAAATACATTTAAACCACCTGTAGAGATGCATTTCTAAATGTATTTCTTCTCAAAAGATGCATTTTAAAATGTATTTCAAGATATTTTTGAACTGAGAACTGTTTTGGAACTTTTGGGAAGTACAGAAGCTGGTATTTAACTAAGTGCTGATCAGCACAGATGGCCAAGAATATGGATCAAGTCAGTTGAGCTGGAATTCTCCAAAAGTGAATTTCTGTAGCATTCTTAGCAGCAGAAGAAATTATGGAAAAAACAGTGTATCTGTTCACAGTCTATACCCAGGTTGCTTTGTCAACATACTTGGAAAGACTCCCATTCAAGTAAAATGAGAACAAATCATATACTAGAGAGGGGAAAACTTATAGTAGATTGAGAAAGGCTTGGGGGGGGTGCATCCCCCCCCCCCGGCAGCTCAACTGAGGATAACGTTTTGTTCTGGGGAAATAAACATGAAATTTTAGACAAATCTATTGTACTATAATCCTGTGCAAATGTAAACAGAAAAAAATGTTGTTTCTTGTCTAATACTCCCTTGACATTTCGCAGCTGGAATTGACCACGGGGGTGCAAGACCACAGGTTCTCACTGCTGCTCGCCTTTGCTCCCCTAAGATGTAAAAACATCTGTAGAAAGTGCAGGTTTTCTGTGGTTCCCAGACAGAAAGCAAACCAAACCCCCTGAAAGTTCCGTTCCTCCACCTGCCCAGAGACTTTCCAACGAACCTTGTCGAGAGACAAAAACGAAATAAATGCGGGCAGGCCGTTTTGTCACCACAGGGCACCTGTGCACCTTGGCGCTAAACCTGCGTAGGATCACTCCTTCAGAAGCGGGGTGCTGTTGTTTGATCTCCCAGAGATGCAGGGTAACGTTCGCCCTGCTAGGTGGGAGGTTCACACCCCCCAGTGGAACACTGGGGCACAACTCTGCCTTTGTAAGCACCAAGCCACACTCCCACCTGCACAGGCGATCCAAACATGCACACGGCAACCGCAAAAAGTCACGTTCCTCAGCCTTCCGGGATGGTAAGGAGACGCCGTCTCCAGGAAGCACCCCAAAAGCTGAGAGGAGTCCAGATCTGACAAGGCGTTCCAGCTAATGCCTTGCAGTGAAGGGAAGGCCACCGTGTTGCTATCAGCTCTACGAGAGCAGTCACAGTATTTCATGCCCATTATGCCGGTGACCCTACACCCAGCCAGCTCCAGGTTCTGGGGGGCCCACAGGCGAGAGAGATTCAACAGGCCCTCTGCTTGAGGGCTCTCTCTTGTCGGCCGCGGCTCTTGCTGCTCTTCCTCGTATTGCGGGGTTCGCCTCTTCCACACCACTGTTGTCTGGAAGAGGGAGAGGCAGGGGCGCCAGGAGGTGGCATCATGGGAGCCAACTGCTGGGCAGGCCAGACCTCCCTATGGTCATGTTTGGTCACCCACCCCGGGCCGTTGGCTCAGCTCGTCTGCCGCGCTGCTCCAGAAAGCCTGTTGAAGCAGCCCCTTCGCTCTGCTCACGAGACCTCTGCAGCTCGCCCAGCCGGTATGGCCAGGCCTGTTCTGTGCCGGTGCAGAACCACCAGGAAAGCAAGCAGCATGAACGGGCAGTGATGGTGGAGGGAAAAACAGCTTGCTTCAGTAAGTTTTTTCCCTTGAATCTTGCAAAAGTGTGCAAGCTTCACAAGGCTCCTCAAAGACCATTCTTGGATTTCAGCGGCCAGAAGAGCGCAATTCCTTTTATACCATCCCTTCCTTCCATTTTGGGGGCCTAGGTGCAATATGTGGGGCACAGGGCTGATACGGACCAGACACGGACGTGCTTAGCTTTCCCCTGCTGCCCACTATGCCCTTCCGGCCAGGCAGGGAGCTGACTGAAAGGAAAACCTCCCAAACAGCAGCAAATTGAGCTTCGGTGCCTTCCAGTGCTTGTTACCTTTCCCTGGGACTAGCAGAAGCCAAAGCATCTTGTGCAACTGAAGACATCACACCTGTTTGCATATGGAAATTGCGAAAATGCAAGATAGCCCGGAGGAGAATTTTGCTCATTATTCTGTTCTTAAAGCATGCTCATTATTCTGTTCTTAAAGCCTTGGGTACGGTAGCCGTCACTTGGTAACTACTTGCTCGGATAATTGTTTGCTCTCCAATACAATTTCTGGCATACTGGGTTAAGATGACAAGCAAGCCGCCTCTGGACAATAGGGATGTCCAATAGGGATGTCTGTGCACACCTTGCCCAGGTAAGACCCACGTTCAGTCCTCAGCAACATCACTAGATGGTGCTGGAAAAGTTCATGTCTGAGTCGCTGCCACTGAGAGAGGTCTGAAGCTCCTAACGTTCTGACACACTCTTCCATAGCCAAGAAAGAGGATCCAGACTGGCGATATGTAGACAAGGGCAAGTTGATTCTGGAAGCAACAATCTGTCTTTGATGGGACTACTAGGGAAGCGAAGGCTTAGGCCAGACTGTAAGTAGTTTAGCGCGATTTTCAAGACTTCTGCAAGGGTTGAACCTCTTAGTAATGTCCGGGGGCATCAGTATTTCCTTCCATACAGGGGAAATAAAATAGCTTGGAGACACTGGTCCATAAGGGCAGAACCTGTTTTCCACCCAAGTTGATAGAGGACTAGTTTTTTGGTAGCAAGAATTTCAGGGAGAAAGCTGGCATGGTTCTTCATGGCTCTCATTCAGTCCTATGGGAAAAATACTCTCAAGATCTTTGAGTAGACATCATTTCTGTGCAGAAAATGTCTAGCACTTAAGTTTCCAAATCTTCTCTGAAGGAACATCTGGGGTCAGGGGCTGTTAGGAAAGATGACTTTCTCAAAAGTAACCCCAGCAAGACAATCATTTGTTTGGAAATACAGAGGGTGACACACAAGACCAGCCTGTCAGGAAACTCTTTATTTCAACCAAGCATGTTATAAATTAACCCATTAAATGCATGAACACAAGAGAATTCCCTATGATTTAATTTTGTATATAAATAATGCAAGGGATCAGCTTTTCTAAATCACCAAAGTGAAAATAGTTAACTTACTCTCCCTCCCCCAAGTGCTGGAACAAAAGGAAATGTTGCCATCAGTTTTGGTATATATGGAGAAAAATTGCAGTTGCTCTGAGACATTTTGATACGCACCAAACAATCCATCAATGTGAGAGCAGCAGGCCAGCAAGAAAATAAAGCTGGGTTTCCATCCTCTCTTACCCATCGTGTAGGAACTTGAGGCAGCTTAAAAACACATTTGGACAACATTGTTCAGCAAAGGCGAGCTGTGCAAGAACAGGAGCTCCTCCACCCGACCCAAAGATGGCTACCCGGGAGCTCGGCAGAGCTGCAAAGTGCAAAACCGTCCAAACACCTGCCTCCTCCCCAGACCAAATCTAGCAGCAAATTGTAACGAGGACTGTGCTAACAGTTGCTCTTGTCGGGCCATCCTTCCCCTAGGGAAGCGTTAAGACAAGGGCGCGGAGCCTCACCATGAGGGTCCAAACCCGGCCTTCCGGGGCTCTCCGACTTGCGTCTCAGCTTTGTGGCAGGCCAGGGGCAGAAGCCAGCAAGGTCCTTCTTGCTTCAGAGGCCAGACTGAGGCAGGAAGGCGAGAGGTGGACCCTCTTTTCAACTGGCTCGTTTTAAGCAGCCAGAGAGAGGGGAACAGTAGGACGGACAGGCAGATTCACCCGGCCAAATGGAGCAACTATGTTCTGAGAGTACGGCAAACCTCAAGATAACTTTTCTGCCGCTGCCACAGAGCGTCTCGCAGCAGTCCAAATGAAACACCGAGCGCCGTGCAGGGTGTCTGGGTGCTAGTCTTCCAGAGACTCATGGGAAGACCTGCCTTGCATCTTTCAGAATAGGCATGTTTTAAAGATCCATCAAAAGAATCATGTAAACAAGACCCCAGATAATTAGAAAAGAAACAGAATATACTTTAAAAAAAAAAGTAAAGCTTAAACCCAGACATAAACCATGAGGTCATCAAGAATTAATTCTGTCAGCTCTTCCTTTTCTGACATCTGCAAGAACCTTTTCTTACAAGACCAGCTGGTCACCCAGCACGGTTCTGCTTCTGTCAGAAAGAGGGATTTTTCCTGCAATGACACTCCCATACCTGTCAGCTCATTGTCCCACGCAAGCTGCTCTGCTGGTGCTTTAGGGGCATCTGAAGTTTGGGTAACAGATGGTTTAGGGGCCCTTCAACATGGAATGTTCTGCCTCCCGATGTGCGTCATTGTGCGATACCCCGAAGACACACGCATTCGCTTTCGTTGGTGCACTTTTTACACCAATTCCCACTTTCTTTTAAGCCCTTTTTGCTCGTCTGGCAACCAGCATACCTCGTGCTACGTAACAAGACAAAACGCGCTCAACTGGAAGGCTTAGGAGGAGGTTAATCAAGGACGAGTCTATGGAAAGAGGCGAGAGGCAGACACTGGCACAGGTGTAGTGTGGACAGTGATCTCAATGAAAATGCAAGAGACAAACTCCCCTAAGGCCCTGGATTGAAGCCCGGAACGTAACTTTCATTGTCTATCCCAACAAAAGCCAAGCATGCACAACTACTCTCCTTTCATCCCTTTTCCGCTACCAAAACAGACACTGGAAGATCCTTGGCTGTTAGAGGCACTTCTCTCTGCTCTACTCACTCCAGCTTAAAGCCAAAGGTTTCTGGTCTTTTTTGAGCTAGGCTGACTCTGCCATAGTGAGCAAGCAATAATACAGATGTTAACGAGCAGCAGCAATCAAAGCAACGACCCTCTGATCAGTTAGTTGGTTCTTGCCCATGCTAAGGGATGATTCCAAACTGAAACCCTTCCTCCTCTCACTACCAAAAAGGGCACGTTCCACCCTCAGGGAGGTTTGTGCTCTTTGCAGGCAAGATGGTGGGAACACCAGACATTACCTAACTGGTCCACTTGCTCAGCTTGACAATGAACTACTGGGATTGTTGTAAGCCGCCCCGAGGCTTCGGCGAATGGGGCAGCATAAAAATGTTTTAATAAATAAATAAAAAAATGACCTCACACCTCACCCCCTTGGGCCCTCCTTGTTCTAAAGTGTCTCTCCACTGCCAAATCAGAGGCACTCTAGTTCGCACCAGCTGCTTGGCCATCTCACTTGTTAACCCTGGTGATCCCAACCCCTCCTCCTCTGCCATTTAGCTGCCCCTCAGCATCCAAACTTTCTGGCTTGGAGTGCAGTATTCTGAGAAAAGCAGACCCAGTCCCTACAGTGGGAGAGACCCCCATATTTTGCTTTGGTCACTTTACAAAGCACTGGGCATCCCTGGAGAGTCATTCATAAGCGCACCGTGCTGAAACCCAGCTAGCCGTCATCTGCTTTGCAGTTCACAATCTGGCTACTTGGCAGTGGTTATCCCAGTGAAAGAACGAACCTGTCCTTCGTCTAGTCAAAGAATCCCGGCCACGAATTCAGCCCAGCCCACCACCCAGAAGAAACCGAAAGAAATCACTTGAAGAATGCAGCTTTTCATTTAATAGAAGACAGTTTCAACAAAAATAAAACTCCACACACAACAAAAAAGGAATGACAAACATTACCCCCACCTCCAAAGAAAAGAAAAAGGAACGCAAAATCAAACTGGCGCCATCTTTTCTGTAAATGTAGTGTTAACGCAGCAAAAACTCCTGGCGCATGTGTCTTTGTATGTGTGGAAAAAGAGACTCACGGTCAAGCGGGAGAAGGGCAGTTTCGTCTCTCCCATTCTTGCCTGATACTCCATGCAGCCCTAGCCCGAACCCTCTTAAGCTCCCTGATAGATTTTATTGCACTTAAGAAAAAATAATAAAATTAAAGTAAAAAGCTTTATGGTCTACATCATCTACCTGACAGCCATCCCTCCACAAAACCTGCTTTTCGTGGGGGTAGCACTTTCTTCTCGTCAGTTTATACAAATAAAACGGAGAAAGACACCTCCTTTACAGTTTTGCTTAAATTACAATTAGTACCATAAAAACATTGCAGAGATTTCATTTCATGCTGACGGGGGCAAAGGAGTCCATCACATACTGGGGGTCAGGAGGGGAGATACTTTTATGCACTTGCTCTCCTCCTGCTAGTTCAGGTTGGGGGTTCAATGGTTACAGCAGGGCGGGTGGGTGTGCTGAGAACAGGGAGAAGATGGGAAGGACGCAAGGAAGGCGCCTGCCTTTTGTTCCGAGGTTCCCTTGTCAACAAGAGAGATCCCGCTCGCTTCTGTCCCGTCCTTTCCAAGCCAGGTCGGTGACTGGTCACCCTTCCAGGATGACTGCAACAACTCTGGCATCCGAGGCTATCCATCAATCCCGACTCCCTGCTCGTCAGGGAAGCGCCTCATCTTCGTTTTGGGGGGGAGTTCAGATTCTGTGGCTACCGAGGAGGCCCTTCAGCGTCCCGCGAGCACCTCTGGGGTCCTGTCTCTCACTGGAGCCTCTTGCATCGCGAGCGTGTGGGAGAGAAGACGGTGCAGGTGGCCTGGCCGCGTCAGCTCCACCCACAATCCTTGGTACGATGGGCTGCTCTCCTGGCGGATGCTGCAAAATAGCCCTTCCCTGAGAAATATTCGACCCCCCCCCCCCGCTTTCAGATACTTCTTCTGCAGCAACCCACCTCTCCGCTGCTCGTGTGCGATGCCCCAGCGCCTCTGGCTGGGCTCCGTGCCAGACGCTCCGCCAGCCCTGGGGCTTTGGGAAAGGCTCCTGTTCCCACTGGGGTTGCCGTTCGTTAGTGTTTCTCTCCCCCATCGCCCCAATTATGGAAAGCAAGCTTTGGTTGGGAGGAACTGCCTCTTGCTCTCGAGATGTACCAACCACAACTGTGGCATCCCCCGCAGCACGTCTGAAGTTCGGGGAGGGGAGGGGAGGGGAGGGGAAGCAGACGCCGCCCACCAACGGGCAGCATCCTCAGAAGATGCTCACATCCAGTTCATTGCACAGGGCGCAAAGTCAGCCAGCCAGCCAGCCAGCCCGCCCACGACGGCCGTTGCCTTCTCACGCACGTGCGCGCTGCTTGCTACATTGCACTGTCACGCACGACACCAGTTACTGCAACAGCCACCCAGTCCCAGCACGTTTCACACGGTATGGCTTGAAAAATGACGCCTGGGGGGTGGGGGTGGGGGCTGCAACGCTGCCCGTTTGCACCGAAGATGAGGAGAGGCAGGCCCCAGGGAGCAGAAGTGGTGCCGGGGTGGCAGCCGGCCACCGACGCACAGGGGTCCTGTCGCTCCTCCGGCCGCTCTCCCTCAGCTTGCAGCGTTTATTCCGTGCGGGGGGGAGAGCCCCTGCTCGGGGAACCCCTCCCGCCCCCAGGCTTTCCCGGCGCGCCAAAGCAGCACTCGCTCCCCATCGCGGGGCTCTGCAAATTTGGAGCAAGCCGCGTCATCCCGAAGGGTGGCGGGTTCACAGGGACACTGTTCCCGTTGTGTTATAAATAGACACCAAACGAAAGACGAAAACGGACAAGGAGACGCAACGAAGGCGGGGGAGGGAGGGGAAAAGAAAAAAATAAATAAACGGCGGTGTGTAGTGTGGGTCGGCAGCCCGGAGAGTGTGGCTTGGCGGAGAGGCTGCGGCGAGGCTTCTCCGCAGCGGGTTACTGTGCAACGGCCCTTGGCCTCCCGGACCCGGGGGAGCAGCTCTTCTCTTCTGCTGCTCTTGCAAAACTGGTCCGCCGGGACCTGCGGCACTTGCAAGGCGCAGAAAGCAAAGCCGCCAGCGCTGCTGTGCATCTCTAGGTGGTGGGGACTTGTTTTTTCCAAATCTCCCGGTGCGACCAGGAGAGGGTTTTGTCCAGTGCCCACTGATCCAACGTCCAGGAGAGGTTTCCTTGCAAATTCAAGTGCAAGGGTCACTCCAGCAAGGGAGTAAAGAAGAAAGAAAAACAGCACGAGCCGTGGCTAAGGATGCGGAAGGAGCGCGCTCAGGGAGGGCCACGCACCTCCAGGCCGGGGTCTTCTCAGTTCCTCCATGCCCTGGATCCCCCCCGCTGCACAGCGTCTCGTCTCGGAGGAAAGACATGGAGGATTAGGGGGCGGAGAGAGGGAAGGGCCACAACTGGAAACGAAGCTCTTTCTGAGGGGAGCCGTCACGTCGCCTCCATGCTGCAGAGTCTGTCTGTTTTCAGGATCACACGGTGAAGGGAGGGAGCAGAGCTGGACAAAGCCCGCTTGCCGCAGAATGGCCCAGAGCTGGAAGAGGAAGAGGGGAGAAACAGAAGCGGGGAGACCAGTTCAGAGGGTCAGAGCCGGGAGTGAACAAAAGCAGAGGTGGGGCAGCCCCACTGATGGCCAGGGGCACAGAGGTCAAGCTTCACCTGTGCTCCACCTGTGGAGCAGGACTTCTGAGCTTGGAGTGCCCCCCACCCTCAGCCGGCACAGAAAAAAATGGCAGCAGAGGGCCAGGACCGCCTCAGCCCCTTCCCGCCTGCGTCAAAGCACTGGGCTCGGCTGCCCAAACCGGCCCTGGAGGTGCCTGTGGGGCAGGAGGAACGCGGGGGCGCCCTCAGCTCAGAGGATTCCCATCATCCCCAAGTCTGGGAGGTTCCAGGCATCCAGAATGGACTGCGTTCTGAATATGTCTCGATTTGACAAGCCACCTGCCTTTTCCTATACCAATTAGCTGATTAAATATAGATTTGTAGGGTGCCGGACTCTCAATACAGCTGCCTTAAAAAAAAAAAAAAACTCAGAGCAACGCATTCATAATGGACTGAAGTCGCTCACTGCAATACTGCCAAGCCTCCTTCAATTCCCACCGTGCCTCACGAGGCTTTTCACAGGATCCTCCCCTAAACAGGATTCTAAAACTGTGAGAACTAGCGACTCGACTTCTAGTAAGGGCTGCTCAAAAGTTCTCTCGCCATAACCAGATGCGTGCTAGGAAGGAAAGCCGCACTGCAGTCTCAAGCGTGGCTGGAGACGGCCCTCCACCACGTGGCCCTCCTGGGACCCCGCCCCTGCAGGGGCATGATGCCTCCACCGCCCATCTGGAAAAGCTGCTCCCTTACCTAAAGTGTCACATCGGCTCCTGCCCCATCTCGAGGCTTGCTTCCAAAAGTAACTCCTCCAGCTCCTTCTCGTTCTTGGAACAGTTCAGCTCTGAAACGCAGAGTGGAGAGTCCGAGAGTCAGCCGGCCCCCGAGCCGCCCCCACGCCCAGGGACCATCGATCCTGCAGGCCCTACACCAGCCCTCTCCCAGCCTGGCGTCCCCCAGGACCGCAATGCCCATCGTGCTGGCCTTTCCTTCTGCGTTCCAGTCCCTGCGACATCCACCCTGCCATGTTCTTATTCGGGCTGTTCAGGAGCCCGCCCTGCGTGCGGCTGCGCCCATCCCCTCAGCTCCGTCCTGGGCCACGAACCGAGCGTGACGGAAGGCCAGCGAGGAAGCTTCTCACGCTGTGCGCGACCTCCTCTCCTGCAGCACCAGCCTCTGACTTACCGTGTTCGATGGCACAGCTGGCGATCCTCCCGTCGCGCCCCAGGGACGTGCCCGGTAGTGCACACACAAACTCCGTCTTTAGTCCGTTGGGCAGCAGAGCAGCATGGCCCGTGCTCTCGCACGGCCCACAGTTCGCTTTCTCCACCCCCAGAGACGAGCCTGGCAAGGAGGGGGAGGCTTCTGAGCCGGCGGGCGACCCAGGAAGAGTCTCACTCGCTCGCAGAGCCGAGCACAGAGTCTCTGCTGGCTGGATCGGCGCTGCGGGACTGGCCTGCTTGGGCCGGGCTGCCCTCAGAGAGGCCGGGCTCTCCTGCTGGGAACCTGTCTCCGCCTTCTTCTCCGGCAAGCTCTCCACCCGCGTCACGACGAAGATCTTGTGGCCCCGCCCAGGACTGGAGACCGCTATCCGCATCTCATTCCCAGGAGGGCCGGCATGGGCTGGGGTCCCGCTCATCACCTCCCCTCCAGATTTTTCTGGCTGGGGGTTTTCCGCAGGGCTCAGAGGGGGGACTCTGCGATCGGGGCTGAGTGCCTCCTTTGGCTGTTCAGAGGAACGCAGAGTGGGCGAACCCGCAGCGTGATCGGAGGTGCCACGTTCCTGCGGGCGAGGGAGCCCCTTCACCTCCAGTTTCTCATCCCCCTCTTCATCTGTGTCCGAATCGGAATCGGACGAGTCCTCGTTGCCACCGGTGACTCTCTCGTCCGGGGCCCCGTTCTCTCGGGACGGTAACACCTCCCTGACCTCCTCACCCTCTTCTGGGGTGGACGCCGGGCCACCTCTCTGCCCGCTGTCCTCCGCCGGCCCCTCTTCCAGCGGCTGGGTGACGGTGATTTCAGGCATGGAGGCGGATAGCTGGAGCTTCTGCTCCTTCTCTTCCTTCTCTTTGGCCAGAACAAAGTTGCGCTTGCAGCCATTCTGGATCTCCGTCAGGAGGGCTCGCTGTGTCTCGATAAAGCTCTTGACCTGCCAGAGGAGGAGGCAAGTGACACAGCCGTGATGAAGCAAAAGCTGCTGAAGGGAAGCTGCTCTGCACTGCGAGTCCCAGCAGCCAGGGCTTGGCGCGCCGCATGGGGAGGGGGCCCGGGACAGGTTTCAGCCCGGCCTGCCTGCGTGCGTGCGTCCAGATGTGCTCCAGGCTGGCAAGAATCTGAGTACCTGTAAGGTGGGGGGTCCAGAAGACCAAGGCATCCCTGGGCAAGAGCCATGCGCGTTGCTCACCGCCAGCCCTGTTTCGAAGGCACTCCCTCCTCTTTTTCAAGGAAACGCAGAGCAGCCTCTGCGACCCTCAGAGGAGAGGGCGAGTCTCGCAGCTGGGCAGGGCCCGGCTTACCTTCACCCATGAGTGCAGACAGAGGGACTGGTGGCGATACACCACCCAGCAGGCCCCTTCACAGGGGGCCCAGCAGTGCCCATTCAAGAGGCGTCTGTGCGTTTTCTTCGCACCTTGACCAGGTAGATTTCAAATGGGCTGACAGATTTGCAGAGAAAGAGGTGCGGGCACACAGCAGCTCATTAAAAGTAGGCCAGGCCAGGGGTGAGAGCTGAGCCATGGGGACCTTTTCTTGCAGAGAGATTAGCTCACGGGCAAGGTGCATCGATCTAGGAGAGATAAAATGCCTGCCTGACTTAATGGAGGTTTTGTCCTCTCTCTGCAGCAGAAGCTGGCAAAAGGTAGAGCTCCAGCTCCCAGAAGCCCCTGCCAGCACGGCCCGTGGTTAAGCATTCTGGGAGGCCTGGAGAGCTACTTTCCGCCACCCACTGCTTTCTGCCTGGTAGTGTCAGGCAGAGTGCTCCAGTTTCCTTCTGGAAAGTTTATTCCAGAAGGGGCACGGAGTGACCTGCCTGCTCCGCCTGTGCTTGTTTCAAGTGCAGCGCTAGAGTGACACCAGGAAACTTGGCCTTTTGTGGAGGAAACCTGACACAGTGGGTGTCCGGTGACGCTGACAATACCGTCGGCGTCTTGGGTGGAACTACGCAGCTGACCCAGCGGAGGAAGCTTTTAAAAGGCCGTGTGTTGAGCGATCGCAGCCAGGCAATGCTGTGCTCTTGTGGAAGGGTGCTGGGCTGGGGTTCGGACAGCCAGAGAGTGGCACCTTGGCCGTGCAAATGGTGGGTGGGCAGCTGGCCAATCGGAAGCTGCCGGCTGACAATGGCGCTTTCGTTTATGCAAGTTTGCAGACCTCATGGCTGGGGGACAGGGAAGGAGGAAACAGACCTAAGAACCCGTGGGATGCAGGGGGAAGGTCCTCTCAGCTTTCTGCCATTGCCCAGTCCAGCCACTGGAGCCCTGAAAACCAGGATCCACAGAAAAGGAAACTCACTGAAGAAAGGATCCCTTTCCTTCACACTGCAAGACAGAGGGGTGCTGAACATTCGGCTTCCAAAGTACAGGGATGCAGGGTAGCCTTGCCCTCACGAACCCGGGCCGAGAACCAGCACCGGGGAGCCCCTGGCTTCAGGTCAACAACTCCACTCCTGCCCTTTGATCCGGGGACCAGATTGCGCTGCTTCCCCAGCACCTCTGGCTACAAACTGAATCAGGCCAGTGAAATGATGCCCCCAACGGGCATTTCTTCACCCCCCCACACACCTGGTCCACAGTGGGAGGAGGGATGGAAGGTTCCCGACACGCAGGCGCCCGAGCCAGACATACCGATTCCTTCTTGGGCTCCCTGTCAAGGTCCAGCCTGAGCAAGGAGTGGTTAACCTTCAAGGCCAGGGACAAGGCCATCAGCCCTCCCGTCTTGATCTCGTTCTCCCGCAGGTCCAGCCGAAGCAGGCGGGGACTCTCCGCTATGAATTCCGCCACCGCCACCGCACCTGGACACCAAGACACACCAGATGAAAAGGCCGTGTGGAAACAGTGGCCGGGCACCTGTCCACTCCTCCCCCTCAAGAGGAGGCAGAAGGCTGTCTGACCCGGGCAGGAGGCAAGGCCTGGCCTACCTTCGCATGTCAGCTTGGTGGAGGCCAAGCCCAGCCTAAGCACCGACCGATTGCCAATGAGCCCGTTCTTCAGATTGCGGACGCCTTCGTTGCCGATGGGGTTGTGCCCCAGATTCAGGGTCTCCAGGCTCTGGGTGTGGGGCTGAAACAGAAAGCACGACGGGCTGCTAGAGAGGCGGCCGGCCGATACGAGCACTCCCCATGCAGAAACTTGGCCATCCGGGGCAGAAGCAAGACCTTCCATGCCGGCCAAGAGCTTTGGCTCCAGGTCAGCGGAGCAATAAAACTGATGACAATAATTATCGATGCCGGGCCTGGCAACAGGCTGACGTTTAGCCTCTGTCCAGCAAGGCAACTCATACCCGTCTTCCCAACTCCAGGGCTGTGGGAAGGGGAGAGGACAGGGCCACCGAAACCCGCAAACAGGGCTAGCACAAGCAAGTTCTGGGCACCTTAAAAACGGGCATGCAGTCAAGCACCCGGAACAAATACTTGCCAACACGGCTAAGAGCTCTTCATGGACAGAAATGTCATCTTTTTAAAAAGCCATATACAGACACGGCTAAAGAAGCAACCTTTCTGCCTCTCCTAACTACCATCTGGGTGAAGAAAAAGGGACAAATATTTCTCTCCTCACAGAAGATGAAAAAGCCTCCACTAAACACCTTAGTCAGGCCTTTTTCAACTAGCTGCCTGTTGTGAGCTAGGCTTCCCCCTGGACGCCTTGCAAACAGCAGAACGCTCTTTGGCCAAAGCCCGTTATGGTCCAGCGTAGGTCCAGTAAAGCATAACCAGCAAAGAGAGAGTCCCTGAGCATGCACAGGCCGGTTTGTTGAACCCCGACTCAAACTGCTTCTGAGAACCTCCCTCTGAGCAGCCCTGGGCCCCACCCCTCCGGGAGATGGGCCAGCCTCTTGGCTGCACGCTGCCCTTCCCGCCGGCTAGCCCTTCTCTTCCAGCGCTGTCTCGTGGGCCAAGGGTCATACCAGGCCTGTCCCATGCCTCCCTGCAGCAGCTGCAGGCTCCGACTCTTCTCCAGGTCAGCAAGGGGAATTCCGCAGAGCCTCCAGATCTCAGGCCAGAGGCCTGGGGCCCTACTGCAGCCAGAGGCCGTGACTCACCAGCGTCATCCCCACGTAGGCCATGCCAGTGTGAGTAAGCTGGTTGTTCCACAGCACCAGTGTCACGAGCCCCTTCCGCTGCTCCTTCAGCCCCTCGCAGATGTAGGCCAAACCTGTGAATCCAACAGCGAACAGCAGGTAGGCGGGGAGCCCGGGAGAGCCCATGGGAGAGGGGCGTGCTTCCAGCCCACTGCTGCGGACCCTCCTCACAGTCAAGCAGCTCGTCAGCCTTGCACACAGGCACTTGGAAAGACAACACCCCTGTAGGTTGTATCGTACATTCTTTGACCATGTTATTGTATGTGTATTTTGCCTTGCCGCAGGCTGCGCAGAGGGCCTTATGGGTTAAGGGTCGGCATACAAATGTCATACATCAAATCAAATCAAATCAAATCATTTCTGGCCTCCTCTGAACTCTGCCCGTTTTTCTTACTGGGCCTTTCACTGAGGCTGCTGGAACATTTCCCGCACTTGGTTAAATTTGCAGGAAAATGGATAAATAAGAGAGAACATCACATGGTGAAAAGATGCCTTGATGCTTTGTGTGAATGCTTGTTTCAGTAAGCAGTTGCATCAGCTTTTGGAAATAGATTTATGGCTTCCCACAGCAACAGCTGTGTGAATTCCTCGCATTCAATTGATTCTTTTATTACTAGTTAGGCAATTTGTTTATATAGGAAATACAGTAAGTTTGGGTTATTCGGCTGTAAAGATCCTTGCGCTTCCTTCAATTTCTTTCAAGAGGTGCTCACATTACAATTTTGGAAAATTCAAGTTTATGTAAAACTTGGTTAATTGATTAACCTGTTGACAGCCCTATTCTTCTGAACTGTAAGAACTTCAAGCTTTTGAGTGGTTTGGTGCAGCTAAAATAAAAGCAAGTGAACAATTACAATCAACTGTTTAAAAATATGCACCAGCTGCCAGTTATGAAGCCAGTCTGATTGATTCACATTTTCAAAATTTATCCTTATTTTAACATAGTTGCAAAAAAGAAAACAAAAAACAAACAAAAAACCACCAAGAGGGAAAATGTTCTGGCTTTTGTTCTTTCATTTTGAACTTCAGAAAGCTTATCTACATACTCCATGACTGGCAACATCAAAATAAATTATACAAATGCAGGCAAATACACCCAAGGCTACTGAATTTGCACGAATGTGTTCAAGTTGCCGAATCCTACTTTATTTTGACCTAAAATGTAAGCGACCCTTGTACGACATTGTTCTATTTTGTTTTTTTGGCGACTCCAGCATATATGCCACCCTGACCCCGGCTCTCAGTTTCTGAGCAGCCCGAAGCCAGACTCCCTCACCTGAATCCAGAATGTGGTTGTTCCGCAAATCCAGGATTTGTATGTAGCAGTTGAATTTCAGGAGGTTGCCGAGCTGAGCTGAGTCCTGGAGGCTGTTTAGTTTATTGTCTGCCAGGTAAAGCTCCCGCAAGTTCATGTTCATTTTCAAGGCCGTTGCTTTAAAAGAAGAGAGGAGAGCAGATGGAAGGAAAAATACAACAAAGGGCTCGATGAGAAGCGGCTGCCTTGCTTCGTGGGCACCCGGAGGCGCAGTCCTGGCACCCCCAGAATGCTCCCTGCCACTGGGCCGGCCAAGTCGAGAGCTGGGATCCGCCGGCCTCGGCCTGTCCGGGAAAAGAAGGGGAAGTGTGACTCCTGCCCCTGAATCTGGCCCTGCCAGCCAACTGGATGCCTAGACCCCAGACACGTCTCACAACTGGCCAGCTTTGCCTTCCCAAGAGGGTTGCGATTTCCACCCCAAACCCGACTGGATGCCTTGGATTGGGGGCGGGGGGGTGCAGAGGGGGCAATCCTTCCAGAGACTCCCCATTTATGCAGCAGCTTCAGATGCGACAGGCGAGCAGGGATGAGAAAGGCTTGACTGGAAGGGTAACTGTGGTGTGACGTGCGCCCCGAAGCGCTCGCGAGACCAAGGAAAAGCCTGCCTGCCGTGCCCAAGACACATGTGCAAAGGGGTTGCTCCCTCCACAGCGCAGAGCTCTCTGCTTGCCAGAAACCCGACACTCGCTCAGGGGGACTGTCCACCAGAGCCAGAAGGAAAACAGATACGCTGGCGAAGGACCAGCTCCCCTCTCCTCCTCCTCTGGGGCATTTATCTTTGCACAAATGGGACAGTGTTGTAACCAGAGGAGACTCTCTTCCAGACTTCATGCATTATTGCTCCCGGCCTGCATTTTAGAGTTGCTCACGCTGGCTCCAATTCGTTATCAAAGCCTTCAGCAGAACGCAAAAACCCAGGGTTACCTGTTGCATGCTGGAAGTTTAATACCGCCTCGCGTCCGGTTCCTCTTGGGCGTTAATGGACGTGCCCTGGCTCCCATGCACAGGAATGAAAGAACCAAGCAGAGCTAGAGCACGTGCTGAGGATCCCGAGCTGAACAGGACTCCTTCCAGCAGCTTGCTCCTCGGGATACACAGAGGTGCCCAAACTACGAGGAAGGGAGCTCTGAGTTGCCCTACAGCACCTCAAAGACTCTCGGGTCCAGGCTCCAGTACAGGGTTTGCTAAAGCACTGCCAAGGCGGTCAGCCTCTAGGATGGAAAGCCGCCGGTGTTCCCACACAGGGCTCCAAGTATAATAAACATACGGGGGGGCAGGACAGGGAAAGGACGAACAAATGAATTACGGCCTGAGTTTTTCCAAGGCAGGCATCCATCAAGCTAACCCCGAGAGGCAGCCAGGTGGCTCTTGTGGAAGGAGGCCTTCACCAAGGAAAACGGGACTCAGGCCACCGAGTGCTTTAGCCGGCTGGAAGGAGCCCACAGGGGCTTGCGCTTATGCACACAGGTAAACAACTGTGAAAGTCAGAGAGGGACGGAGAGGAGGCTGCAGCCCAGAATTGCCACGGTATGGTCCCAACCGGGAGGATGCCCATGCTTCATTTATTCCTTCAGTGGGCCCTCATATCCTGCTGCTTTTCCTCCCATAACTCTGCCCTCTTCCCCCACCATGCATCCTCTCGCATTTCCCGATGGCACAAGTTGTTGTTCTACCCCCACGAGTCCTCCCTGGGCAGAGAAAGGGCAGAGCCCTGGCTCTCAGCCAGAGGGAAGGGGGTTACCCCCCCCCCCACGCACACACACACCCCTCTCTTCCTCAGCACCTGGTTCTCTGCCTGATGCGAGAGCCACAGATCTCCCTGGCAGCTCCCTGGTCAACCCGCTTCAGACCAAGGCCCATTCAGCCCAGCACTCCGTCCACACAGTGGCCAACCAGCCCCTGGCAGAGAGCCCACGGGCATGCCACGGCACCCACTCGCCCATGGTCCCCAGCCGCTGGGGCACACGGGCCTGCGGCCAGGGATACTGGTGGCAGCAACTAGCCCTGAGGGCTGGAAGTCTTGTACAGCCTTCTCCTTCATAAATCTGCCCAATTAGTTTGCTCATCAGGAGACGACTTGCACGTGGGCTACTGACGCGGCATCGGAAAGGCAGGAACGCAGGCGGCCTGTCCTATCGCTACGCATCCACCGTGCCAGAGGGCTGCCTTTGGCAGAAGAGGAGCCCCCACGAAAAGGCGCCTTCTGTACGCAGTTTGCATTCCTAGCAGAGAACGGGGAGCAGATTTATTTATTTATTTATTTAGAAAAGCTTTTACCTACTGCTGGATTAGCCAAGGGCTCTCGCAAAGGTTTACAACAGAAAAGAGCGACCCTCCCAAAGGGCAATACGATACAACCATCGACTGAATACAACAGCAATCCATCCCGGATGGTCCAATGGCAATGCGAAACACATTATAAAATGAGGCGTAACTTTTCCTATTTAACAATTAAAGCACAGGGAAAATCAGAAGGCTTTAGCCTGGTGCCGAAAAGCATGTAGCAGCTGAGGTAACGGGAGATGCGATGGGGTAGGGGGAGGAAAAGCTGGGATGGGTCTGTCAAGGACAGAAAAGAGCACCTCAAGCTACTCACCCAGCAACATCAGCGGGCGCCCAGACAGACTTGCGTTCTCCAGGTGCAGCACAACCAGGCTGTTGCTGATGCGCAAGGCGCGTGCCACAAACGGCGCCGAGTGATCTAGAAGCGGCGTGTTGCGGGCGTCCAGGTATTGGAGACAACTGGTCTGCAGGAGGAAGCACACAGAGCAGTTCATGTGTGAAGTTCGCTTTTCCAAAAAGCTGGGATGGCGTGTGTGGAGTGACAAAATACCCGACACCACTACATATTTCAGCTTCAAGGCTTTTAGCATGTGGAGGAGGGGGACGCGATAAAAGCTGGAAAACCACCCAATAAAAGGTGCTTGGGGGAAAGTGGGTGGGAACCGAGGAGAAGGCTGAGATTCTGCACTCCACTTTAGAGGCACTGGTCTCGAGTCACTTCAGGCTTCTAGCAACCATTTGAACTGGACTCAGAAATTAATTTGAAGCTAGTAAAAAAAAATCTCAGCTCATTACACTGTGGGCGAGCAGCCTTAAAAAGCACCTTTTAAAGCATTTTGTTATGTCCCTGGATCATCATCATCAATTTCATTTCTATACCACCCCGTGACTGAATCTCTCTGGGCATTTACACAATCCATTAACAGAAACAATAAAAATAAGAAACAAGTTGTAATCGGCTAAAAACAGATGATAAAAACAAGCAATACAAAAGAATGACAGTGAATCATAGGGCTGGAAGTAGAGATGCCTGAAGCTCAAATGAGTTGGATTTCTATGACGCCAACCTGTGGATTCTGCAGCAGACTGCCTCTTCCCAAGCTGTGTTGATTCTGCAAATTTACTGATTTCGCAGTTTATGCAAATAGAGAAATAAACACTGGAAAAGCACTGAAAAGGTGTGTTCCCACCCCAGATTAAAGCATGACCGTGTGCACTGGGGGCATTTGTGTAGTTTGTGGAGATCGGTGTGCATTTGTACACATAGGCCCAACTCATCTGCACAAAATCCAGTTCCATGAACAAGTGGGTGACAGGAGGAAAGGCCTCAAAATCCACAAAATGCAAAGGGAATGCATTTTATCAACCCATGTATCCCTAGCCAGAAGCTGTCAGAAGAATATCCAGTAGGCCCGAAGCAGGATTCAGCCCAGGGACAAGACTGAGCCAGTACTTTGGGGAAGTCAAATGCCACCTGGTGGGTGGAATTGTCCAGCCCCGTCTGGGTCTTTTTCCGTTCAGAGGATCTCAGGTGGCAAGGCTGGGCCAGAGCTTCAGCAGGGCTGCTGCCCGTGGAAGCAGGCAAGACAGACTGGAGGCATTCATGGCCTGGCTTAGAACAAGTAGCAGAGCCTGTGCACATTTCGATTCGCATGGAAGCCAAGGTCACCCCTCCCTCAAAACTCCCAGGTCCTTCTGATCTTTAGCCAGACATGATCTGCAGGAGGGCAGGAATGACTTTTTGAAACAACCATCTACTGTTCCCTGTTGTAAAGCAAAATATTGGTGGGTTACTTCATCCTGAATGGGCAATTAAGACCCATTAACATTACAAAAGACTTATTTTATTTACTGATTTATTTAAAACATTTTTATGCCGCCCCCATCGCAACAAAGCCTCGGGGCGACTCACAGTGGAGAGTACATGGATCCACCCAGCTGCCAGCCATGGGGACTCTCTTGCAGGGTGTGGCTGTAGGGACTAACATGATGAGCACCTGTGCTTCCAGGTGTACCACTTCGCCCTGTTCAGGCATGTCACTGCTGAAGTGTGCAGGGAAGGAAACTAAAGCCAGTTTGTGTTGTGTTGATTTACTTATGGCAGAAAAATTGAAAGCCTGAGGCAAAAGGCTTTGAAGGAATGATCACCACCGCCATTTCTGAGCTATTTCAGATTTAGAACGACTAGGTAGCAAAAGGTACAGCCCAGCGCTTGCTGGATTAGTCCCTCCCCAAGACCCCTGTCTGCTGTGCAGGCTTTTCATCAGAGGCAGGGAAAAATATTCTGTTGGCAGCGAGAAACACCAAGAGCACTAAGCCTGTTTAAGCAGGAGATTATAGAGTTCCTGCATTAACAGAGAGCAGAAAGCAGGCTTATCCTTCCTGCAATGGAGATGGATCCCACCAGGGTCCCAACGTCTGCAACCGGCACCAAACAAAGCAGTACAAAAGGCTTTACACTCCCCCCCATTGGGAAAATCTGCTGCTCACTCAGGTCCCTGAAATTCTGGAGAACCTGCCAGTTTTCCCCCTCAGAACAAAGGCACTGCTGGGAGGGGGCAGCGCTTTCCTCCACCCCCCCCCCCCCCTCAACACGCACTGCAAAGCTAACCTCTGAGGGTGTTTACAGGCACTTGGCAGCTGTAGCTCGATCAAAGCCTGAACGAAAACAGGTTCAAGCCTTTGCTCTCTTTCCCCAGAGCTGCCTGCAAGTGGTGTTTGAAGGAGAGGGGGACAGGCCCCGATACAAACCTTCCGCATCATGTGTGCCGCTGCCTGCCAGCCCCGCGTGCCAATGTGTTTGTTGAACGAGATGTTGAGGTGCGTGGCTGACTCATAGTATTCGATCATATCGAACAGCGCCGAGGCACCCTGGCAAGACAGAAGGGGGGGAGGAGGAAGAGAGAGGCGCATCAGCATGGTTCGCCTGGGTGGTGCAGCCACAGCCACCGCAGCAGCACCTGCCTTGGGCACAGCCGAGACAGGAACGGGCAGAGAGCGTTCGACATGTCGGCACCTATTGTGGTAACGGCAGCCATGGACAAGACGTCTCTGCGGTTTGAAATACGATGCCAGGAAATAGGGCAGACTGAAAAATCAAGAACCAACTTGCTGCACAGGCTTAGAGCCCAACGCCAGGTGCACCCACTTGGAAGCGAGTCCCAGGGGTTTAATAGAATTTACTTCCAAATAAGTGTGCGCAGAACTGCTGAATCCCAGGAAGGAGGACAACTTCGTTGGCCCCGCACAGCGCTCTGAGCAGCTGAACGTAACTGGGGGTCACGCGAGGGCAGCCAATTACCGCCGAGCAACCAGAAAGGTTTTACACACACTTTTGAGTGAGCACCGTCTACTGGAACCGCTAGAACTTGGAAATTCTGCATGCAGTAAAGCCCACAACTGTGGTTACCTTGCTGTCATTTACACCCATAAGGCAATCTCCTGATTTATGCATTTAATCTGCCACTACTGAAGCTTTGGAGGGGGTGCCTCTAAGGCCAGGGGAAGGGTGGGGGACATGTGCCCCACAGCTTTATTTATTTATAATATTCTATACCACTAAGTATGGAAAATCCCTAAGCACTCGTATGCCTCTGTTTAAAGCAGTGGGGCTTGCTTTTACTAACTTCCTTTTTTAGTATTACTGACATAATGATGGTTTGAGTTGTGTTTTCACTACTGCAATATTAACTTTTAAATTACTTCAACTTGGTGACCAAATTAATTATAAATGTATCTATTGTATTTATTGGTGGCAGCTGTTTCTCAATCTAACATGCTGCACTACTATACAATAAAAAGTAGTGAAATGCTTTCTCTGGTTTTTTTTTTTTTTTTGTCTCTGCGTTGCCAGGTTTGGTGGATGGATGGAAGAATTGGGAAATGGCCCCAGGCACTGAAAAACCAGTGAGCCGAGCCAGAGAGAGAACACACAGAGCAGTCTTGCCCAGTCTTCCAACTTCAAATGTCCTATTTCTTTTGATCACGATTATCAATGAGCCTATGAGACAGACAGAACCAAAAAGCACCTTGCCTGCAAATAAGGGTATCAGCATGGGCAGTGCTGATGTCAGTCCGCATCAGAGTTTGAGGGAGGGAGGGAGGGCTTTTAGAGTTGACCACCTATCAGTTAGGAAATTGTTAACTTAAAGATGCCTTTGTTTAAATGCCTGATGCACATGCTCAGGGGCTGGGCCTTGGTTCGCCCACCCCAATGAGGTGGGCAACAACGGGTAAATTCAAAGAAGAAAGAGAGGATGGTGTAACTACAGGCTGCAAGTGGATACCTCTGACTGACTGACTGGATTTTAGCCCACTTCAGAACCACATGGCTCCCTGCAAGAAAAATGCTACATCCAGAAGAAAGATTCTGTCTCAGCCTCTCCTGGGCTAGTTGTGGAAAACTACAACTTTTGCTTTTCAGGAGGGGGGCATGAAAAAGGGAATATATTCTGTGTGGTACAGGGCACGCTTGCATTTCAAGATACTCCTAGTTCAGTGCAGGCCCGGCCTTAACGCAAGCCCAGTGAGTAGAAGGGTTCGCCACCGCTGTGCTGCCAGCACTCCCACCGCGCAGCTCGGGGGCCCTGAAGCAGTTCAGGCAATTCTGGGCATGCTTGCCCCGTCTTTCTCAGGGGACGGGGCCTCCTAAAGCTGCCTTGCCCAAGATGCCCCGAACTGTGCAGCCGGTATAAGCTGCAGCTGCCAACCGACTTGCAGGAAGCCATTTGTGGCACTTTGCTCAGAGAGACCTGTCAGAATGCCCAGTCTGAGAATGCAAGCCAGTCGCACGTTTGGGAAAGGTGACGGCCCCGTGGGGGCGTCCCAGGAGAAAGCCCTACTCAGGGCCCTGGGAAAGCCACCTGCATAAGTCCTTGGGCAGCCTCTGCCATGGAGAGCAGGCTGCACTGGGCTGGGGCTGGTGGCAGCGCCTCATGACCAAACCTGCAAGGGCAACCCTGACCCTCAGCTGCAAGGACAGCGAGGCGAAGGACTGCATGATTCAGCCCAGTTCAGAAAGAAAGAAACAGGGAGCGGGGGAGATTACATACATCTTCATCTAGGTTTGTTTGCTCTAAATCCACTATTTTGAACTGGAGGCGCTTAAAAATCTCTTCCAGTGCCTCGCAAGCCTTGTAGTCCAACTTCTCGCCTAGAAAACAAGAGAGACAGAGTTTAAAGGATTTCAGAGTCAGGCAACAGGGGACGTTAAATATTGGAATGAACGACAGAAAATACAGAAACCCAGCAATTAATGTACAATTTGAGTGTGCAGGAAAGAGTAAGAGAGAATTATTAACTCTCCTTCAAAGAAAGAGCTTTGCCTTGTCCTGTCTATAGGAAATGGCTTTGCAGAGCCCTGCTTAGGTTTAGCCTGAGCAGGTTCTGACTGGGCCACGGGGTGAACCAGGAGCAACCTAGGAGCTGGCTAGGGTAAGGCTGCTCACATGCCTTTCATGCACAGCCTCTGACAGCAAAGACCTAAACATGGGGGGGGGCAGCCCCCACGTGTGCAAGAGCATCTCCTAAGCTTCCTGAAGCTGAGATACTGAATTAAGACCGGAGGCAAACACCTTTTAAAAAGAGTATACTTTACAAATCTAAGAGCAAGTGCCGAGTCAGTCTCCTGACGCCCAAGGAAGCCACAGCCAGCTTCCTCAGTTTGATGCCCTCTAGGCAGGCTGAATTACGCCTCCCATCATTCCCTCCTGACAGGCCCATTGACTGAGGATGGTGACAACTGCAGCCCAAAACATCCAGAGGGCACAAGATCAAGGAAAGCTGGGAAGAAAATAAAGGGCCGGACGGATGCAGGCAGCCTCCTGTGATGTGGTTGCGGAGAAGCCCAGCTGGTGTTGTGTTCCTTCACCATTTCTGTTCTCCTGACCAGGAGGAGAACAGAGCCCAAAGCATTTTTATTTCCCCAGACTTGTTCGGAGATTCAGCCAGCAGCTTCCAAGGCCGGCTGCTCCAGGCTCGCAGGGGCTTCTTTATTCTCGCGGCACACGAGTAAGCCTCTTGCAGTTTGGGAGTTAGAGCTGCAGCAGGAGCGAGAGTGCAGACTCCCAAGCAGGGGCGACGGAAACTGCATGCAATGGAGAAGGGCGACATTTTCCCTTGAGCTAAGATCCGGCAGAGCACACCTCTCTCTGTTCTCCCTTAAAGGGAAAAAAACCAGACTCTCACCAGATAGATTTCTCGGGTCCCCCATAGCTTGGGCAAGGGCTGGGCTTTGAAGACTAGCTCTCCATGTAAATCTAGCACAGATACGCAAGATTGAGCCTCGTTTAATCTGCTGCACATACACAAATATGGCTTGTGCAGCTCCTTCCCATCCTTCCATTACTGACCGCTGACTCAACTGCTCTTTCTTGCAAGGGCCAAAGGGGGCAACTCCGGAAACAACAGAGCTCTGCCCTTGACCAGTGGCCGTTCTGCCCATTTCTCTGCACAGCCCTTGTCCCATCCTTTCCCAATCCTTCTCCAGCACAAGGGCTATGAACTTTTCCAAACATACAAGGAAAGTGTACTGAATCAGAACCGTTGGTCTCACGAGTCAAGAACTTGGTACTGAACCATGAACATGAAGAATGTCCACAGGTTTGGCACTCCTTTCTGCCACGGAGCCAGACAGCCTAAAGCAGCTGCTCCCCCCTCCCCGCCCAATCACATACCAGCTGCTCAGCCTTTGCATGCGGCCCACTGCTCTTCCACTCCAGTGAAGTCCCCTCCCTCCACTACCTGAGGCCCTGGGAGTCGTCTGCCCTGCCCACCTGACCTGCCTCTCTCCAGCAGAGGAAGTTTACAGGCAAACGGTGGAACAAATGTGCCCTGCAAACAGCAACCTATTTCTGCAGTTCGAGCGAGGCTGCCCATTGATTTGTTTAGGAGAAGTACCTCTTGGGTTGTGGGATATTAAAACCAGGTGCGAGCACAGGGGAAGAAGGGAGGATCACCCCCACCGAGGCCAGGGGTGTGGGAGCAATTATATGTGCGCCCGCATGGGGCAACGTGGCTACACGGTGTGGCACATTTGCAAGCCTGCTTATAATTTTAAAATGGGGACTGCAAAAAGAATATTGGGGAGGAGAGGAGAGGAGACAAACCCATGAAATACAGTCAGTTTTGGAGCAGCAGATTTCACGGGCTCACCAGCAAAAAAGCTCTCTCAGCTCCCAATCTGAATGTTACAATATGCAATACAGGAGGCGCTCCCGGCATTTGCACCACTGAATCCGTGACTTTCAAGGAGAAAGGAACGGAACAAATTCCCAAGTGCAGGGCAGGAGGGAGATGCCGCAGCCTATCGTCAGTGCCCAGCGTTGTCCAAGGGACTATGATTTGCGCTCTGTTGACAGCATCCTCGCACGCATACCTTTCAGGTCCAGGCACTCTATCCTAGGAGTCAGGTCCTTAAATTCCTGCAACAGAGCAGCAGCCTTTTTACTACACATGAAAGGAAAATGATCAGGGAACAAGAAGAGCTGGAGGGAAGTGTGTACAGCCTGAAGCATCAAACCAGCCCAAACCCAGCCACTGCCTTATGACGCCCAGCCTGACCCTGGTCACCCCACCAGGGGCTGACTCTGTTTGCTTCAAGCCCAGCATTGAGTACAGGTCCAATCAGAGGGGACAGGCCAGACAAGTGGAGGGCCTTTCCTTTGGACTGGGCTGTGCCACTCTTGGGTCCAGTCTCAATTAAAACTAATTGATGAAACAATTCTGTTACGGACAGGAATCTTCTAGCCTGGCGCAGAAAGTTCTGAACTGAGCAGCTGCAGCCCAAACTGGCAGTGCAGTGGTGTGTGTGTGTGCAAGGCCTCAACTTAGGAAGAAAGGGCAAAACTAGCCTCCTGCGTTCACTTCTCCATGGCACAGAGAAAGAGACTGTGTGAATTTGGAAGGAAGGGAGTTGCCAAACTTGGTGAATTTGCACCAGAGCCTCTCAGGCTGGAGTCCAGCATATTTATTTCCCCGGAATAATGTCATATGCACCAAAATATTCCAAGCATCTGGGGAGAAATAAATATGGAGGCCTCCAGCTGAAAAGCGGCCCCAGTGAGCTTTTAGTCTGCCGTCCCTGGAAGTAGCCAAAATACAACCAAAAGGAAAGGGGAGTGTAACTCCTTCCACAGCAAACTATACCAGACTAGTTGCACTGTGCCAAGATGGGATCAGTGGAAAACCTGTCTCATCTTGTCTTTTTCTGGTGAGGGCTATACCACATGGTATAGGACAGGAAGCAGCCACCTGCACCCTGCAGAGCTTCCATCGCCCAGCAGAGAATGAGTTTGATGGACCATTAATCTGACTCAGGACAAGGGAGTTTCCTGGGCCCCCGTGAGAATCGGTCAGATCCACAAAAAGCAAACCAAAACAAAGCTGGGAACCCACACAGCCCAGTTCTGGGAAGACAGTGTTCTCGGAACTGGCCTCTTACTTGCGAGTATGGGAGGACTGTTGTTATTACTGCTTCCAGTTCCAGTTGCAACTGGACTCTGCAGTGTTTACAGAAATCCATCCTTGGCTTTGACGGGTACATCTAATAAATGTGTTGCTGCTTAAGGGAAAGCACGTACCTGGATCTGCTTCAGTAGTTTGGGTATCTGCTTGCAGTTTAACTTCTGACATGCTTGCTTGTAGGCAGTGAGAAGTTCCTCCACAGTCACATTCTGAGCTGAAAAGCATCACGAGGGAACACATGAATGATCCCAGATCCATTTGATTTGTGCTTGTTATGCGGAGCTAAGGAACTCAAAGCCGCCAGCACTTAACAAGATAGCAGCATCAATAAAAGGAACAAACAGAAAGGGTGGGAATTGTCAAAAGCTTCAGTGATGTTCAACAAGTCATCTGGTCACAGAATCAGAGAGTCAGACGGGACCATCGTTTTGTCTCACTCCCTCCTCTGCAGAGGATCTGCCACATAGCCTGCAGCTGAAGCATCTCTGCCAGACGGTTCTTCCGGGCTCCTTAAGTGCCTCGTGGAAAGGAGAGCCCAAGACTTTTCAAAGCAATGTGTTCCACTGCTTAACAGCTCTCACTGTCAGGAAGTTTCTCTTAACGCTTAGCCAAATCTGCTCCCAGTAGTACTTGTTCTGCCCTCTGGAACAACAATGCACTCAGCTCCACCTTCAGCATGGCAACCCTGTATATATCTGACCACTGCTACCACACCTGCCCTCCGGTTTCTCTTCTCCAGGCTAAACATACCGTTTTTTGAAATGTTCCTCAAAGAACCTGGTCTTCATAGGACTCGAGAACCATCACCATCCTGTTTGAACTTATCTGGATGCATTTAAACTTGTCAATGTCATTCTTAAAAGAGGGTTTTCACTCCACAGGTGGCTTGGCTAATATAGAACATAGCTGAACTGCTACCTCCTGTGATCCAGACAGCATGTTTCCGTTAACACAGACTAAGATGCCTAGAGATTTTTTTCTCTTTTAACAGCTGTATCACTCTGCTATCTTACAATCAGCTTAGCGGAATACTAAAACACCCAGATCCTTTCCACATGTACTGGTGCTGCGCCAGGTCTCTCCCAACCTATACTGGCATCTTTGATTCTTCTGCATCCAAATGCAAGACTTTCCATCTAGGTTCAGCTCTGTGTTCCAATGTCGCTTGAAACTTGATTTTGCCTTCTACTGCACTAATCCCTGCCAGCTTTGTGTCATCTACAGATTTGACAAACGTACCCTCTGCAACCTCAACAGAGTAATGAATGAAGGTGTTGAGTGGCACAGCATGAGCTGTGGGTCAGGACAGAGCCCTGCTGAAGGGCATTTGCGACCTCCCTTGAGGCTAATACAAAAGCATAAATGAGCATGTTCTGCACATGGATGCTCAATAGTTGTGAAGCCACCTAAGAGTTCTTCAGTATAGTTTTGATCTGCAGAATAATTCATGTTCTCCAGACAGATTACAACAGCGGAAACCCCACTATGTCACAGAAATATTTTAAAATATAGAAGAGCGTGCAAATATTTCAAAGAATACAGCACAACATGGGACTCCGTATAACAGCCAGAAGAGCTTAGAACAGGTCTCTAAAATACCGGGAAGAAAAGAAAGGTCTTTGCCTGTTGCTGGAAAGATTCCAACAAAAGCACTGGATGAAACTCTTCAGGAAGCGAATTCCAGAAAGGAGATGCTGTAGCTGAGAACAGGCTAACAGCATCTCTTAAAGTCAACAGCAGTAGCATATGAGCCACATATCATCATCTTGTCAAAGATCTTACAGGGAACCTTGTCAAAAGCTTGTAGTAACAACTGGACCTTTGCAGCCAGGTTATACTGTGGTGCCACATCCCTTCTGCTTTAAGGATGACTGACTCTTTAAAAAAGACATACCACCCCTACAGAAAAAAAATTGTGGAGGGAAATTAAACCCTGCTCTGCTTCTCCATTTGCAAGCTACTCCTGGTAGTCATTAAGAGAAGACTGGACCACAAACGAGTTTAAAAACCAACACTTTTCTGCCTATAAGAGCCAAGACATAGACTCCAATTCTCCATCTCTCCTCAAATTAAGAAGCTTGGAGGGGGCAGGAGAGGGAACAGCAGCAGATAAATGGAGAAGGCAGAGAGGGGCAAGCAACTAAGTGTATGGGGGGAAACAGAGCGGGGAGGGAGAGTTTCACCTAGGAGTTTAAGGCTGCTGTAAGCAAATTCGGATACTGCATTCCCAGCCCCACCAGTCTCCACTTCACCCCCAGTTCTCAGCACCAAAAGACAACGTTAAACAAATATTCCCAATTCCCCGCTGCTAACATTCATTTTCTAGGATTTTTCCAGGCAGGCCCAGAAGGACCAAGCTTATGGCTGGTGTTAGCAGATGTTGCATAACAGGAGAATTTGCCAGAATCCTGACATCAGCCATGAAGTACCATTTACTGGGGCAGAGAATCGGGTTAGACCACATATCCAAATTAGGTCTAGCTGCAGGATGCAAGCTGTGAGGCATTGGGCTTTCTCATAGCTGAAACTGTATTCTGTACAATTCGGCTTAGCTTCTTGGGAATCTGAGCTTGTTTCCTTTGAAAGGCAAGTTTGCAGTTCATACAATTGTAAAAAAAAAAAAAAATATTTATATATTAAACGTAATTCCTGCCTTTCAAGGAAGCTAACAAAAATACAAAGAAAGAAAAAGAATGTGCTTCAAAGCATGCCACCAACTTTTGCAGATACCTCCATAGCCAGAGAAACTCACTAAATTATGATGTCCACATGCTGGGGCAGAGATTCAGTGCCCCAAAACATACTGCTGCAAAATTTCTTGCAAAATGCCCAGCAGAAAGTTGAGTTCAGCTAGACTGGAAAGAAGCAAACCCACTAGTGTTTCTGTTATGACACTGTGGCCTCTTTTGCCTTACCTAAGGCCCCCGCCTCTGCTTCAAGCCCCTGTCACCTTGAGACCACTGGCTGCTTTGAAGGTTAGGGTGGAATCAAAGTCACTATTTTAGCGGGGAATGGGACCTGCAGAAGAGGCACGGGTCCCTTGGGAGGAAGGGGGCAGAGGCTCCACTCTTGTCAGCAACCCAGGTGAGCATCCGACCCAATCCTTTTGGTGCTAGGGCACCTGGATTTTTTGCACCCTTGCCTGTCAAAGTGCTCTCTTGCAAAACAAGAAAAACACACTTGGTTTATACAGCTCTGAGTTCATCTTGTGGCAGGATTTGAAGGAACCTAGCACAGATTTTTAGGGTGGGAGCAGTCAAAGTGCACACAGTTCTTAAATCGCACGTGCCACTTCCGAAGGAGTCTCTATCAGAGCAGCCCATCTCCCCACTCCAGTACACCTTCCTTCCTTCCTTCCTTCCTTCCTTCCTTCCTTCCTTCCTTCCTTCCTTCCAAGAGGAGGCCACTTAGCGGGCAGACAGCAAGTACAGGCCTATTATTAAAACAAGAGATTCTGGCAGCTCTTAAAAGCTGCCCTCAGAGCATCTTTTTGCACGCACACACAATTCTGGGCTTCTCTGAAACCCAAGATTGAGCAGTATCAGCCTTGTGGTTGACTAGGAAGCCTGGCACCAGCATGTAGACGGGTAAGAATCATTAAACACACAAACACACACCCAAGCAACCAGACGGAGGCTGACTTGAAATGCTCCAGGAGCTGCTGAACAAACAGCTCTGTATCACAAAACGGAGACTGCTGTGCAGGGATCCAATTACAAGGTCGTAATCTGGCCTGGATTACCGAAGCAGAACGGTACCTCCACCCCCCATCTCAGTTCAGAAAAGGATAACTCTGCCACTAATGTAAAATATTGGGAGGGAGGAGAAATTTCCAAATGGCTGCAGTTGCTGAACATGTCTATTTTAACTGCTTTATGTGCCAACCAAACATTAAGACATAAGAGAAAGAACCCTTCCGACTAGCTTCCAATGTTGCTCTGGTTGTTCTTTAAAAAAGATCCTAAGACTAGCAAGTATTTCGGCAAGAACCTGCCAAGTTTCTCCATCGTCAGAAAATCTAAACTCACAGTGTATTATTCATTTCAATGCGCTATTTTAACGTGCAGTCGGTTCTCTGCCGCCAACATTATTTTAAAGGAAATACTGCCAATTCTCACAGTGGCAGGAAACGAACTGAAGAACTGCGACAATGGAGCAGGGTTAACGGTGCTTTGAGGAGGACGAACTTCTGCTTTCTCGGAATGAGCGATGGGTGGCCAGAAAACATGGAATGCGTTGCTGACGGACCTTCCTCTGCTTAGCGCCACTTTTCTTGGAAACCGTACTGAATCATCTGCCCGTCCACCCCTGCTCCTCCAAACATGCAAATACAGGGGAAGCTCCTACCACTGGTTTCCAAACGTGTTCCAGCTAACAAAGACGCCCTGCAGCGTTCAGCTACTAACACGATGGCCATCTACTAGGGAAAATGAGTCTGGGTTTTCATGACATCCCACTGAATATGGAGGGGCTAGGCACTCCCATACAGAATGATCGGAGCCAAATGACACCGGTCGTGTTGGAGGGAGCTGCAGCAAGCACGGCTTCCTGCTGGAACTGCAGGGAGTACCTGCAACAGCTCCGTCTTGGATGCACTGCCTGGCCTTCCACCTCTTTCACAGAGAATTCTACCTACTTGAAGAGGGCTGAGCATTACACTTTTACGAAATGTAGGGGAAAAGAAACACACAGTAGTCAGAGCTCTGGAAATAACATGCTACCAGAGCTATCTTATGCCTTTGCACTTCCTTATGGCCTCCTGCCGATTTCTATTTCCATAAATTAATAGTAATTGCTGCTATAAAGCATTTCCTATGCATCAGAGGGTGCCATATAATTTTTGCAACCTTTTAAGTCCAGCCAGGTTATTATCCCCTTGTTACGGGTGGAAGGAAAGCCTTGGGAATGAATCTTGGAAGCCTAATAGCTTAACTAAATCCACCCAGTGAGTTTATGTTGAGACAAAATTTGAACTGGATACTTCCTAACACGTGGATCCATCTGTCCTAACCATTATGCAACACTTCCATTATTTCCTTTTTCTTTCCTTTCTCTACCATGTCAAGACAAAACACAGATACCGTCTGACCAGCCTCCTCAGACATCAGTCCTGGCAGCCCTGCTCTCGTCCTATGTGCGTGTAATCAAATAGGTTGGGACAAGAGACAGTGGCAGTTGCGGTGCTCCTTCCCACTACGGATCGGCTAAGTTCTC